TGCAACCCATCGAGAAATTCCCGCCTGCAGAGAAGAGATGTTCCCGCCTTCTTAGGAGAGCGCCGTAGTTTGAAAAGGGCTCAGAGTTAAATAACTTGAGTTATCATGTTTGTAATTTAGTTTTTAAGATTTGTACACTTACTGTTAGGCTTATATTATAGCAGATCCAGTAAATAAATGAATTGTGTATAAAAAAAAATTTGCTCCGGCTGAATGACTCCTAAATGAATGTCTCAGTCTTCTTCTAGCGACAGCTTTCCATGCAACAGTAAGTGCACAGATATTTCTGCTGATAATTCACAGACTCGACAAGTTACTTAGAACTGATTCCGAGGCTGTGTATATACTAGCGCAGTCCACAGTGTCCTTTAAGAAACCCTGTTAGTATTGTCAAGGGGTTATATCGACCAAGAAATCAATTTTTCGAATGCACATCTCACTCGCATATTTGAGAATATTTTCCGAAAATCTGAGCTTGTTCCGACAAACAGTCTCGGAGAATAATCGTACCAATTCAGACGTCTCGTGGCGTTCAAAAATAGGCGAAGCGCAAAGCGGAGTAGCTTAACTTAGTGTAAACGGTTCGGGAAACTTTAAATAGGTTCTTCTCGAAACGCTGTTTTCAAACCGGTGAGAAAAAAACTCTAAAGACCACTTCGAGGACACCGTTTTGAGTCAATTGGAGAGATGAAACGTAAATCGGCGCGCTCTCTGAGGGCGATACCAGAACGTGCCTATTTGAAATGCTTCGATAATTGGAAAAAGCGTTGGCATAAGTGCATTGATCGATCGATCGATGTAGAAGAATAGTACTTTTAAATCTTTTGAAAATGTAGCCGTCTATTTCTTGATTGGCTCATCCCATCACTAATATGCCAGTACAGCTTTCTTATATTTATTTCTTCCCTTCTTATTTTCTCTTTAAATGAATGAGAACTTAAAAGGAAGAGGGACTCAGGTCCCGTAGGAGAGATTGAGGTGGCTTCTCTGGCAAGTCTATCTGGGATTTAATTTCCTTTAATACCTGTATGTTCCGGAGTTTAGATGAGCTGAAGTTTCTTCCATTCTTCCATATCATATCCGACTTAATTGTACATGATGATTTCCGTGTGGCCTGACTGTCACTGCAAATTACTACATGTTGATTAACAGTATTCCTTTTGAGTTCTGCATATTTCGTAAAGGCGAGCCTCTGCTTGAAAAATGCAGGAGTATTTTCCCATAGGTACTGAAACTGTAGTCTTTGATCCATCTGTGAATTGGGTTCCATATCCTTTCTTCACTAGGGATATATTGAATTTGGCAACGAATCTTATTATCTTCAATATTTCATTTCTAATGAAATTTGTGAGAGCTTTCCTTTCAATTATTCCTGTCCCATTTTTGGTTGATATGATTTACCTTTCCCTGACACCTCTTTTATCATTGTCAATGGGGCTCTCTCATGAAGAAGTTCTATGTAGATGCTCTGTGTAGATGTGTAAATTCAAGAAGGGCTTCTGATGCATCCCGTTCGGCATAAAATACATATCTACTATCATGTGACCCAATATGTTCTCACAATTTTTTACATCCAACTGATTCCCGAAGTGGTTTGTCCACCTGCCAGCATCACTAATTACTTCTGAAGAAGGTGTATTACATCATTTGAAAAATCTAAATTTTTTCATTCAGTTATGGTCCTTCTGAATTCTCTCTAACTTGACTTTTTAATTCCTCACTAAAGGAAAATGAACATTTACAAATTTCCTTGAATTGTGTCACATATGTCTGAAGTCTTTAGAGACAATCGGCAAGCTAAAATAATCTACACCGATTTCAATAAATCAATCTGTGACTTAATCATTCAAATCCCATTCATAAACTAGATTTTCTGGTCTTCCATCAAGATTACTCCAATGGATTTACTTGTATATCGGTAATAGAACACAACGTATGGCGTTTAAAGACACTTTAACACAATTAATTAACGTCTCATCAGGAGTTCCTCAAGGTAGGCATCTCGGTCCGATTCTGTTTCTGTTAATTATAAATGGTATATCCTCCGTAATAAAACATTCAAATATTTCGTGGTATGCCAATGATAACAACTACTTTGAACCTTGAGAAGTCTAGTACCATGTGCTTCTGGCGAAGGTTTGTTCCATCTTCTGTCTATACAATTAATAACTATGGTATAGAATAAGTGTACAACTTTGTTGATTTGAGGGTTGTAATGGTCCCTAAACTCAACTTAAATCTTCTTCTAAAAACGCTTTGGCTTTGTCAAAAGGTGGACCTTTGGTGAGGCCAATATTAGAAAATACAATAGTTCACCAATATGGAACTCTAATTTTCAAGATCATTCAATAAAGTTCGAGTCTGCTAAAAAACAATATTTATTTTTTTTTCATTAAAACGTTTCCGATGGAGCTTTATGATAATTCTTCCTCCCTATGCCAACCGCTTTAAGATTCTAAATCTACCTACTTCCACAAGTCGTAGCAACGTAGCAGCGTAACGGACCAATTTGTAGTTCATGGTTCTTGTCTGAGGTAAACTGTAATGTTCCAACTCCTGTTTTTAGGCAGTTTGAGTCTTTACTATTAAGTCATGTATTGTAAAAAAAATTATGAACTGAACAAACCATTTCACCAAATATGTCACGATTATAATTTTCATTCCAGCACCAACGACCTCACCGATTCACTTTTACGAGTATGCATCATAAACTCTCAACACTTAAATTTTAAATCACTATATTTCATTTCTTGAATAAGTATTTTTTTCCTGCAACTGAACAGTTTTCAATTTCGATATGTAAAAAACGCTTGCCAATCATGACTCGTAAAATCCGTACGTGGCGGTTGGGTGCGTGGAGGATATTTGTTGAACTTATTATCATTAGCTATAGTGGTCCGATCTAGTTGGTTCCCATAAATAATCATTTAAATATGTCAGTGAAACCTCCCATTGTCAAATTCGGCTTAACATAAACCATACAGAAACCAGTAAAAAACACCTGCCATAAATTTTGTTTAGTTCTGTGGATACAATATCAAGCTAGAAATAGGCAAATCAATTCACCATTTTTATTTGTTTTAGTTAATGTGGGAGCTGCCACACCCGCTTTTCAGAATTCTTATGAACCATCTCCACGAAAGCTCAAATATGTGGCATCATTTGGTTCGAATTCAATGAATCTGTTCGCAAGTCACAAGGTATAACCAAAAACATATAAAAACACACACCTTGGCGGAACAGAAGAACGATGCAACCAATGATACCTTTTACGTGCATCCCGCTGACCTAGCATGAAGAAAGGTATATTCGGCACAACTCCACGATGAAACGGGTTGAGGCTGATTGACTTTATCGGAGCCCGAAATATGTTTCCTTGCAGTACTAAATTTATTAATATCACTTATCAAAAGGCTACGCAGAAGATGTAAGGTTTAATCACTCAAGCATTCGATAAAGGGACATCGTGGACCAAAATTAGAAAACAAAAACGTACAGAGAACATTGCAAGAAGAGAACATAGAAAAGAATGCCCGTACTTAGCGCATTTTCTAGGCAAGAAGAAGACGCCAGACAACGCAACTACAAAAACGCAAAGTTAAAAGATTATTTTAGACGAAGTTATGTACGACATCAAAGCTTGGTCTGTCAACAGTAATGTTGTGGCGATCTCGGTTTGTCCTCGTTCCCTTGCAAACCAATTCGCTTCCCTACATTCGATTGAGTCAATAACCTATAACTGTTTCGACGAGGTCGGACCAGAGTGAGAGACAGGTTACATGAGTTGGTTTTAGGGGCCATGCAAAAAGGAGTTTAATCTGCTACTATATCCAACCAGCTAGGAAAGTTAGTAGCCGAAATTTTTATGGGTTGTAGTCTTATTTGTCTTATAGTGAAGAAGTGGGAAAGGTCGTCGAGATAGAAGTGGACTTTTGAGCATAAGACTTTACTATCCTGGCCAGAAACCAATATCGAGCAATCAGCGGCATATGAGATCAGTAAAACCCCCGTCTGGTAAAGGAGCGAGCTTCGAGATATAAAAGTTGAATACTATTGAGGAGAGGACATCATCCTGCAGTACCAATTTTTTAATCTTTCTGAGTTTCGGGGACAAACTTCGATAAGTGACGACCACTCAGGTAGCGCATCATCCACCTCTTGAAGCTCGGCGATAATGATGATTCCTCAATGTCCAATAGTAGGACAGAATAGTTGACCATGTCAAAAGCTTTTGGAAGGTTCGGTGGAGCCAGTCCAGTTTTGGTTGTGACCATTGACTATGTGAGTGTGTTTATGACGTTAAAAGCTTTGCAGAAGTCATGCTGATGTGCTGCTGAACTCAGATGGTGTATGAAGATCGAGAGCAACAAGTCCCCAAGAGTATTTGCTACTGCGGATAGGAGAGATATCAGTCAACAGGACTCTCTTTGTTGGCTGGTTTTACCAAATCGAGCAGCGGGACCACCCATTTTCCACATATCGGATATTTTTAGGGTGGTCAAAAACAGGTTAAAGACGATGAAGGAATTTACTTAATTATCTAAAGCACTCAGTAAGTAGATTGTGGTATAGAGAAGCGATAAAAATTGTACGGTGTTCCACAGAAGCAAAGTCTGGAGGCCTGTCAATCGAGATTAATGTCAGCCACGTCGCCCGGCTATGTTGTTTAAGAGACCGTCACTTGCAATTGTTATTTTTGGCGAGCTTTGGCAACTACTCACAACTCTGGTGGAGCCCTGTCAGCTCCTATTGCTTGCCGACAAAGAGCACAATCTTGGAATTTTGATTTCCAATAACAACATTGCGGCAAGCAAGTTTCTATACTGCTCACTGGGTTTTTACGGGTCAACCACTAATCAGTACTGGCAAATAATTATTTTTTTTAATTTTTTATTTCATTTTCTCCTTTAACACTGATTAAACTGTATGCAATCATTTAATATGTGCCTTGCCCTGTAAGTATAAAAATACAACAAAAACATTTTATTCTACGAATTTTTATTATTATTTCTTATTCTCCATTCCATTCAATACAAAGAATATGCGCAAAAAACAGTTGATAAAGATAAGCGGGAATTTATTTAAATCCCGCATGAGGGAGGAACTAAGAAAACATGAATACCTTTCCTGTAAACTCAGATAGAAATAGCGTGTTTTTTCAGTATTTAATGAATGTGCAAACTATTTAATGAGCAGCTGAATCTCAAAAGCAAGCGATTTTTCTTTCACGCTTCAATGAATGTTTGCCTGCTGTTTGTATTGCGAATACAAAAATAGTGATATTTAGTTTAATTTAGTTTAACGAATTTCAAAAAGTATTAATACTTATATACTTATAATTGATTGTGTATTAATTGCTCTACTAAAATTACTAAATATCAAGTCATCGCCAATTTTCTCCGCTTGTATTATTGTTGTTGTGGTGATGATTAATGTTATAGAGCGGCGAACCTGATTCTCGCCAAAATATTTTTTCGACAGCGGATGTTGTGAGGTATCGGTGCTAAAAGTTAAAAGAATAAAGATATAATATTATTACACAAAGAAAAATATATTAAATAAATTACATGTAAAAAAACATGTTAATAAATTAATATTAAAAGATATAAACAATAAACTTTTTAAATGAAAAGCGAACAAATATAAAATAAAAAATTACATTTAATAGTACGAACATAAATTCAAATATAATTACAAATATAAACAAAAAAACGAATTTCAAAAATGTGAAAAATTCAAATATCAAATACGAAAAATATAATAAAGAATATTATAAACATTATTAAAAATTTAAGTTTACCGCAATAATATAATATAATTAAATTTAATTGCAAATTTAAATGCAAAAAAAAAATTTTTATTAGAAAAAATTTAAATAAATTCTTAAATTGAAAAAACTAAGAAAAATTAATATTAATAATTATATTAAAAATATTTTATGTATAATCTTTCATTAAAAATTAAATATATGTATATGCAATTATTTAATTCAAAAATTTGATTTCAAAAAAAAGACAAAATAAAATTTGAGTACTTGAAATTTTTATTACAAGCACAAATAAATATATTTTAGAAATCATAAACTAAAAAAAATTAAGACAAATCTACATCAAAGTTGAATTTATGTAAAAAAATCAATTATTTAGAATTACTATTTTAAAATAAATTTTATTTATTTTTATTTAAAAAAAAAATAAAATTTAATGAAATAAAAGCAAGTCTAAATTAAAATAAATATAAGTACAAAAAATATTGAGATTTAATGCTAAGAACTTTATAAATTCAACTTTTTAAATACAAAAATTAATTTTAAATTTAAAAACTTTTGAAATAGATAAAAATATGTTTCATAGGTATAATAAAAAAATTAAGTTATATAATAGAAATTCTAAATGTAAATAATAAAGAAAATGAAAACGTAAACAAAAGTAAATATAAATAACTACAAAGTTTTAAATGACAATGAAATTGGAAATAATAATAAAAAAGAAACAAAATCACAAAAATAAATTAAAACAAAAACTGAAATAAAATTAAAAAACAAAAACAAAAATAAAAATCAAAATAGAAAACAAAATTTAAATTTAAATTTAATTTAATACAAAAATTAAAGTTATAATTAAAATAAAATTAAAATTATAATAAAAATAAAATTAAAATTATAATAAAAATAAAATTTAAAAAAAATAAAATTAACATTAAAATAAAAATAAAAACCATAATCAGTACTAAATATAAAATTAAATTTAAAAAAAAAATTAGTTTTGAATAAAAGTAAAAAAAATAATGATTTTTTTAAATGCCATAAAAAATAATAATATTATGCACAAAAATTAAATTATTGCAACAACAAAAAATACATTTTAACCTTTTAAATTGTTATTAAAAACATACAAAAACTATTTTCATTATCACAACGAAAAGAATATGGAATTAAAATAAAATCAAAACTTAATTAAAAATAAAAATGTAATTCATTTATAATGAAGTCAAAAGAAATGAAACTAAGTATATATATATATAGCGCCAAAAATAATAATATATTAGCACATAATTAAATTTGAATAATACTTAAAACCGCAATAAATTATTTTGATTTATAAAAAAAAAATAAAATGCGTCTAATAAATACAATTAAAAAATGGAAAAGAAAATAAAAATTAAATTAAAAAATTTATTTCAGTAAAAACGAAAAAAAATTTATTAATTTTGAATAACCATTAAAAAATGGAAAATTAATATTTTAAATAGTGTTGAACAAAACACAAAATTGAAAAGAAAAACTAAATTTGAAATAAATAAAATAAAATTATCAACAAAATTTAAATAAATATAAAAATTTATTTTAATTATTTTGAAGTATTATTAAAGGAAATGAAACTCAGTGCTAAAAATTAATAATAATTTAACAAAAATAAATCAAAGAAATAAAAATGAGTTTGATAAATACAATAACAATTTTAGAAATGAAACAAAAAATAGATTTGAAAACTTGATTTTTTTTAATATTGAAAAAAAAAAATATGTTAAGAACAATAAAATATATTCAAAACAAAAATTATTATATATATAAAGATAAAAAATTAATATACTACTTTTAATAACCATTAAAAAAATAAATTGCATTAAAATAAAAAATAAAACTTAAAGCTTAAACTAAAAAACTAAAAAATGACAAATTTTATAAATACTGATAAAACAACTAAATAAAAAACATAAGCAAAATAAAATTTTATTTCCATAAAAGTTTTGTTTACATTTAAATTTCAAACTTAAAGAAAAAACATAAATCAATTAGAACAAATTAAAATATCAATTATAATATAGGAATTTATTTTAGAACTTTTACAACAATTAAAAATTACTACTTACGGACAACAAATGATCTCTTCATACACGGTATAGCCGCAATGGCCAACATCTCTGGCATACAGACCATTTCGTGTCATAGTGGCCTCTAAATGTGGGCACTGTTTCTCCAATGTGCATTTGCCATCGTAATCTGCGGTTACACATTCATCACCCTCTGGAATAACAAAACATTTGATGTTTGTTTAGCAAATAATAACTATTTAAGCCGCATTAATGTTGCCGTAGAGCCTCAGATGTTCACTTCACTGAATGCTTTCACGGTTTATTCATAAACATTCACACTTTCCACACAAGCATACATTTACACATATAGTAAGAGTAATTGTATTTACCAACCGTATAACACAACCTCAGGTAATTTCCCTGCCTGAATTATGAATAAATATGACAAAAAGATTAAGCTCAGCAAGTACTGCATTATGGGTTATTAATAAATTATTCTTAATTTAATTTTATTTAAATTTTAATTCAATTTTTATTTTTATTGCTATTAATACTCTTATTTAAATTTTCACCGTAAGTCCGTACTACTTTTCTTTAACGCTTTGTGCACTACACTTAAAGTCGGTCGAACACTACTGTAGCTACCAGCGGTACCACTCGGAATGATATAAATCTGCCTTTGAACGGAAAGTAATTCCGTCTCTCGCTTTTATTGAGCGCGCAAATAAAGAAACCGGTTTCAAAGAATTGTTCAAGCTTACACTTAATGTGTTCTCAATCTGTTTTATTCTCTCTCTGTCTCTCTGTCTCTCCCTCCCGTTCTCACCCTTCCTTTATCCCTCTCTCTCTCTCACTCTCTTGCAGTCATTTAGAAAACTTTATTTGTGCGTTAAATTTGCTTTCTTTGTTTATTCATCAGAAGCGTCAAACAAGAATTCCCAATAGGGCTGCCAGCTTAACAAATGAAATGGGTTTTTTCATTTAATTCACATTTAGAGAGGAACACCCAACGCATATATTTTGTTACTTTTGAATGGACTTGTGAATGACACTAGTCCTAAATATTTTCTTCCAGAGCGAGGTAAGTGATCTTTCCAAAAACCCTATTGAGTTCCTTGGTTCAAGGCTAAAAAGAGGAATTTAATTTTGAGAAGAGGGGAGAGTACGAATTGGTTTATTTGACCATCCAATTTCTTACACCTCTAGGAGACCTACAAAAACTTGGTGCTGGTTTAATGAAAAATAAAATATAAATAATGCGATCGGCAAGTGCGCAATGTGCTTAAAAAAAACCAGCTCTGTGCCGTCCTGGACATAGCAGACTACATGCGCTACCTGACAGTTTCAGAGATTAAAAAAGGAGTACCGTAGGTTGGTGTCCTCGCCCCCCCGCCCCGATTGAGTCTAATTTCTTCATAGCGAGACTCCCTCCTACAACAGAGGGCGTTGAAATCATCTCATATGCCGTTGAGTGCACGATATTGGAGTCTGGCCACGATATGGGCAACTTATGTGAAAATGCGTGAAATTCTCGTCTGCTCGTTTTACCAGCCTTACGAAGGCGTACTGGCTCGTACGCGATGTGAATGTCGATAGTGTAAAAATTCCAACAATGTTAAACGCAATCACATTAGACAGCCCGTACTCCTCGAAACATAGAGCCGAGGAAAAGACAAGCTGTTCGCTGTTCACTACATACAATCAATTGTAAATTACCCAGCTCCGATTTGGAGATACTTGTGACTAGCGAGATGCGAGATGCAGATACAGCAGCTACAAGCCATACGTCAGAACACCTCCCTTTTTACTGAGACGGGAAACCCGCCTAGGCACAATAAGAAGGAAGTATTTGACTGCACGGACTCCATTTGCCACCATATACAAGAATCGCTGTAGAGGATGGCATAACGATTGGTTTCGACACCATTTAACGAGAATCCGTCGACATCTTCTTGAACTCTACTCCAGTGAACAGCATTCAAGGGACCCAAACACACACTGAAGTGCTCGAACTGCCTCAAGAGAACCGAGGAATACTAGCACTATTAAGATCTTAATGCTGTAGTCGGCCTAACTCCTACTTATCCAGACTTGATTCCGACATACCCATTGGGTGCTCTACAAGCAGTGATACCCGTTGAAATGAACTCAACTAACCCCTCTTTCCCCCTCGTCTGAACTTGTCTCGTTAGATTTCCCTTGCAATAACAGTAATTAAAGATTAGTAAAGATATTGAACGAAGGAAAAAAGTTTGGTTCTTTACAAATCAGATGCCATCATTTAAAAATGGGTCGTTTCTCACTAATAAATCTCGAAAGATTTTGTATAAATGTGAGAAAGTGTGATCATTAACTTAGAAAACCCTGATGAAGGAAAATTACTTACTGTTGACCAACAAATCAACTGATCTCTTGCTCTTATTTAAACATTATAGATTTATAAATAATATACATATAAAAAGTATATGGTCTGCATACTCGTACTTAAATGAAATACACCACTACATAAAATTATTTATTGCGTTCATGACTCACCATGAAAATCCCAACGCATTTGGTACCATTCACCAAAACAATATAAAAAATGTAAAGATTCATTTGGAGACCTCAATTGCCGAGTGGTTAGCATTGCCTACTGTCATTCGGAAGACCCATGTTCGTGTAAATGCTGACGATGGTGGAAAATATGAGACAGTTGGGGCAAGTTAGTGATGTGAAGAATAATGCAAGAACTCAAGCCGGCCGATTGGGTCCTTGAAATGCATTGAAATGATCCGAAATTTCATCAAAAAATCACCCTGACTAATGAGTTCTATTTCTAGCTCGATGGCTACGTCAATAAGCAATGTTGTCTCATCTAGGGTTCGGAAAACCCAAAATTTATTGTGGAAAACCCTTTCTGTCCTCAACGTGTTGCTGTTTCGTAGGGTTTATAGTCGGGTGGAGTCATTAACCCTCCATTACTTTGAGCATGGCTGAAATTGGAGGGTATTGATCTGGACAAATGTTTACTTTTAACAAGGTGACACTACTTGCCGCACACGGCGCGAAACCAAGGATCTTTTAAGGGGAGAACCTGGTTTAGAGGGTAAAAAAAAAATCGATTTTTTGAAATTTATCTCATTCGATTAGAAATATATTCAGAAATATTTCCACAAAATTTCAGATTCAAATTACTAGTCATTCGGCAGAAATGGTCTCTGAGAGACAATGCGCTCAGGAGACTGATAAGCGGGCGCGAGAACTTTGAATGCGATTTTCTCAAAACAGTGTTTTTCTGTTTTGTGCACACGATTAAAAAATTAAAACACTGTGCCGAATGTCATACAATTTTCACCGTTCTAAACCAGGTTCCACCCTTAAGGTAAAATTTTCCTGACCCTGTTATCTCTCCAAGAAATAATTTCAATTGGCCACCGAGATCTTGTGATTTATTACCTTACGACTACTTCCTTTGAGGCCACATTAAAGATAAGCTGTGCGCCAACAGGCCACCTCTTATTGGAAACCCCTCTATAAACATTCTCTATACAAATGAATCCCAAGAGGACAGTTGTTAGCGATAAAGATGAATATTGTAGAGATTTCCTGGAATATTCGGACCGACAGCGCATACATATTTACATGTATACAAAATAAAAATATAAAAAATACCAATAATAAAATCCCATTTAAAAGATAAAGAACAGAGCAGAACAATCTACTTGGGGAATTGTTAAATGTATTGCTGCATTCATACGTAAATTCCATTAAAAAAAACAATTCAGATTCGGACGTACCTTATTTTATTTTGATTTTTTTTTTTTAATTTTAAATTTGAATATAAGGACTATTAAGGCAACACCGTTTTGGCCACATTTCGTCGTTTCTTACTATTAATGCCGCCGATTAGTTTGAACATTAGCCAAACATCAAAACCCTTTAGGCATTTTGCGACCGCTGAAGCGATTTTTGGCCGAGCTTCTCTTCCATTTTGTGGTTTTGCGTCTTGATGTTTTTCCAACAAATGGAGGGACCTACAGTTTAATCGCATACTAAGCCGCCTCCGAACGGCTGATGGTTTTTTTATGAGGAGACTTTATTTCATGTCTGAACTACACTCAGAGGAGTGGATATTCTCTGCCGAGGGGAGACCGCAATTAGAAAATTTAGCTTAAATGTATATGTAAATTATTTTCTATAAGTTTTTGGTTGTTAGTACAACACCAGGATTTGAATGGCAGTACGCAGCACTAACCACGCGGCTACCGCGGCCGCCTAAGTATAGTTCTGAAAAAAAAATTCATTATCCATAATTAATAATTAATTCAAACTATTAGCTTTAACTTTTTGCCATTTTTCAATTAGCTTCATAACATCGTTTTTGAAGAACTTCTATGGCTAATCGGCAAACAATTTGCTGAAATTATTTTCTGCGACTCTTCTTTAGGCCAGAGTTTTGAAGAGACTGAAACAAATGGTAGGCTTATGGTACAAGGACCGGGGTATATGGTGTGCATATCGAAGCTTCCCAGCCAAGTTCCGTCAAGTTTTTCCTGATCATAAAAGATGTCGCTTTTATATTGATAAATTCATTTTATTAACTCTTTTTTTTTTTGGTGAAGATCATGTTAGAAGCTGAACAATTGTTTATAGAAGATCCAAGAATTGACCGATTGGCAATGCCTTGGTTGCCGTCAACTCAAACTGTGAAACCGTTTATAGAAAATCCCACCTTGGAAAATTTTTTTTTTTTTTTTTTTCATTATATTTAACCTTCGCTTCAGAAAAGGTGCTATTTTGTCGGGTTTTAGAAACGTTTCACTGATGATGGTTCGTCAATCAAATTTTTATGAAACGAGCTTCTATGAATAAATGATTCCTGATAGCTTGCTTACCGGTCTTGCTTCAACTAGTGCAACCGACTGGTTCAAAATCTAAACTTCCTCCCCTAGTAATGTTGTGAACTGGATTGCGGAGCCACCACATGGAAATTGGACGAATGGTCCCATTATTCATGACGACTATGGAAGGCCATGGCAAAGGACAACAATTTGAGGATAGGCACTTGCCTAAATTAGACCAATCTTTCAATACTAGAAACTAGAAAAGACAAGATGGGAAACTCGTAGTTTCTTGTGACATTTTCTACTCCGGTGGATGAATATCTTGCCGGAATCCGCATCGAAGCGAAGTTTTGCGACATAACGATGTTGTAATCGAGGATACCTTTTATAAGAATCTGAATACTCAAGATCGCTGAGCACAACAGTCGTTCAAATCAGTCTCCACAACAAAGCATCTGCACATGGGCCATGGCTAATCAACTTCGCTGGATTGCTGTGGTTATCTTTAGTACCAGATTCCAGCATAAGGAAATTCATCAAGCAACTTCGTTTCCCCCAGATCAAAAAACTCTAACCACTTAACTCTAAACTAACCGATCGGTTATGTGGTGATAGACAAACGAAATTTTTGCAATCTTCTAGAAGTAAACTGAGAAACGACATATCAAGCTCTCTATGTACAACTACAAGACAAACTAATGCTTTTTGAAAAGGTCGATAGGGGTGTGGGATAGATGCTGAGAATTGAAGGAGCTCACTGCAGCGAAAACAAAGCGTCAATTATATAGAATACGGGAATATGCAAAACTAGATATTTGTATTATAACTCGCTATTCATACTTATATTATTCGAGAAATTCGCGGATATAGTTAATCTTAGTTAAGAGATAACCGCCTTTAGCAAAAAATTTAGATAGCTTGGACATTGGTCGTACTTGGGCTCGACGCCATAATGCCCTCGTAGTAGATTTTTCGTTCTACAGTTCTACGACTTTTCTTAAGAGGTATTGTTGAGAAGGGTTATTACCTGTCTTTCAAACTATAAAATAAATAAAATAATTAAAAATTACATGAAAGGTTTTTATTAACTTTAAAATTCGGTTACAATTTGGAAATTCTTATATAAATTAATTATTTTAATTAACTAATTTAATTTTTAAATTTATCGCTGGCACAAATTTAACGCAGAACACTCAACTCTTTTAGCCGCTCACGCTATCAACTGGGCCAAACAACGCTCTCAATATAATCCAAAAAGGCCGACACACGCGTATAAAGTCCCGGAGTTGCGCTGCCACAACTGAAGCCGGCTGAAATTACACCAACAACACTATATTTGTTTAACGCCTCATCCACCACCAAAGTCAAGGGACCACCGGAATCACCCTGGCAGGCGTCCTTTGTCAAACCAGGATCGTGAGCACACATCTGACTGGCAATAATACCTTGACGGTTGCGACGCGTCAAACCATTGTCCACAAAACTCTCATTACAACGAACATTATCGACAATCACCTGTCGTGCTTTAAGCAAAATATTTGATTTTTCACGAGCTGAAAGTGTGAGGATAAGAAAAGATTTATTGATTTTGAATGCCAAATATTAATTCTAAAATATGTACATACTCTGCCTATTAATAACACCCCAACCGGCGACGTAGAGTTGGGCGTTAGGTGGTGGATCAGAAGGTTCGGTGTAGAGACAAGTTGGAAACACGTTGAGGGTATAAGCGACTTCCTCTTCTAGCTCCAACAAACCAACATCATTATAAACAGTAGCGCTCGTGTAATCGGGATGTATATGAACTTTCTGAAATGAGAAAGAGGAGAGGAGAGTGAATAGCAGAGATATCGAGAGACTATGGGTTTAAGTTAAAGTTAAGAAATGTCTTGCAGACAGTTGAAGACACTTGAGAATTTTAAAATAGTCAACGGTTTTTCAAATTACGAAAATTATAAAGAAAAGATATAAAAGTTCGTATTTGATTACTATAAATTTCTTAAGTTTGTTCTCAAGTCTGTTTTTTTTTTTTTTTTGTCAAAATTACCTTAATTTTCACTTCGACTACGGACTTCATTTCCTCCGGATTATTGAAATTCACCACACCCATACGCACCGTCACCGGTATTTGACGTGTGACCAAACAATGTGCGGCAGTCAAAACGAAACGATTCGAAATCAAAGTGCCACCACAATTATATTCTACCTCATCATCGGTATTCATCAGACCAATAGCTGCCATATGAGGATATTCGCCAAGCTCGACGGGTGTGCCATCCAGAATGTGGGGTGTTAGTAGAGGTTGTAGTTTATCGTTGATTTCATTGCAGGCTGTGTGTCACGATGAAAAGGTAAGTGAGAAAAATCTAATAATAAGTAATATATTTTATTATGTGATGCATATCAAACTAACCCCTAACAGCTGGCCGATCATCGGAGCGTGTCTTTATCGTTGAGGTAGGTACTGGTAGAGTGCTGCAAAGGAAAAATAAATATAATTCAAAATATTGTTATTTAGTGTTATACTGGTGACCATCACGAATATCAACAGCTCACTTGCGCTTAGTTAGTTCTGCGGTTTTAGTATTTTTTGCGCTTTAAAATTCAGAAGTGGAATACTTTTAAGCGTATCGATTTTCTATAGCATCTTTGTGAGAGTTGACAGAGTAGACGGTTACAAGTTTTTTGTGTGAGTAATTTACTTACGGACAACATATTATTTCCTCATACGTTGTGAAACCGCATCTACTTATATCCTTTCTTTTCAGACCTAGTTGACTCATGATATATGGCAGATCCATACATTTGCTCGCCTCCAAACAGATGCCTCTATTCGATTTTATTTCACAAGACTCACCTACTGAGATCGGAAAATAAGCATTTTAGATTTGAATTATATATGTGGATACAAATTGAATAAAAGTACTTAAGTTTTGGCAGTCTCAGTGTATAATTTTCATATAACATATTGGCCGAAATCTCGGCAACAAAATCAACAACTTAACATGGTTTCGTCTCACTAAGCCAGGTGCTCAGAGTTTTTCGAACGCAAGGGTCTTTCACTAAGGGGCGCTTTGTAACCACCGAAGCGATTTTTTCGGCCGAGCTCTTCTTTGTTATTTCTGATTTTGTGTCTTGATGTGTTTCCAACAAATGGAGGGACGTACAGTTTATACTAAGAAACCTACGAACGGCTGATGGTTTTTTACGAGGAGAGTTTTTTCATATACAAAATACACTCGAAGGGGTGGACTTTCGAGGGACGACCGTAATTAGAAACTTTAACTTGATTTTTTATTCAAATTAATTTGCTTTAGCTTTTGGATGTTGGTCGCACGGGGATTTGAACCCGAGCCTTCCGAATGTCACAGCGGCCGCCATTACATTAAGTTACTAAATGGAATAACGTCCACATGAATTGCTCAAAGCTTTTGTGTAAACGCTCTAGCCATATCTGTCTATTTTTGCCATTAGAGAATCTTGGGTGGCTTTCTTCATATCTCCACATCTACAAGTACATCTCTCGTCCACTAATTACTTACCCTCTTTTTGAGCTTCTGTCACGCCAAGCAAGGCGACAAATATGCTTCCCACTATCAGCAACATCTTATAATATTCACGCGGTGGCCTTGTGAAATCTCTGGAACACATTTTCATATATTCTTTTATTATATTTTATAGCAATCAGTCTGCACGCTGTAAATATTATTACTGAGTCAAATGCAAATACTGCAGTGCAGTTTTATCGCATCAAATTATGTTGGTATGTAGTAATGTGTATGCTGGTGTTGTGTGAGAGCTGCACGCGACTCATTCGCCGTAGAGTCATTGAACCGCAAACCAATCTGCAAGTAAATTTGTACTAATGTATGTATGTAAGTAATGATATTAGTGCAGATATTTGGTCCAATTCCGGTTTTGTCAGATAATAAATAATTTATTTTCAATATGTGTGTACACATATACATATGTATAGGTATGTGTGACCTTGTGCGCTGTCTCTGATTGCGGAACTACACCTTGACATTGACAGGCAAAATTAAGTGAGGAGTTTAAATTGAGATAAATTGCATTTCGGAGGTGGAGTTTTATGAATATATTAATAAATTTTATAATAGAATTTACTTTATGAAATTTCTCGCAATTATGAGAGTTATTTAGTTTTTTATCAGAATATATATGTATTTATAAATTAATATAATAATAAGTAATAAAATAAACAAACTTAAACAATAATATAATTAAGCAAAATAAAGTGTAATAAACTAAAATAATAAAAAATATTTATAAAAAAAAAAATTGAATAATAAAAATATAATAAATAAGAGAAATTGGTAAAAAGTGAAGTGAAATAAAAAAATAACGCCCATCAAAAACCATCGAAAAGGTTCGACGTCGAAAAGCTACAATAAAACAGGCTGCCGAGCGGTTTACTACTCGGCCTGCACTCCTGCTCTCTGAGAACATCCTCATAGGTACCGAGAATTGGAGAGGGAAGCGAGACGCATGTGCACACAAAGAAAGTAAGACACCAAGCGGGAATTTGAAGAGCTTAGTAAGCTATCCGACGGATGTAGCGAAAAAAAGAAGGTTTCAAGATAGGAGTATGCCCTTGAGATATTCAAGGAAGTGATTAACGACTGATGTTTATGGCAATGAAAACGAAACACCAGGACATGGAGCAGATGTTTCATTGCCAGGCTTTGAAGAAGTTCGAATAACAATCGCCTGCTTGAAAAACAACAAAGTGACGAAGGCCGCTTGACTGTTGGCCGAGCTATTTAATTAAGGCGGTGCAGAAATGACAAAGGAATCCGTAAGCTTATTTGGAGAATATGATCGGATGAAGGCATGCCCGATGTGTGGAGCCTAAGTGAGATTTGCCCAATCTATAAAACAAAAAGGAAGACCCCGCAGCCGGCCCCAATAACAGTGGGACTAGCATCCCTAATATCGCATATAAGGTCCTATCGAGCGTATGGTATAAAAGACAAGAGCGCAACGTCAATAAACTGATTGTACCTTATCAGCGTGGCTTTGAGGTAAAAAATATTCTATTGAACAGATATTCGCCATGGGTCAAACATTATAAAAAGACCAGTGAAATAAGGATCGGTAGACACCGCTTCTTCGCCGATTCTATAGCAGCCTTTGACAGCTAAGTAAACTGACCTCAAGCAACACAAAAACTTCCGTCAGTATCGGGAGGGACCTTCCCAGGCCGTTCAATACCAATCGAAAATAATACAGCTGCTGTGCTTAATAGATCACGTACAATCTTTTTGCCTCAACAGCCGCACCGTAAGTTCTGCTTGGTTCAGACTGGATAAGGAAGTGTAGGGTGTGGGCTGGAATGAGGGCAAGACGAAATATTTCTCATGCCACTCTTTACAGTCCCTCTCTATCCTCGGAAAAACAATAAAATCAACAGCAAATTATATTTAAATATAATAAATCTACAATCATATAAATACATAAAATAAACATTATTCAATAAAAAATTAATTATATTTAAAAGAATATAAATTAAAATTGAATAAATATAGTAAAATAAATAAACTTAAATAAAATTGAAAAAATAAAGGATAATAAAAAACTAAAATCAAAAAATAAAATAAGAAAATTAAATTAAAAGAAAACAAAATAAAATAAAATAATATAATATAAATTAAAATAAACCAAAAAATAAAAAATAAAAATAAATAAAATCAAATTGAATAAAATAAAATAAAATAAAGTACATTCAAACAGCTTAAAGTAAAATAAACTACTAAAATAAAATTTTATTAAATAAAAAAAATAACAAAGGATACTAAATCAAAATAATATCAAATTAAAAATAAAAATAATATAAAATAACATAAAAAAATAAAATAATATGATATAAAATGATGTAATATAATACAAAATAAAATAGAAATAAAAATTAACTATCAAAATTAAATTAAATTAAATATAGTGAAATAAAAAAATGAAATAAAATAAAATAAACTAACAAATCAATTTTTTTTTGTGTAATGTTTTTTTCTTTCCTTTTTGGAAACTTACAATAATTCCGAAAATCTTAAAATAAATGAAATAGAAAAAAAATATAATAAAAATAAATAAAAAAATTAAATAATTCTTTTATGATAATATAAAATAAAATAAAATAAAATAAAGTGATTAAAATTAAAATGAAACAAAATAAAATAAAATAGAAATAAAATTATATCTAATTTAGTTTAATTAAATTTTATATATAGAAATAAAGTAAAAAATGTAATAAAACAAAATAAACTAAAATAAAACGGCATAAACATAAACAAAATTAAAGTATATAAATTAGAAAAAATTAAGGATGACAAAATAAAGTAAAAAAGAATTAAACGGAAAAAAACAAAATAAACTAAAATAAAAAAATAAAATGAAATCAAATAAAAAAATAACCAATTAAACTATAATTAAAATAAAATAAAGTAAAATTAAATGAAATGAAATAAAATAAAACAAAAAAAAATTAAATGAAATTAAATTGTGTTAAATTAAAACAAAAAACGTAGAATAATAAAATAAAAAACAAAGTCTTAAATTAAATTAATTTAAATAAAATAAAAAAATGAATAAAAAATTGGACAAAATAAAATACTGCGCTCAAATATAGCATTAATAAAAAGTATAAACTAAATAAAACAAGTAGTAAAAGAACTAATTTCATTTAAATTAAAATAAAGTAAAAATTAAAAAAATCAGTTAAATAAAATGCAATTAAATAAAAAATTATATTAACCCCAAAAAACTAAACTAATATAAAATAATTAAAATTAACTATATTATAACAAATAATTACTATTTCAATACAAAATTTTACGAGGGTAAACGAAGTCTTAGAAACACGTATGCTGATATAAAAGAAACAATATATATTATTCCATTGCACGTTTGAAAATTAAGTTAACTGTACAATAATATCATAAAAAAAACAAACGACGTTGCTGGCGTCAAACAAATTCCGAACGAAAGAGCCATACTTAAAAGGAAAGTTAAGTCGCTTTAAACAACTGTTTGTGTATGCTTGTTTATTTAATATTCTTAACAAAATAATAGAATGAAGAGCAATAAAGTCAACTCGCTTATTTCTTATCTAACACAATTTTGGTCACTTTTACAAATGCAATACGGATACAGTAAATTTCTTAACCGGTGTGATTTTGCAAGAAAAACCCCATCAATATTTTCTCACAATTTGGGATTATACTAACATTATTTCATTAGTCACACTTTGTTCATAAACAAAAACGTTTCATAGAAAAAACCCTTTTATTTGCACTTGAATTCTGCTCAAACATGTTAAAAAAAAATCTATTAAAAATCACAAAAAAAATGAAACTGAAACTGTAACTGTAACTCTTCTATAAAGCTCAATTTGACCCTATAAATAAGAAACTGTCTCAATTTATTTGTTTAATTGTTATAAAAACCCAAAAATAAAAAAATCACCAGTCCATAAAAGCTGCTTGGCGCTGCAAAATATGTCAGCCTCATCTTTATCTCTCTTTAGCTTCGTAAATATAATATTAAAAAATTACACATGTTATTTATTGTTTAATACTTTGTTATTAAAACGCACAGTGGTGTCACTCTTATCACATGCTCATTGCCAAGAATTTATATATTTATGTACATACAATATATACAATTGCTTACATATAAATATACACGTATGTAAGTATGCGCCAAAGTATCTTTCGAATGCACTATCTCTGACAAAAACAATCACGAAATTATTGCTTTGTTTTGCTAATGTTTTTTGCACATTTCTTGCTTTTTTTTTGTATTTTTGCTCTCTTTCATTGATTAACACGCAAAATTATTCTCTGAAGCTGTGTGTTGATTCGTGTGTATTTGTGTGCGGTTCTCGGTGTTTTCACGCGCGTACTCAGCTGGTGTGTTTATCCGGTTTTCGCTAATAATTGTTTCAAATAATTGTTTCCAATATATATATTTTTTCAATACCTAACATTTAACAGATATTAGCCGAAAAATGAAATTCTTTTTTACGAAATATTTTTTATTTATTTTTCTTATTATACCTATAAAAATGAGGTTTTGTTGCTGTTTTCTTTCAAAAAGATTTGAATTTACTCCGCTTTAAAAAATATTGTACAGCAGCACAACACGGCTATTTGAATACTGGCTTTGTTGCTCATCAACAACAGTCTGCGGGCTTCCAAGCGTCCGGTGCGCAGTAGAAGACATAGAAACTTAGTAGTAAACAGAGAATTAAGGGAGTAAAATATTTTATGTACCATTTTTGTCAGTTTCTGTGTATTTCAAACGTGTGAAGTCGAAGATTTCTAGTAAATATGAAAATCTGCTTAAAAAAGTCGTAAAAAATGGCTTCAATTGTGGCTTAAATAAAGAATACAAAAAATTGTGTACTAAAATCTTTTTATTATATAAAAAAAATGCCAAACAACTGCCGAAAATCACGTCGGAAAAAATTTATAAATTGGAAAAGCGTGAAAATGTTTTTTTTTTTGTAATTAAAAGAACATTGTTCTAAAAACTTGAATTAACTCATTTCTAATATTTATTATATCACCAAATCGGCCGAAACTCGCTTCAGCTGTTACAAAGTGATATTTTATATTTATAAAATTGCAGAAAAAAAATTAATTTAAATATTTATAAATTGAAAAGTGACTAAAATAAGGGTTTTTTAATTATGAAAATATTCTCAAAACATTATTTATTTTCAATTTCGTAGAATAAATTTTAAAAATAACAAGAAGGTCATGCCGATATCTTTATAACTTTCAGCACCGTAGTGTTTCATTTTAAGATTATATATAAATTCTCATATCTGAAAAGAAACGGTTGTATGTGAACTCTAAGATGGAGACATCGGACTTCGATGATTTTCGGTTGCAATGCTTACTTATATAAACGTGTGTAGAATACCAATTTCAAATGCTTGTTTGCCGGATTTTAGAACCAAACCTTCCAGTATGTTATACGATTAGTCGTCCGATTTCGAAATTTTCCAGCAATAAAGTGCTGTTAATCATACGAGTATGTAGGCAGAATACCAGATTTTACGATCTTAGATTGACAATTTTATAATCCAAACTTTCATTCCTTTCGATCAGTTTATCATTTAATAATTTATATCAGAGCAGCGCAGTGTTTGTTTGAAATATTTCAAAATTTATAGAATTAATTTACATACAAATTGACGTAGAGATGGACAGACGAACCTACAAGCATGTCTAAATCAACTCAATCCGTCACTCTGATACAATCGATATACATTTGGAGGAGTCCATCTTTTTTCATCTGGTCCATTTGTATACTCGTATACTGCCAACCAAAGTTACGATACCATTTTATGTACATGAAAGGTAGATCAAAGAAATTAGTAGCAAATCTACTACGAAACTAGGAAAGCAAAAATGTAAAGCGTAATTTAAGCGTGGCAGCTCACAAGCATTTTGTGCTTTCAGAATTTGGTGTTCATGTTTTCATTTTTTTTTATTTCTCAGTATTTGGAGTCGCACGTAACTTAGGCTGGAGAAACAAGCAGAAGTTGAGTTTCTCTCTACTAAGCTCAATGAGACAACAATCGTGAAGAGAGGAGAATAAGATTGAGAGTGGCTATAAATAAATAAATAAATAAAACTGAATAACAAAACCTTTGCGTATTGATATTTGACACCAGCGCGGCCTCAAAGAATAGCGTTTTTTATTTTTTTTAACTGTATTACCTCTCCCAGCTATCAGCTGTTTTAAGTGAGAGAAGAATATTGTTTTAGTAAAAGGTAAACTAGTATTTTTTCATTCAATTGAACACTTTATTTACACTATTTATTGGGTTGCCCTAAAAGAAACTGGTGATTTTTCAAAAGAAAGTAAATACCTTTATTTTAATTTTATAATGAATTTTAATCAATTATGTAATTTCCATTTTGTTGGATGACCATTCGCCATCTTTCCGGCAAACTTCAGAACTTCAGTCCTTTAACTGCATAAAACTGAACCAAGTTCGATTTTTAACCTCGTCATTTTCAAAAGCTTTACTTTTTAATGAGTTGTACAAAGATCGGAGCAAATGGTAATCGGACGATGCAAGGTCAGAGCTATATGGTGGATGCATCAACAGTTCCCAGCTAAGCTTCTCAGTTTTTGGTGAGTGACTAAAGATGAGTGCGGTCTAGGATTGCCCTGGTGGAATGAGACACCTTTACGATTGACTAATTCTGGCCGCTTCTCGGATCATATTGGATATTACAAGCGTTGAAGCGGCAGAAGGGGTTAAATTCAATTCATGTGGTACCCAAATATCAAGTTTCTTTTTACCAGTCCAAGACGTCGTGTATGATTATGAACGGTTGAATTTGGTATACTTAACTTCTCTCCAATCTCAGGCTCAGTTGCATGAAGTTAGTTAGACTTATCCAATTTATATCAAATATTCGCCATTTTGCTCTTTAACTTTTTTCAATTTTGAAGATATTGTCATTAAGCCTCTCGCGGAAACCCTTGTTTACATTGGCACCAGAATTTTGCAATTAATTTTCACAGGTCCCCTTAAGGCCAATTCTTCACCAATCAATCATTTGTCATGCACAAGAATAACCAACCAATCTCTCGGAGCTTCTGTCGCGTTGTTTGTGGTCTGGCGTTCTCCTGATGAAATACAATATCTCTCCTGTTGGCCAAAACTAGGCGCTTCTGGGCGATTGGTCCCTTCAAATGCTTCAATAGATTGTCCATAAGTGAACAGCTCATAGTAGATAACTCCTTGTCAATCCCACCAAACACGCAATAAAACCTTCCTGGCCATCAATCCTGATTTGGAGACCATTTGTGCCGGCTAACTTCCCTTTGACCACGACCGTTTTCATTTGACGTTGATGTAAGTGATCCACTTTTCATTACCACTCAGCGTCCGCTTCACAAATGGGTTGAATTATTATGATTCAACAGCGATTCGCAGATGGAAGTTCAGTCTGTGAGTTTTTCGCACGTCACATAATGTGGAACGCAGAAACCGAGCTTCTTTATGTATCACACATGACTCATCACTGTTGGGTAACACCATCTTATTATTCCCAGCCAACCCTTTATTGATTACTTTAAAGGCCAATAGTGTCATTTCAAAGCGTCCTATTCTATTACTCTCTTCGTGTGACCAGAGGTGAGTATCAGCTATATTTTTTACATTCATCTATGTATGAAAGTGGTTAGATTTTCTACAAAGGATGAATTTCTGGATTCCAATAAAAACTTCGGCCACAAAAATTGTCGGCACATTTAACTGATTGCGACGGAGTTCTTATAATCACGATAAATTAGCGCTTAGGAATTAATTGGAACTCTCTTCCAAGCGGCCGTACCACTGTGTTGGAAAAAGGGAGAGAGAGATCTTCATCTGCAGTGATAGTCAGGCAGCAATAAAAGCCCCAGAATCGATTACGGTAAATATTAAAATCATTCTGAACTGTGTGAAGTGGATAAACAGAACAGGGCGTCCATTGTTTTGATCCCTAGCCACAGGGACATAGAATCAACGGTACGACTCAACGAACTTGCTAGGGTAGTCACGTCCAAATATAAAACCCAATGATATGCCTCTCAGTACGAGAAAACTATTGCTCATGGAACTCATTTGTATATTTATTGCGTCAAGTCGAGAAAAACTTGGCAGAAATGAGACCAGTAGAAATGGTAGACATTTCAAAGATAATTGGCATAGTGACTCGACATTCCCTCAGAAGACGGCAGAAGACAGGTAGTATTTTTCTTGCAGGGTAGGGTAAATACATAACCTTTAATTTGCAGAGTTTGGTAGTCGAGAAAAGTATGTCTTGAGTAAAAAGATGGAAATGTGAGCTTTATCCAAAAAAGGGAAAATACTTCTACTTTTTAGGATTTTGTTCTTGTGACTTCCAAGACATTTCAGATCAGATTACAAATTTTACACGTCTCTCTCAGTTTAAACTCCATCAATTATTGAACAGTACAGACCGATCCTAAAAGACCCCCAATGTTAGGTTAGGTTGAAATAATTAACCAGCGAGTCTCGCTCAGACAATATTACGTCCGTGGTGTTTCCAGACACAATACATCCGACCATTATTAAGTTTTTTCGTCAATAGCCTTCCATCATACTAAAACACCATAGAAAAGTATTATCTTAACAATTTCAAAGGCAATGCAGGGCGAAAGAGCGAGGGAGAGACTCAAGTGTAGTCCAAAATCTGTTTATATGTGCTCGCTCCTCTACATTAAGTATCCATGACAACTTACTATCAAACACAATTTCCGAGCAATTAGTTCTAGGTTTCAGCTATAGAATGGCATCTCCCAGCTGTTGATAGGTCTAAGCTGGAATTTAGTATTTCTTTATGAATAGAACCAGTTATGTTTCCCTAATGCAAGTTTCGTACAGTAGGCCAAACAGAAACTTTTTACCATGGCTCTTCGAAGCATAGCCGGGAACATTACAGCTGAGCTCGATTTTTTTTTAGTCCAAGAACGTCCGGGTTGTCCATGTAGCTTAGCCTAAATTTGCTTTCCACAACCGGTTCTTCCAAAACAATATCTCGCTCTGACGTAGACAATGGGTAGTGGACAGCAAGTGGCATTTCCAGTGATTTCTTGCTGTTATTGGCCCATTTGCCGTCTTCATATTTGAACTATCCCTTGAACAGTTAGCCCCTTCGGTAATACTTTCCTTAGTCCTATGAACTCAGTTGTGCTCTCTATGCCACAGCAGACGTACTGGTTTTAGTTATTGCATTTCTAACTCATACTAGCACAGTTTATATATAGCTATCTGCGCTAACTTGAAAGTCTCCTCTACTTTTTTTCCTGGGAGATCCCACTTCAGCATTTCACCAGAGTGGTGTACTCTTGCCCTTAATTTTAAGCATTGAAAAGGATGCCCAAAACCACCGACTAAAGGGAAGACGAGATCCGTATTAGCTAATGATATCAGCCAGACGAAATAAATTAGACGTTTTAGCAACTCTCACTTATTTGCCGTCGTTACTGGTGGCCCTCGGCAGGGAGTGTGAACCGCATCTAGTATATTTCAGACATGAAATGAAGGCTCTTCATAAAAAAACCATCAGCCGTTCGGAGGAAACTACTATATACTGTAGGTTCCTCCATTTGTGGAAAAAAAACATCAAATTGGAGAAGGAGCTCTGCCGAAAATCACTTTAGCAGTTACAAAATGCCAATAATACGATGAGATTAACAAATGCTCGGGCAGTGGGTAACTTTAAATTTGTTTTTGTTAAATCTTAAAATTACCAAATCTTTTCCAATTTCTTTATTAGTCTTCCTTTCAAATTTTAAAACGATCGGCTAAAATGGAGACGAAAAAACGAAAAATAGCTGAGAATAGGTCAGACGAAATTCCACCACCAACGCAAACAGAAATTCGCCATGTGACTCTCTTCGGGTTTCGGCATAATTTACACCAAATTCAAATATTCTGTGAATGTTAAATTGCATATGGAACGATTGCACCGTCTTTAAATATTATTTCTAAGTTGTTCCGAAGATTCCAGACCGAATATTTTTCCGTAGAGGACGAGCCCCGAAAAAGTCGACCAAAATCATCCACTGATGACATCACTGTAGCTCTGGTAAAGTCCAAGTTCGAAAACTCACGATGAATACAAGAAATGATTGCTAATAAGTAATCTGGGATACACGAAGAAATCTGGTCGATGGGTACCACGAATTTTTAATGAGGCCCAAAAAGAGGTTCAAGTGCGTTTTGCTGAATGTTTCCGAAACAAATTGGAAATCGGTCAGTCCAACAACTTTAGTAAAGTCGCTTCTGGCGACGAATTATGATTCTATTAGTACGATCCAGAAACCAAACAGCAGTCTATGTTTTGGAGCCCAAAAGGAACAAAACCACTTGTAAAATTAGCAAAATTAGCGATGTCAGTTTCTTTCCCCGATCTTAAATCGTTGTTGTTATTCCAATGGAGAATGGTTGGATTACAGGAAAAAAGAGAATTTTATTGCGATCTCTGGGATCCAGAACCTTGTGATTTCTGGTTATTTCCGAAAACTATAAAAATGTAAAAGGAAAGTTCTTTATAGCAACGAGGAGATAATTAATTCAGTTAATGCTGAACTTAAAAAGCTTTGAAAGCAAGATCTTGCAGACTGTTTTCAGAAATGGATCTATATGCTTAAGAAAAGCATTAAAGTCAATGATGATTATGTAGAAAAGATAAAAAAGGACAAAGATTACGAATAAATACAAAAAGACTTTTTTTGTTTCTGATCAACTTATCGAACTTTTGTTAATTTCCTCGTATATCAATATCATATGTATATTAGGCCTTGGAATAATCAAAGTCTGCGACTTCAGCTCATGCAGGGCCATTTAGCGGTTGCTTGAGTACTTCAATACCTTAAGCCATTTTAAAATACGTCTATCTTAAACACGTCTCGCCTCAATTCTTTGTTATTGTGGCGGTTTTTCAAGGAAACCCGGTAAAAGATACTAGAGCTTAAGCAAAACAAAAAATTAAAAAAAGAAATTATCAACTCCAAGTTTCAGGGGAATTCTGCGAGAGTGTAGATTTAAGTACATCCATTATATTATATAAAACATACACACATAATGTCTATAAAAACTCTGAAGTGGAAAAGAAATAAATTGATTAGCTTTAACCAAATGATCTTTCTTATCAATTCCAAGAATATCGGGTATTTTTGTATACATAAACATTTTCATAATGAGGTCGATTATTGTTTATTAATGATTCCTTAAGTTCGCATAAATATTTATATATATTTATGTATAATATATTATTTTTCTTAACTCTATAATTTCGTGGCATTTTTATGGTATTCCAATGAGAGGTGTTATTTTGAATGGCCTGCTATTCTGGTAGATTTGACAAGTATAAACTATGCCAGCCGTAAAACTGGCACGATACTCGATTCAACAATGCATTGAAATTAATAAAACAAAACTAAAACCTTTTTCAGTCGTCGTAAAGCACATTGTCGGAACGCAATACAGAAATTGTTGGAAAATATGCATGAAAATGATCCAGAATTGCCTCGAAAAATTACCTGGACTAATGAACCAAGATTTGTTGTTAAAAGGCCTCTCCATCCTCAACGTGTAACGGTTTGTTCCGTTTTTTGGTCCAGCAGTCATTGGACCTCACTTTTTGCAAACTGACGCTGGAACTGCAGTTATGGTGAATAGACTGCGCTATCGAGAAACAATTAATAACTTTTTATGGCCGGAATTGGACGGTATTGAACTGGACCCCTTTTACTCTTAAAAAACCTGCGCTACGTGCCACACAAGCAACGAAACCATCGATTTTTTAAGGTGAATGTTTTCGGACCATGTTTCCTCTCGAAGAGCTAATCGCTATTGGATTTAATACCTTACGCCTTAGTCCTTTGCTGCCACATGGCCAACGTCGATTTGAAACCTCAAAGATAGAATTCGTGAAGCTGTTGAGAGCACACAGCAACCACTTTGTGATTTGGTGATGGAAGATTTCATAGAAAGGTTACGGTCCTATAAGCTTAACAGTGGGTCCATTTGGTGGATTTTATTTTATATTATTAATAATGTATCTTCCTCTATAGACTGAAACTAAAAACCGATCTTTTATCCAAATAAAATGCAATGTTTTTTTTTTAATGTCAAAATAAAACCTCTTATTGGAAAACCCTGTATATTTATTGTTCTGAAAGACGCTTTTTAGAAAATGCCTGCTCGCCGCTAGTGCCAAGGAAACCGATTCCTATTTCGACTCCTGCGACGTTCATTTCTCGTTTGAATCACATAATTCCGGAATGGATTAACTGTTTTTAAATTATTAATAACTTTTTGCCTTGTTTGGACTAAACGGTTGGCCAAATCAAACGCACTATCCCTGATTACTTCATGTATCATAGAGTCTCTATGTCTGGCGTTACTCTTAAATCTTGAATTGCCATTTTGATTGTCATTCTCTTGATCCACAATAGGTATATTCTGTGGATTGTCATTAAAAGCATGTCCATATGGTGGAGGAGGTCCATAAAATAAGCCATTATTTTCCTGCGGTGGCTGAGGTTGATTAAATTGATGAATTGATGGGAGATTATTAAAATAATCTTTATTGTTGTGAAGTTCAAAATGTTTAGCGTTTCCGGCATATTCACTAGAGAAACTTATACTCTCTGAGCTCTCACTGTCACTTTCGCTTGAGTCTTTATTAAATGTACTCTCAATGTATGGTGGTGGTGGTATGTCAGGTGAATAAGGAATGTTTGAAGGTTCATACTTTGATGGTGTTTCTTGGAGCTCAGTATCCAAATATATATTATCCGATCCGACTGTTATATCACCAACCGGTACGGCCGGATAGGGAATATTAGAAGGTTCATACTTTGAAGGTGTCTTCTCTTGAAATTCATTATCCCCTGCAGCTTTTGTGTCTGCAACCGTTACGGGTTTCCAATTAAATGCACCGTTGCTACTATCAGTTTCTGCCGCTGCGGCGAAATCTGAATTTTCTTCAAATACGTTCTTGCTTGTTTCAATTTCAACTCTATCCCGAACCTTTGTGTCACCACTTGGCATTAAATTTCCGCTTTCAATTGGCACTGGGATTGGTTTAACCTCCTGTCCCAACACAGGCGACGCTAAATTGCCATTGAATTGATTGTTATCTAACCATGGATTGCCTTCTAACGATATCGCTGGGTTAAAATCTTTTACGGTTGGATTCTGTATTTCTGAACTTAGTTTTCCATTGGGCGAGAAATTTCCGGCAAACGAGTTTGTGCTTAAATTTTTCTCGGTAACTTTATCGCCCAACCCAACAGGATTCACGTTCAGTTGGTTTGTGTTTATTATGCCTTCTCTGCGCTTGTCATCGATAGATTTAGTTAACGGTTCTGTAATGTGATTTTCATCGACAATTGAGCTGCCATTAAATACATTTTTCCACTTTTCATTAAGATCTCCATCTAGTTTATTTATGCCCTCAGCGAGTTTTTCATCTGGAAGATGATCTGTATTCGAGCTTCCAATAAACTCTTCTCTTGGTTCATTGAATATATTTTTAGAATTTTCATTGGTGATTTCATCTCGTGGGATGTTTCCGGTGAGCAAATTTCGGTTTACGTTTCCATCCGTTGATCGGTTTACCGAAACTATATCCTGCTGCGGATTTAGCGGATTTTCATCTTGAACCTGATTTAAATTAAATATATTTTTTAGTCTTTCATTTAGGCTGTCACCAGGTGCTTGGTCTGCATCGATGGGGTCTTTTGGTTGATCGCTATTGGTTTCTACTGGTGCTGGATTAACATTAAAGATATTTTTTATTCTCTCGTTCACTTCTTCATCCTTTATGAGCCTACCACTGGAAGCATTTTGATTGAGCTTACCATCTGAATCAGTGTTGCCACCGAAAATATTTTGTGCCCTTTCGCTTATGTTTTCATCCAGTACAGTGTTTTCGGGGAGCAAACCTTGATTTTTCTTTTCACTTACGGCTGGTGCACCGTCGAATAGTTTTTTCAAGATATCGTCAAGGTTTTCGGTTTTCTCGGGTTGTTTATTTAATATTTCAACTGTATTTTCACTCAACACCGGGGTGCTCTCATTTAATAAACCGTTACTGTTTTCATTTACGTTCACATTCCATAAGGCTACGTCATTTAATACACCGTTATTATTACTAGTTGCTCCACTAAATATTGCATTAATTTTATCATCTAAACTGACATTTTGCCATGGATTTTGAATTGTTTCCTCTCCTCCCTGTGATGTAGGAAGTGTAAATCCTTTTGAGAAATCTACAAACTCATTTGGTAGCTCAGGTGGTAATTGTACTGGTGGCATTTGTAAGGGTGTTGGCCACTTTCTGGAATTAAAATTTATTAAGCACATGAATAGAGTTCAAAACATTTAAATATATTTAAAGTAAATTACGAAGCTTACGGACAGCATATTAGCTCCTCTGTAATGGTAAAGCCACAACGTCCCACATTATAACTTTTTAGTCCCAACTCTTCCATAATGGACTGCAGATGAAAACATTTACTCGTTGGCAAGCAGGTGCCTTCGTAGCCAGCAAAATCACAGAAATCGTTTTCTGAAATTTTGGTATTTTAATTGAAAAATAGCGGAAAATATAAAAAATTCAATATTCACCATAAAGCATCTGAGCAGCGCTGTACCCGCTAAGTGTCAAAAGGAAGAGCGCCCAACTCACCACACTGGGTTGATATTTTAAAGCCATTGTGGGCAACATATCTGTTCAAGGGTCTCCAAGGAAAAATAAAAAATAAAAAACATACATTTTTTTCAATTTCACGGTTTCACGTTTACATACGTACATATACGGAAATTTAATTTTTTATAGTAAAAAATATATTTTTATAAAACGCTAGCAGACCCGGTCACACATTCTATTTGGTATTGCAAATAACGATAGAAACCCCTAAGTAACCGAGCATACCTACGCAAGTTCTAGGCAAACATCCAAACCATACTAATTTTTGACAATCTGTAGTGATACCTTCCCCGTGACGACCAACTTAGTTCTATGTTCTATCCTATTTCCAGGAAACACAAGTTTTCCATTTAAGCTTAGCGCCCAAAAATTTAACCGAAGCCGAACCACAAAGTTACATGTTCTTTCCAAAAAGTTCAATCCACTTTTTGTAAAACAAGGACTTCACTTAAATGAAGTCATAAATATGATTTTTTCGAATAGGCCGGTTGCCGGTCTACTTCCCTTTCCAAGGACCATAGAACGAAACTTAGCAGTTCCATAAAAAACTCAAAAACAATTCAACAGAGCCATGACCTGAAAAAAACATTTATAAATTCCCATTGCAATCTGTCCGGTAGTTTTGGAAACCACAGAAAATTAACATATAAACCAACTTTTTTATATATTAAGTCGAGTGAAAAGTAATCCATTATCCGATTTTTGTCAAATATCCACGGTTTTACTTGAAAACCTTGCGACATTTTGAAGGTAATTTCGTCATGCTTTCCACAAGATTCTCTTGGGGCCAATTCATCACCAGCTAAGACGTTAGCCATAAACAGGAGCAAATGGGTCACACTTGGTGCGAAGTTCGGCCTATAAGTTGGATGCATAAGTACCCCCCAACCAAGCTCTCGAAGTTCCCTGTCTGCTGAGCGCTTCTGGGGAAGGGAGAAGCGCATAGTGGATTGTAGATAGTTCTTTGTCAATTCCACAAAAGGATATTCGGTCCATGACCTTACCCAGCGGGTATCATCTTTTACATCAAAACTACCGGAACGAAATCGACCAAGGTAAAATTGTTTCAACTGCCTGATAACCGTTTTCGGCTTAGCCGAGCTTTTTTTTATTTTCGCAGCACTCCTGAGTGAAGTGATCAACACTTTTTCTTAGTACGATATATCATCATTCTAGGTCAACCAGCGTCATCCAATCACTCTTTTAGAACGAGAGGTAAGGATCACTAAAGTCAACTTTTGCTAAAACAGTGGTTTGCTTTTTACAAGGCCAATATACAAATATCTTCCTCTGAATACGAAACATTAAATCGAATTTCTGCAATGAAACACCAAGTTTTTCCAAAACAAATATTTTTTTTTTTTAATTTTTTAAATTTTTCTGTAATCTTCACACTCTCACAATTGCATTTTTAGGTTTGCTATTTTTTAGTGAATTTAATAATTATCACTATAAGAAAGCCCACCTTAGGCGTCGTATAGAATGAATATTTCTTTTCCGTAGACTCTCAACACTTGTTATCAACAATTCGAAATAACAATGACTGCTTTCGATGGTGCTTGTAAGGAAAGCATATTTTTATTGGAAATACCTCGTTCTAGAGTTTATTGATAAGAGAAACAACAGTACATATACATACTCGTATAATAGAAAATGTGCAAGTAGTTGTAAAAAACAAAATTATTACAATTGAATAACAGTGATGCTTTTCGTAAGCAAACTCATTTATTCGCATTTTCAAAAATTTTATTTTACTTTTTCGAATTATTGAAGTGAAACTTTTTAGTGATTTGGAAACTGCGTTCGTACAATAAAGACGAAATATATAGTTTGTATAAGAGAGAGCATGAGAAAAAGATCAACGCTGTTCAAGAAAGAGTGAACTACAGAGTGCTCCATATTTTATGACGGTATTTAACATAACTTTGAGAAAAACCAACCGATTTCTATAAATATTGTTGTATTGGGTTGCCCAAAAAGTAGTTGCGGATTTGCTTGTGACTCTGTAATTGCATTCTTTCCTCTGTCAGTTATCAGCTGTTACTTTTAGCTTGCTTTAGAAAAAAAGTGCACGAAATTTTGTTTACATTTGTTTGTTTGGCGTCAATTTTAATATAGAGCCCACAAAGGAGCATTTTCGTCATATTTTACTTTATTATTTCCGTAAAGGAAAAAACGCGGAGCAGGNTTTACTTTCTTTTAAAAAATCCGCAATTACTTTTTGGGCAACCCAATAGTATGTATTTTTATTCAGTTTGGTGCAATTTTTTTGGCTAGTATTTGAAAACAATATCAATCAAGTGGCTACCTTTATTAGCAATTACCAAATGACTCCTTTTTTCTGCGTTTGCCATCACCCTTCTGAGCATCTCGGGTGTTATAGCGACGATTTCAGCACGAATGTTTACCTTGAGCTCATCGGTAGTTTGAGGCTGGTTGGCGTAAACTTTGATTTTCAGATAAAAAAAAAGGTGATCTGCCAGATGGTGCTTTTTGCCGCGATATTTTTTTCGATCCATGGCAAAAATTGTACTGAATTGACGTATTCAAAACATATCTAATGCAATGGCTCGGTTGGTAAATGTGAAAGTTATTCAGCGTTAGCATATCGACATAAAAGATGGGAGCACCCTGTATATGTTTGTAACTCGATAGAAAGAGTGAGAGCGCCAGCGAAAACAGAACTCCGTTGCGAGAAAGAGAGAAATTATATAACTCTGATGAGATTGAGTGAGAAAGAGTGTTGAACGCTTATGCTGCAACTACCCATTTTACATACCGCACAGCCATAACAACTGTATTTAATAGAATATACAAACAAGAGTATTTTCTGCGCGTCAATCGTCAGTAAAGGCTTCGACAAGCGGTGAAGATAGGTTGCTGTGGATGAAAGGTAAGTAAGATGGGTAGTTGCAATATTAGGCTAGGCTAAATAAAACATTAAAGGCACTATAGCTATAGTTAGTATCCCTTCAGCGAATCGCACTTGTGTAAAACTAACGATGATCTAGCTACCTTGTGTATGATACCAGCTCCAGCTCTACCACCATGGCTATGTCCCAGTCAGTAGTAATTGTCCCCTTCTGCAGAACTTCTGAACTCGTCCTACGATGGAACCAATGTGGCCGGCTCTCAAATGGTACAAAAATGGGTAGACATGGACATATCCCAAAATGTTTAGCTAAGAACTTGCTTCGGAACGAAAAGTCCTAATCTAGCTCTAAAATACATAGGTAGGAGCTGCTTTAACGTGCCTATAATGCATAAAATTAAATAAAAAAAAATTAATTACAATTGGATTGCCCCAAAAGAAACCGGCGGATTTTTCATTCAGACAGTTTTGAAGACCATTTTGGACAGCTTGTGAATATTTAATTGTATTTTTCCTTTTGACTATTGTAAGCCGTCACTTTTAGCTTATAAATATATATAATTGGCGCTTTGCAATTTGTGATTTTGCGTATTGATGTTTTTCCAACAGACGGAAGGACTTATAGTTTATACTAAGCGGCCTCCGAACGGCCTTATTTCATGCCTGAAATACACTCGGAGGAGTTGACATTTTATTTAAATTAATTTTTATCAAATTCAAGTTATTTTTGAATGTTCCTCTCTCACTACTATTTAGAATCGTCAATGACCCAAGGTTCATAGAACAAGGTTACGACAAGAGCAAAAACATTGTTTAATGGCGAAGCTGGTCAGAGAACTTAGAGTAACGCGAAGGTGCAATTCAGAGAGCTTAGAGTAACGAAAAGGTGCAAATTCGTTGAAACATTGAACATGCTTCAAACAATTTCTTAAAAACTACGGGAAAGGGATTCACCTTACTTTATATTATATAACAGACACTGAAAAAGTTAGCAGAGATCGCAATGGATTTTCTGCTGAAAACAGAGAATCGTATTTATTTATTGCATGCCTTTGCTTTGGCAATTTCATAGGTGCTAAATATGAATTTAATATAATAGAAAAACATCAAAAATTATAAAAAAAATATTATACAAATAATACATCTAAAAATTTTAAAAAATTATTTAACATATTATAGTTAACAGCTAAAATTTAACAGAGTGGTGAATCCCTATCCCGAGATTTTGAGACTCTGTACAAACTTCAATCGAGCATCGAACCAATAGTCAATTGAGCCTTCTCGTTACTCTAGGTTCACTGCCAACCAGAGAATTTTGTGGGTTGCCGAAGATTTTGGAAAAATATTGCATAATTTTATCTATATAACAACGTAACATTTCGACTATAAAATTCGAAAACTTTGCAGTTATAGTTGTAGTTAATACCAATCACAATTAAAGCGCACTGAATAATTTCATGACACCCAAGTGTACTTTAAATTGAAAAAAAATTTTCATTATAATATTAATATTCTTTTTTAACAAAAATTTCTATGACTAGAAAATCTAACTTTTGGTGTCATGCAATATGAATGGCATGAGAAAATAATGTCAAAATAGTAAAAATGATCAAAGTTCAAAACGAACGCGCAATTTTCTAAAATATTTAATATTTTTTCTGTCTGCTAAAAAGCTTTTGGAAAATGGGCGCACCCTATTTTGTGGAAAAATCGTGTTTAAAAACACGAATCGGTAAAAAGTGTGCAGTGGGGCATTCTGGACACAAATTTAAAAATCCGGTTTATAAAAAATTTTTGTGAAAAATTAAAACAAACATGAGATATTGTAGAATATTCGTTAAACACTTCAAATTATAAATACCATCATTTTTTGGGCTGAAAATTGTGAAGTTTCTGGCAATAAAAAAAAAAAAACTTGAATTCATCGAATAGCAAGAATTAAGTGTTTATTTAAAAAAAAAAAAATGGTATTTACGTATTAAATTTGTGTAAAGCTCTTACTCACATTTGGTGCTATTCGGCCACCTCAACTTTGGTTTGATCAAAGCTCTACACAGTCGCTTTTTTTTTGCTAATTTTTTGCGCCACTTTTTAATAAAAACAAGTGGCCAAATATATGACTGGGGTGGTGTTAGTATATAAGATATTTCGTACTATATATAAAAATCAAATCACACCCACTGTATATATGACGAAGTTGGTTCGGTGACGTCAACGGTTATCGTAAACTTGTATTCTATAAACCTTGAATTAAACGCTTTTCTTTTTCTCTCTCACCAAGAGATGTGCATGTTTTTATTTTTTTTTTTTTTATTTAAATTTATTTTAAAATTTTACTTTTCATTTTATTTTTTATTTTTTAGTTTCATTTTCAATTTAATATTTTCTCAGCGTTACTAGTTTTGTATACCGATCACTTGAAGATCATACCTATTACTTTGGCAAACTAAGCCGAGCATTTCGTTTCTTTTACAAATAAATAAAAAAATCTTCACCAAGCCACAGTAGGCAATGAGTCTTTAGCAGTCTCGTAAATAAATTAGACTCGGAACTTTTCCTCAACAAAACTGAACTCTGTAAATTTTATATTAAACGATCTGCAAATGATCTTTGAACTTAGACAATTCTTGGTTTTGTCTTAAGGGGGGAAACTGGTCTAGAATTTTGAAAAAATCGAAAAAAAAATATTTGTTAACCTTAAAATGTGCTTAAGGTCCTAGAAATAACATACCAAAAGATGGATGCTAGAAAAAATGTCTGAATTCCCAAATTTTTCATTAGACGGTAGTGCCTCGCAGGTATGCCCCGGGCGACCTACAACTTTAAACGCGTTTTTCTCGAAATCACTTTTGTTAAACTGGCCGAAGACATAACTCGAACAAATCTTCACCGATTTGACAGTAGAACCAAAAAAAAATATTTTTTGACCGAGAACAAAAATTAAGAAGTTTACGTCTACGGCCATGGACCCATTAGAAAAAGGCGTCTACGGAGAAACGCTGGAAAGCGACCATTTCGTAATTAACTCGCACGAAAAACTTTGTATTTGTACCATGAAAACTATATTATTAAACCTATTTCACAGGTTTTGGATTGAGTCCTTTGTTGAGTCAAAATAAATTCATAAAATATGCCCATTTTCTTGCGCTCTAGACCAGCTTCCCCCCTTAAAGCTTGTTCGCCTCTCGGTATAAGATCCCTGTTCACCTTCCATAGCGGAGCTGTTAGATCAATTTGTTCTTTGACATATGAAAGATGCATTCGGTGTCTTCTAAAGACATGCCCAGTAAGGGTAAATAAGGCAACTTTGTTCATTACTAGACTTCAAATTGCATTGCCGTGTGCTTCTGATTATCTAAATCGCTATGTTTGTGGGATATATCATATATGTTACAACCTAACCGATAAATGGTTTTAATAGAACTGGGCTCAAGGTTTTTCAGTGGACGAATATCTGGAACAGATTATGTTTCTGGTAAAAAATAGCTGGTTCTGGGATCCTGTTTTCAGCCGATCCTAGGGCTACATACATGCGGGTTTTGTTCCATTTGTAAACTCCTAAATAAAATGTTCAATACTCGTGCTTGACGATAATAAATATACATGGTTTTGTCTTCGAAAAAACACCCAATGGATCCAATAAAATAGCCCAATAGAGAAAAGACTGTTCAGTTGATAGGAAGGCTTTATGCCGTTTGCTTAAGATTGGGCGGAAAAACTCATAGAGTTTTAAAAAACTTAATCCCGTAATTGCAGCGTATTCATAGATCATACATCTTTCTTTTCTTCTCTTTCTTTTACTGGAATAGACGCCGCTTACGCAGTTTTAGCCGATTTAACAACATTGCGCCATTCCTCTTTGCTGTTCGGTGCCGATTGGAAATACCAAACACAGCCGGGTTTTTATCTACCTGGTCTTTCCAACGGAGTGGAGGTCTTCCTCTGCTTCCACCGGCAGGTACGATATCGAAAACTTTCTAGGCTAGAGTATTCGCATCCGTCCGGACCGCATTACCTAGCCAGCGTAGTCGCTGCTTCTTGATTCGCTGAACTAAATCAATGTTGCCCTATAACTCGTGCAACTCATCGTTCCTTGGTCTGCGGTGTTCGACATGGCCAATGCGCAAAGGACCACAAATCGTTCGCAAAACTTTTATCTCCCAAAGCCGGCTGATCAGCTGTTGACATCGTCCATGCTTCCGCACCATATAGCAGTACGGGAACGATGAGGGATTTGTAGAGTTTGGTTTTCGTTCCTCGGGAGAGAACTTTACTTTTCAATTGCCTACTCAGTCCAAAGTAGCACCTGTTCGCAAGAGTGATTCTGTGTTGGATTTCAAGGCTGACATTATTATTGGTGTTAATGTTGGTTCCTAGATAGACGAAATTAGCTACGACTTCAAAGTTACTGTTGACAGTGGCGTGGGAGCCAAGTCGCGAATTCGATGACGGTTTGCTTGATGACAAGAGATATTTCCTCTTGCCCTCGTTCACTACCGGGCCCATTCGCTTCGCTGCTTTATCAAGCCTGGAGAAAGCAGAACTAACGGCGCGGTTGTTGAGGAAATTAATTTCAATGTTATCGGCGTACGCCCGTAGTTGTACACTCTTATAGAAGATTGCACCTTCTCTTTTCAGCTCTGCAGCAAAGAGTCACCTTGTCTGAAACCTCGATTGGTGCCAACGGCTCGGAGAGATCCTTCCCAATTCTGGTGTTGCCTAGCTTCAGTTTACACAGCCGTATAAGTTTTGCGGGGATACCAAATACAGACATAGCAGCGAAAAGGCGGCTCCTATTCGTGCTGTCGAAGGCGGCTTTAAAATCAACGAAGAGGTGATGGGCGTCGATCTTCTTCTCACGTGTCTTTCCCAAGATTCTGACTCAAAGACTGAAAGACCGTAAGAACTGAAGAAGAAAACCGCAATCCTAAATGAGTGGACGGCAATTCCGAGCAGTCTTCAAATCGGTCTTTCCATTAACGTTATAGTAGTCCTCGATAGACTTTCTGAGGTTTTTATCAATATGAACAAAATGTCGAAGCCAGTGCAGGCGTTAGATTGTGATGCGCTGGACAATTTCGATGTGATCGCTGATACAGTTCGTAGTTCATTCTAATACACACTCTTCATTTCCATAACAGAGGGCTGACTGCTTTGTCCAAACCTTTAAATGCTTCGTAGACTAAATTACCAGATTTTCATCTCTGTAATTTAATGCTTTGCTAGTGCAATACGTGCGTCCGAATTCCACCAGCATCATCAGGATGGTAGTTGGATCGGCGGAGCAAATCCGTGAAATAAACTTTGCCCGAACGTTCTGATTGCAGCTAAACGACGACGAGCTTTTGTTACACGCAAGCGTGTACAGTTCTTGCATTACATAGCCGCATGCGTATTTCGTTGAATCCTTAAAACGTCCATCCATCATAATCGAAGCATGCTTTTCGTCGATCATCGTAACCAAATCAATTTGGCTGCGTGTTCGTTGTTCAAGGTTGTTCATGTGATTTGGTGGACGCCGAGGTGTTGGAATCCGACATGTTAACTAACATGTCTCGCCCTGCGTCGAAGTGGATCAGTCTCAGACTCAGAAGTCTTGTGGAGATCGAGGCCTTATATTGCTTAGTTCAAAACTAAGTGGGAAAGCTCCCACAAGTAAAAAAAAGTATACACGGCTGGGCTTAAGGAGAAAAATCTGAAAAGGTTTTTAGCACAAAATAAATAGTGAACAGACCAACAGAATCACATTCAAAAAAAATAATAATAATAATAAAACTTCGTTAGTTTAATTATATTACAATATTTATTTGCTTTTTATTAAAAAAAAATTGTTTTTTTTTTCAAATACACACACACACACATATATATATATATATATATATATAAAGTTGATGAGCGTCTAAGTACTCGGCCATACAACACTTTCAATAAAATCCAAATACTCTGTGAGATTTATAAAAGTATCTGGTATAGTTGTCCCACATACGGTAGGACCAAATGCATCAATGCCAACAACTCTAAAAATTTTATTATACGCATCACTAGCAACCTGCAAAGCCCCAACGGGTCTGCGGTGACAAAGATCTTCCACCGGCGGAGAAGCACAAATCAAACTGCTATCGATACCGTTTCTCAGCCGAGGAACAGAAGCATAGAACTCATTGCATTCCGTATTGGGAATCAGTTTTACCGTTGTCGAAAGTAGTTGTAATCGCTTTTTAGAGCCTAAAAATAGTAATTCTAATTAGTAAAAATATCAATTTCGTGATTGCTCATATATTGGGTGGCCCAAAAAGTCATTGAGGATTTTTTAAAAGGAAGTAAATGCATTTTTAATAAAACTTAGAATGAACTTTAATCAAATATATAATTGCCATTTTGTTCGATAACCTTTTGCCATCTTCCTGGTAAATTTAGTATTCCACGCTCATAGAACTTCTGGCCTTTATCTGCAAAAAACTGAACCAAGTGCGATTTTATAGCCTCATCATTGCCGAAAGTTTTACCATTTAAGGAGTTCTGCAAAGATCGAAATAAATGGTAGTCTGATGGTGCAAGGTCAGGGCTATATGGTGGATGCATCAAAAGTTCCCAGCCAAGCTCACTCAGTTTTTGGCGAGTGACCAAAGATGTGTGCGGTCTAGCGTTGTCCTGGTGGAATATGACACCTTTACGATTGACCAATTCTGGTCGCTTCTCCTTGATGGCTGTATTCAATTTGTCCAATTGTTGACAGTAAACATCCGAATTAATCGTTTGGTTCCTTGGAAGCAGCTCAAAATATACGACACCCTTCCAATCCCACCAAACAGACAGCATAACCTTCTTTTGGTGGATATCAGCCTTTGAAGTGGTTTGAGCTGGTTCACCATGCTTGGACCATGATCGTTTTCGACTAACGTTGTTGTAAACAATCCATTTTTCATCTCCAGTTATGATTCGTTTTAAAAACGGATCGAATTCATTGCGTTTAAGGTGCATATCACAAGCGTTGATTCGGTGTGTTAAATGAATTTCTTTCAATACATGTGGTACCCAAATATCAAGCTTTTTCACCAGTCCAAGACTTTTTATGTGATAATGAACGGTTGATTTTGGTATATTTAACTTCTCTCCTATCTCACGCTCAGTTACATGACGATCCAATTCGATTAATGCTTTGATTTGGTCATCATCAACTTCATTTGGCCGACCTGAACGTGGCTCATCTTTAAGTGAAAAATCTCCAGAACGGAATTTGCGAAACCAATTTTGACACTGTCTTCCTTTTAAGGCTTCATCACCATACACATCTCGTAACTTTTTAGCAACCTGCTCCGCGTTTTTTCCTTTACGGAAATAATAAAGTAAAATATGACGAAAATGCTCCTTTGTGGGCTCCATATTAAAATTGACGCCAAACAAACAAATGTAAACAAAATTTCGCGGACTTTTTTTCTAAAGCAAGCTAAAAGTAACAGCTGATAACTGACAGAAGAAATAATGCAATTACAGAGTCACAAGCCGTTGAAAAAATTTGTCAACGCCGACTATATGAAAAATCCGCAATCACTTTTTGGGCAACCCAATAGAAGAAGTATGTGTGACCTTCTGTAAGGCTGCTCTTCCAAGCTGCCAAAATTAGTTCAGTGTCGCGAGTAAAATTCGAAGGCTCGGTATTTAAACAAGCTGGAAAGACACTTGCGCTGTAACTCACATCTCGCGTTAATTCTATCAAACCGATATTATCGTAAGGAGCGAAAGATCGGTATTTTGGATGGAAATAAGTGGACTGGAATAATAGTAAAAGGTATCCTTTTTTTAGACATGTGGTTTTCAAGAAGATATAAAACGCATAACACTTAATGTTATGGCAAAGAATTTAGATTTATTATAAATATAAGGATTTTATTAGTGATTTCAGGAAGGTAACGGCTGATTCGCAGGGGGCCGTATGTGATGAGAACGTGTCGAATATTCTCTTCCAAGCAGTCAAACGTCTCGGACGACTTTGAATCGGGCTTCTAGGCGATTCCACGACGCGTGGTAATTCGCTCATTAAAAGTAAATTAATTCCTTCGTTACTGTATTGCTTGTTCTCCTGCTTTCAGGAGCGAAAGAATCATTAATCAAGGCAACCCTTTAAATTGTACAAGCACACTGAACAGTGACTTCAGACGATTTTACGGCGTCTCAACAATTGCTTGCGGAATATCATCATTCCAAATGCGACAAGTTTGTTTATTAACGTACCCATTCAACCAAAAATGAGCTTTGGTCCAAGGGTTCACGGATAACGCGACTTGTTTGCCCACAAATTTGTTACTTTTTTGGCCCACTACTACACGCAAACGCCTAAATAATACTCCCTGTTGATGGTCTGCCCTTGTGGGAGGAGTTCATAATACACAATTCCTTTCTAATCCATCGCTTTCTTTTCCGACTAAAATCGACGTGGTTTTTTCGGTCGTGGCTCCACTGATAAATCACAGTTTTCTTTAAAGTATTGTTGCCGAAACTGTTCTATCGAATTTTCAATATCTTCGCACCGTTGAAACCATTTTTCATGCAAATTTAATTCCATTTTTTAAATTCTACAAAATCAAGTACTTGCGCAATCCGTATGGATTCAAGACAGCGTCACTTTTACAAATGTCAAGCTTTCAAGCTGAAAATTGATTAAAATGTCACAGAGAAATGGAGCAATCTAAAAAACAGCAACTGAGAGCGTCACACGGTAGTGATTCCGGGAACTTTACAATCTAGAAAGCACACTCTGCTGCACGGCAGCAATTGCGTCTTCTCTGCGCACTGCATTGTTCGAATTACCGTCTCCGCTGGGCGATTATGTCGACCGAATACCGAACGCAGTGCGCGAGTCATTCCGCGAGCTGAACCATTATTTTAGTTATAAATTCGCACGAGTTCCGGAATAAATCTGTTCATTATAAAATGACAAGCCGAACGAAGTATAAATCAAGTAATAACTATGGCGACCTCTGAAAAATGTATTCCCTTCCAAGCTTAAAAAAACATATGTATGTACACAAACAAATCTCTTCAGTTCATACTTTAATTGGCACTTCCTCCTGCAAGGACCAGTGCTGTGTGTCATTTGTGTCGATCACACCCAAAATCACTTTAACAGGGCTCAGGTAATGATTGCTTGCACAATATCCAGCAGTAAGCACGAAACGCTTATCAATTAAAACACCACCACAAGTGATTTTTCCGGAATCATTGACAATGAGCGCCATATGCGGGTACTTTATTTTAGCACCGCCCCGTAGGCTTAAATTGCGGGTCTGTGCAGCTTCTTCGATGTCCTTGCATGCTGAAATATTTTGAATTTTAATTTAAGAAAGGGAGAGAGAGAGAGTGAGTTGGAATTCTCCTGTACTCACCGCGTACTGCTGGACGATCGGCTTTTGCTATACGACAAAAAATTATGGAAACAAATATTGACACCCAAACGTTGTAACGGTATTTTATTAAGCACATTTTTTTAGTTTTATTTTTTTTTTTTTTTTGAACTCGAATTAGTTTTCAAATTTATAGAGCCTGCATTAAAATACTCAAACGTGTTCACAACACTTTCTACTCAAACCAACTGCAACTTAAGCGTGAATTTGTCACTTATTTATATGTAAACGAGCTGTGCTCAAAATATTGTAATAAAGAAAGCGCAGTAAACTTATCTTCACTGGAATCTTTTGATCTCGGTATTAAAGCTTATCGGAATATTAAACGTTAGTGACAGTACTAAAGAACCGAAGGGTAATGAGATGAAGACCTGACCAAAACAAAGAAATTAAAAAATTATAAAAAGAACTTTTCTAAATACGGCCCTATCTCAACTCATTTGGTCAATAGTTCTGAGAACATTTGTATGGTTAAAAAATCTGGGTCACTTCTGAGTGTATTCCTGACCTGTAATAAAAAGTCCCCCCAGCTTTAAATAAACTCTAAATGCCTCCATTTGTTGGGAGAAAATCAAGTCGCATATAGGTCGTCAAATATCTCCCTTCCGCTTTTTTGCTCTTCATTTAATGCTTTATAAAAAGTGTTACAGTGATCGGATTTAGTTAAAATATGCGCCGTTTTGTTCGATGATCTGTTTCTATCTAGATGGCAACTTCATAATACCTTCCTCGTGCAAGCCCCCCTCCTTATTTGCGAAGAATTCGGACAGCCACTTTTCACAAGCCTCTTTTGAGTCAACTTCACACCACCAAGGGCATTCGCCATGGACAGGAACAAGTGGTAATCACTTGGCGCAACGTCCGGGCTATATGGTGGATGCGATAAAACCTCCCATCCGAGCTCCCGTAGCTTCTGACGAAGTGTGTGGTCTGGCGTTGTCCTGGTGGAATAATACATCCTTCCTGTTGGCCAATTCTGGACGCTTCTGGTCGATCGCCTGCTTCAAGCGGTCCAGTTGTTCGCAGTAGATGGTAGAATTAAGCGTCTGGCCATATGGAGCAGCTCATAGTGGATGATTCCCTTCCAATCCCACCAAACACACAGCAAAACCTTCCTGGCCGCCGGGCTGGCTTGGCCACTGTTTGGGACGATTCACCGGCCTTCGACCACGACCGTTTTCACTTGATATTGTCGTATGTGATCCATTTTTCGTCGCCAGTCACCATCCGCTTCAAGAGTGGGTCGAGTTCGTTCCGTTTCAGCAGCATATCGCAGGCGTTGATTCGGTCCAGAAGGTTTTTTTTTATGTCAAATTATGCGGCACCCAAACATCAAACTTTTTTTTGGATCCAGCCTTCCGCAAATGGTTCAAAATGGTTTGGTGACTAACTCCCATCTCCTGGGCGATGTCACGAGATGCCATATGCCGGTCTAACTCGATGTATTCCATGATTTGATCGGTATTTGTCGTCACAGGTCTTCCGCTGGCTGGCTTATCCATGGTGTCGTTTTCACCGGCTCTGGAAAACTAGACCGAATTTCGGCGTTAGTGAACTCCATGTTTACAAGTCTATAACTGTTGAACGCAATATCCAAAGTAATCCATAGCGTTGTTTTGTAGGCTATGTCAAGACCTTTCAAATTATGTATAGTGTTGCCAGATACGAGCTCTGTAGCGCTTTGTACATAACCGCGAAATTCAAAAGACAAAAAGCGGAAGGGAGATATTTGACAATTATATTTCAATTTTGATCCGGCGGAGGAGCTCTGCCGCAAATCGATTCAGCAGCTATGCAGCGCGCATTCTAAATTTCTTATCATCAAAATGTTTCTAGGAAAGGCAATCAATAGTGAATTCTTAAAACAAATATTAGCTACCTAACCCTCTATTACTTAAATAGAGAATCCAACTGCGAGGGGAAAATTCATTGCATTTTCTCGGAACAGCCGGCTCGTATTTTGATTATCTAAATTTATTTGGAATTCATACGTTCACATGCAGTTACAGTTGCTAGTCTATACCCAATAACTAATCATGCGGCCTCGTTGCACCTCCTGGAAACGTAATCATTCTTTGTGAAAGATACAGCAACCGACACGTGGAGAACCTTGAGTTTCGACCAAAATAGAGCAGCCTTTGTGATGCCACTAGAGTTTTTTGCACCTACTGTTCACCAGCGGACTGCGAGCCGTAAAAATATGCCCAATATCTGGGCCTACTCGGGCGGTGAGGTACTCCGCACGTCATGCTGCCTATGTATGCAGAAGCCTGCTCCAATGAAAAGGTAATCGTAGCCTCGGATGAAAACTTTCAATTTAAGTGGCAACGAATTTATGATTTAGGGGCCTGCTTTTAGAATTTCAGGTACCTGAATTGGAAAGGTGCCGTAGTTCAACTGGTTAATGTTCACGTTAGGCCAATTCTGACTTCACGGTCGGCAGAACGGTCCGAATAATCAGTCCAGTTGACGAAACGTCCAAAAATGAATTGGGACTGATCGGCTTCGAGCGGTCCCTAAATATGGTTGTCTGTAGTACAAGTTGTCAGCACAAGAAAATATGTACATCAAACCACTTGGCGGTCTCCGGATCGAATGAGCCGTAATCAAAAGACCAAAATAATACCTGGAACTCTGACAACTGAAAAAGATAGCGGCTGAAATTCATAAGTATGAAGTGCTTAATAAGTTGGTCGACAGATGTAATGCTCAAAAATGCAGCGATCATGAGTCATATCTTGATGAAGATCCGTAAGAAAATAGTCTGATACACATCCTCTTTCCATCGGCTTGAAGGACAACTTCGACAACCCAAAAATGAGCTATCTCGACATTGTTATGTTTTAGTCTGTTTTAGTCTGGATCTGGGACCCAAAGCTTTAAAAACTCTGTAAACTAGAACTTTGTCGTCGTCTCGTAACGTCTGAAGACAGATTCCGATAGGATTTGATATTTAAAGTTTCCATGGTCTTCACTAAACACAAATTAGATATGGGCAATACCAGCGTTTTTACTTTCTACTTACGGCTTGACACAAGAGTGAACAGGACTTAACTAAACATGATAACCATGCTAATTTTAGCAGGAATAGAAAGTCCTACTAAAATGGCTGGCATATATCTAGAAATAGAACTACCTTCCAAATAAATAACTATTTTTTTCACTGACCTAATGTACTCCGCTTAACTTAGTCTTAATCACAGATTGGGATTAATATGGAGGGATTGGGCGTTTCTTTAGACAAGAGGTACTCAAACAGGCCAGTAACTCCTTCGAGGACGTAGCAGCCATAGCCCTAAGGTATAGTATTCCGAAATTTTGGGGCAGCCCCAAATCACAACTTGAACATGACGAAGATAACCGCAAGCTAGGAAGAGCAGATTTTTTAAAAGAGTGATTAGATAGTCGGTAGAGTCCTGTTGTTAATATACTAAGCCAGAAGAACAAGCAATTTAGGGCACGTTTTATGGGGTACTACACTGGGCTTGAAATCCGGATGGAGACGACATTGCATTTGGGCATTGAATGGCACTTCGATTACAAATATACGACATGTGAATATTGACAAAGAAGAGATGATTTATCTTACTTTATGCACTGCATATGCTGAGGGAATCCCATCGATGTTCGAAAAACCTTCTAAATCCATTTTGCCAAACCAAAATTAACAATTTGACAAGAAGCTAGAGGTATACAGTCAAATGTTTTAATAATAATTTCCACATAAATAGGCATACAAATAAATAGCAGCAATCTCAAATAATAGCGTTAGTAAATACAATATTACATTTCCGCTTCCGCCGGCCACACGATCTTTTCGATGAAATCCAAAAACTCTGCAACTCTTGTATACACGCCCGGTGCGGCCGATCCACAGGATAAACCGAACGAAACTACACCAACAACTCTGTATTTATTGTATGTCGGATCAACAACTAAATGTAGTGGGCCGCCCGAATCACCAACACAAGAGTCCTTGCTCGGTGCACCAGCACAAATCTGCGTTTCATCTATGCCATGATCGAAGCGCCACGAATCAATGGAATCCTCGTAACTTTGATTGCATTGTGAATTCGGTATATGATTCAAATTAACCGCTAATAAATGATCCGAATGCACTGAGTGAAAAGAGAATGAACCAAAAATATATATATAATATTAGTTTGTGCATGCAAAGTGCACATACTTTGATTTTCCGTGCGTCCCCAGCCGGTCGCAATCAAGACAGTACCGTCCGGCAGCTCCATTTGATCTGTGTGCAGGCAAGTTGGATATACTGTTAAGCTGAAGGCGACATCTTTTTCCAATTCAAGTAGACCGATGTCATAGTAACGTTTCGCACTGTTATATTTTTTATGTACATGATTGAGCTGGAGCGTTAATGAGATTGATGTTATTGGGAATATATTAAGTGAATTCACCTGACTTACTTTGATACCGATATCCTGGCGAAAGACCTTCTGTTCCTCGTCATTAAAATCAGCTATTCCCAAAATAACTTTTGATGGTTTGCCACTTCTTCCTAGTATACAGTGTGCCGCCGTAAGCACGAAACGCTTGTGAATTAATGATCCACCGCAGAAAGGACCATCCATATCATATACGACCTTGGCCATATGACGATACTGGGTGGGTCCCACTTTATAACCGCCAACTATATGCGAAGCTACATGAGGCGTTGAAATGCTTTCTAAGGCTCTGCAGGCTATAACAAAAGCAGAAAATTGAAGCATTTTCACTTTTTAGTTGAGTAATTAAACAGGAGTATACTCACCTCGATCAGCTGCGCGCTCGATTTTTCTGGAAAATTTTAGAGAAAAAAAAACTTTTATGAAGAGATTCTAAAAACAGGCTGATTTCTGTTCTAGAACTTATGCCTCGAATTCTGATATATATAAACAATCGATTTATGAGAAGCATTAGTTATATAAGCTCTCCGATTTCTGTTTTAGTTTTCCAATATCTCAAAAACGTGGTTAGACTAACAGCGAAGTAATGCAACCGATATTACGAAACTCCTCCCCCAGCTATAGAAAATACTCAATTTTTTTCGTACACAGTTCTTATCAATTCACTAAAGCCACAAACCTTAGAGGTACTAACTGACCATTGTTAGAATGGTATTCGAGAAGAAGACTAAAAATCCAAACGAACTCCTTCCGTTCTATCACAATACCTTGCGGTGGAACACCGTTGCCGCCATTCAGAAAAAGCAGGTTGATGTAGGCATGCCGCGTGCCTAAGATAACGTTCCAGCAGATACTACATCCAGTATGACGTTATTTTAATTAACTGGGACCATGCAGGTACAGGTGCCGTTAGGAGTTTTCATGCTAAAGTCTTTAAGGCGTTGTTCTGACAGACTTGTATCTTCTTTGGCTGCGTTCCGCGCGTCCCCGGCATCTAAATTCGTAAGGTCTTCGCTGCAGTGCATTAAAGGCTTAGTTAATATTTAAAAATGTCTGATACCCATACCAAGTAATAACTTTACGCCAACTCTCCTTAAAGCACAGTGCTTTTCTCAACTTATAAGATTGACTTTACTCTGTCTCGGTGAGACTCCACTTTACTTTACTCTTCTCGCTTCGACGGGAAATCTGCTAACCTCCGTTTGACTGTTCTTTTATTTGGCTCTACTTTCTTACCGACTCATGGGTACACATGACTCGAATCTTGTCTCTCTGTTCAAACTCAGATATACTCGATTCGCATGCGTTTAAATCTATTATATCCAACTCAACTTCACTGGGCTCGACTCGTGAGTACTCTGCTCACATGCACTTGACTTGAAACTGTTATATTCCCTTCAATAAAAACTCAGTCCCTCAACTTGATTCAGTTTCACTCTGTTCTTCACTAGGAACTGAAAATATGTACTTACGGACAACATATAGTGTCTTCTTCCACACAATAATCCACATCGCTTTCTTTCAAATTTAGTTTCTTCAAATTATTTTTTAAATGCGGGCATTTGGATCTTCCAGTGCAAGTGCCTTTATAATGCTTCGTCTCACATGTGATGTCTTCTGGAATCATTAAAAAAAATAGTGTAACTGTGAATGTGAAAATATATATATATAAATTTCTTTTGAATAATATTTACTAGAAGTATTCAGAACTCGCGTCCCGTTTGTTGGACCATTTCCATTGCGTACAGACTTATTATTTGGCGGCGGACGCTCACCATCGATACCGTTGAAATCGATTCTCGAAGAGGGTTTAATTTCTGGATTAGCGTTGCCTTTATTCGGCATATTGTTCGATGCGCCATTTCCATTTGCCTTTGTAATGCGCCTTGCATTCAGTATACTTTCGAGTCTGTCTTTTATAACCGCAGCCGAGACTCGATTCACCTTTGACACAAAGTGTTTATTGTTCTCGGAAGAATTATTGTCGTTGTAAAATATTTCATTAATTCTTTTGGTGATAATCTCTGCCGTCAAATCTTTTGAGGCGTATTCCACATTTGCTGGTGTTAGATTTGTATTAAGCCAGTTTTTTTCATGCTTTGGATCAGAGATACTGCTGAATATGCCTTCCACTCTCTCATTTACCATCTCTGGTGGTAATGGGTTTCCATTGAATGGCGGTTGCTGCCTTATATTTGTGTCTTCAAAGGGCAACGGCTTCATATTCAACGATTGGTTTAGTCTCTCGTTTATCAGCTGCGTTGAAAGAGTATTTTTATTTAATTTTTTTACATTACTTTCGTTTGAGACTTCATCAGCAGTGGCATCTTCGGCACGTTGAACTTTTGTGCGATGAAAAAAATTATTTGTTAAACCATTTTCACGTTCAGTCCTCTCCTGATCGGCGTGTGAAGCTGGAAGGGGCGCTTGATGTTCGTTAAATATATTCTTATTTTCATTGTTATTACTATTTCTTTTCACGAAATTAGTTGAGAACCAGAAATCTGGCGGTAGAACTGTTGAGGAACTCATATCAGTCGCATCTTCGGGTGATGGACGAAAATCGAACGGTTTGAAAGGATCCAAAGGTGCGGGTGGAGTTTGAACCGGTGCTGGGCTATTGCTGAAAAATAGAAATAATAATAATAATTTTATCATATGTTCCCAAAAAGTTTTATAAGCAGAAAAGGGGCCTGATATCGGGCAAAGAAAAAGTAAAGTTTTTATTTTTTTTTTTAAGAGAGAATGAAAAGGCGTATGAACTGCTGGATTTTCGGCTACTAAATGTCGCTTTCCGTCGGCTTCTGTGCGAAGAACATGGCCCAACAACTTCAAGTCTACAGCCTCTTGTAGTAGAATGAAATCGAAAATCGTTGTCATTATTTAAAGATCGTGAAATTCTCTACGTCTTAAATCTCAATTGAAACAATTTTAACTATAAATTTATAGCATAATGCTCATTGCAATTAAAAAGTTAAATTTTTTACTAATTTTTTCACTTCAATTACGTTAAAAAAAATATAATTAATTAATTATCAATGCTAATCTTAGGTGCAAGACGATTTTTTGCTTTGAAAAAGTTTCAAGATAAATGAAATCGGCTGGATAGATCAAGCCCGGGACTTAAAGTGAGATCAATGTTTCGAGAAAAAGACGTTCAAAGTGGAGGGTCCCCTGAATATGGGGGAAAATAAATAAAATACAATAATAAATTAAACATATAAAAATGAACTTACGGACAACAAATCATCTCCTCAGTAACTGTGAAACCGCATCTACCGACACTGTAGTTTTTTAAGTGTAATTTTTCCATGCGAGCTGGCAACTCTACACATTTACTCGCTGCCATGCAGATACCCTTATAGCCGGCAAAATCACAGAGATCTCCCTCTAAAAGTTATTAGAATTCAGCCGCTATAGAAATTGAGAACAAAAAAATGTTAGGATTTCCATACTTACCGTAGAAGTCTTCACCTGCGCCATCTCTGCCAAGTGTTATCAGAATAAACAGTACACAGAACTGTCTTGGATTATTAAAACGTATCTTTTGCATTTTCTTTTTTATAAAATTTTCGTGGAATTTCAATATTATCTATTTCCGTATAAAATATTTCGATATTTTTAAATGTGAAATATTAAAAACAAGTATTAATTTTAAATGTATTACAAATAATATATATATATATATAAGTAAAAAGCTCGTTCAGTTTTTTATTGATTTCTCAATAGATGATAACTTCATTATGCCCCACTCGTAGAAGGCTGCGTTCCTATTGGCAAAAAAATCGGAGAGCCAATTTTCACAGGCCTCTCCTAAGGCCAACTTCTCACCATTAAGCGCATTCGCCGAGGACAGGAAAATATGGTTATCACTTGGTGCCAGGTCCGGACTATAAGGTGGGTGCGTTAGGACTTCCCTTCCGAGCTCCTGGTGATGCTGTCGCGTCACCAAACACGTGTGTGGCCTGGCGTTGTCATGATGGAACACAATTCGCCCTTTGTTGATTAAAGATGGCCTCTTCTGGATGAATGCTGTCTTCAAGCGGTTCAATTATTAGCAGTAGAGAACGTTTGGTCATAGAGGAGCAGCTCGTAGTAGATGGTTCCTTGCCAATCCCATCAAACACACAGCAAAAGCTGTTGCATCTTTGACATCGAAATTACTGGAACAAAACCTAGCAAACCACTTGTGTGCTACAATTTAATTTTTTCAGCGGCTTTGGCTGCTTTTTCGCCTTGATGGAAGAAAAAATTTAAAATATAGCGAGTTTTCTCTTTGCTGGTGTCCACCTTTGACGAGTGCTCAGAACGTACTGAGTCAATCTATCGAAAAACTGTCAAAGACAAGTTTTAACGCGAAAGCGCGCCAAGCCCATCCTCAACTGATTTTCGATGGAGACAAAACTCCGATATCGCAGCGTTAAGAAAGCTCATGGGAACTATAAAGCAGTAAAGATCGCGTAGCCCCTTTTTGTTGCTCCGAAACCGAGTTCTCTTACTCTGGTGAAGCTCTGCTTATAGGAAAGCATTTGAGAGGTTGGCAAATGCCGCGTAGATAACGGCAAAGAGCAGATAAAATGCCTCTGCAGCTTCCGAATCAAAAGTATCAAGCAAATGTCTTTTTAGCAAAGAGCGAAGTATCGAACTGCCCCCCAATTGGGTTCTCAACAAAATGGGTTTGCGTACTTATAAGCCCGAGTCAGGAAATCCAAAAGGCAATCATGGAAGAATCGCCGTTAAATCCATCATAATATGTACGTCTTATTGCAAACATTTTATGCGAAAGAACATTCGAAGTTAATGGGGTTAGTACGGGCTTAACGTAATCTGTGACAATAACTTCCAGCAGGTTGATCACTCACATAGAAGGAATAGCGCTCGTAGTTAGGGATAAATTCTTAATTACCTTGTATGGCCTTGCTGCGCTAGGGCACTTAAGTGGGGTAACAAGTTGGATGGCTGCAACTGGTAAATTCCAGTAGGACAGAGCCTGCTTAACCATCAGAAGGTATAGCATCCCGGTAGTGGTTCCCCTATCGATAAGCGGTGTTCCACTTCATTTGTCATAGAAAGCGAAGAACTTTATATTGTTGCAAGGCCACAACCGTTAAAAGATGAGACGCTTACCCTAAAATACAATAATTTCTTATGTCTCAGTAAATCAATTCAAGACTTCCTTGTTTTATGGAGTTTTTGATATAGTAACTTGAGTAAAAGAAGTGAAATCTATCAACGTTCGACTCCCATTAGCATCTATGGTGCATTTTAAAAAACTTTAAGCTTTGCGCTGAACGTAAGAAGGTACAAGTCGCTGTAAAACTCCGACAATCTAGATCACTGGTCCCTTCAAGCGTAGAACAAACCGGCATTTTTGCGTTCTTGTGGGAGTTGAATTTATCCCCAGCTGCTTGATGTACACCAACTAAATAAGTCTTGTCGAAAACTATCCACCGGTGAAGTATTTAAGCATCCATACCATTGCAGTGTTTTTTTTTTTTATTTTTTTTTTTTTTTTTTTTTTTTTGTTTATTGCTCCTCTCAAGGAAACGGTGGACACACGGCTGTGGTTAGACAGGCGGATAGTCAACCAATTATTACAGCATTATGCTCACTCAAGCTCCAAAAATTTAAATGTTTGCCAGCTCTTTCCACGGCGTTGGCTTATTTCAGAATCAAAATCATATGAGTATTGGTACACAGCGGAATTGCTGAGAGCTGCAAGGCTGGATGAGCCTGACTAGTATTAGACTAAGACACCATCGACACTGTTCTTCCCAGTTGCACCTGAGATCAAACACCTCAGTTATTCTTCTGATTGATTAAAGCATTCGAACTCAAACAAAATTTACGAAACACTCTTTCGAGTTGTGAACTTACACTTAATACATTGCACTTTCTATTTTTTGTTTCTCACCACAAAAAAAAAAAATAAATAATTTAATAATAAAATAAATGTACTTCCTACAATCCGCTTGTTATCGTCAAGCTCTTCTCAAGCCAACTGAAATGCATAACTTTGAATTGCTCGAGAAGAAACGTGTAATGGTTTCTGAAATTCAAATGAAAAAAAGAATTAAACACTGATAATTCATTAGAATTTTCAAGTGAATTGATAAGTATTTGCAAAAAGCGTATAGAATATTTATGAACGTACATATGTCATAACGTAAATATTATATATTATAAAGGGTTTTTCAATAATGTCATTGTGAATAGCTTTTTCTGTAGATGGCATTTTTGAAGCTGTATTTTTTAACATTTGACAAGTAAAATTCATGTCGTTATTAAAAATGGAACGATTCACGCTTAAAGAACTCATTATACACATACTCGTGATATAATTGGCGCTTTTATAACCGCTGAAGCTATTTCCGCGCGAGTTCCTCATCCAATGAGTGATTTAGCGTAATTTTAATGACATTTCGAAACGTCAAAACTCCAAAAAATTGTTTCGTAATCGATAACTAATATGGCGCTGAGCAGTTCGATAGTCTCTATTACCTTCTATTGTATATTATCGATTTACTTAGCGGTGACCTGACAAAGTCAAGAAATGTATTTGCTCGCGCTACACACAGCTCTCCCGCCAATTTGCAGTTCCTTTTGAAAACTGCATAAAAATTTGGGTTTTCCAGGAAAATTGTAAAATTAGTGCCTTATAATCTCTCTTTCAAGAAATATGCCTTAGAAATAGCAAAGCTTTTTGTTAAAAATTATCCCTGGTGCTATAGGCTGTGCTCTCTGCATAAAATTCTGATGCATCATGGAGCCGACATTATCAAAATTGTTTCACTTCCAATAGGGAAAAGTCAAAAGAAGCGCTAGAAGCTGGAAATAAGCATCATATTCACAAAACATCCAGGAAAAACGCAATTGAGGACGATTTATGTTCCTCCAATCCATTAATTTTATCCTTGCGCTTAGTTCAAAATAGTCAAGAAGTAGAGAAATAGAGTTTGATGAAGATATTTCTACACCTTTATGTAATAAAAGCAATGAAAAAGACTTGGAAAAATTGACTAGGTATTTTTATATTAAAATATAGAATACTAATTAAGGAAAATAAATATAAACAAATATATTTTTATCAAGATAATCATCAAAATCTATTTTCTTTTTTTCTTGTTATAAAAAATGTGCAATTACAATTTTTTTCCAGATCGAGATGACTATTTATTGAATAAACATTTATTTTCATTAAATACAAAAATTTACGAATTTATTTGAAATCGTGACTACTTCATTCGTTTAATCAGTAACGGTAATAGTTATATTCGATGTTGCCTCTGAGAACGATATTATTGTGACAATTCGTCGATGATAACTGAAGTATGTTACAAAAACATTATCAAGATATCTAATAAATACAGCATCTATTGTTGTTACGTATCTGGTGGTAGGCTCTTATGGAAGTTACTCCTTTGGCAAATGAAATGTTGTAAATCCTTAAGCACTACAGGGTTAAGAAATGCATTGAAATGAATAGCGATTATGTAGAGAAGACAAAGATTATAAATAAATACAAAAAGAACTTTATTTTTGTTCTGGCCAAATTTCTGAACTTTTGTTAATCCCCTCGCATACATGTCAATAGCATATGTTAAGTACATTTTAATACATTTATGTTTTTGAATTATCGAAGAGAGATTTATCGAAACAATTCAGGCTTATTTGAACTTGAAAAATATAATAATTTTACTAAAAATGCCCTCGGCTTGTTTATTCATCCGCTATATTTTTTTATTTCACAAACATAGGATCAATTATTGTAATACCTCCAGATTTTATTTTTTGTTATAATAATATTTGGTCCCACTTGTTTAAAGAAATCAGCGAAATATAGGGAAGAGCCAAAAAATTGTCTTAAACTTTTAGGTTTGTGATCTCATACTCCCATACATAGCTATGTTCTTATAAATGCCGTCAGGTTTTGTGTGCCCTACTTCGGTCTATAAGTGAACTGAAAACTTTTCACATAAGCTGCATATACTTACTCGTAGCTCCGTCATTTAGATCTAATTATTGGAGCGGGAATTTATTTTGAGACTTTCGAACATATTTTTCCGGATTTCAGCACCTTTATTGCCTTACTACTCTACATACTAAGCTTAATACAAAAATCTCAAAAACATGCTTATAGTATATTACACAATATTTATGCTAAGTACTTAAATATAAATAATTATATTTACATTTTATTGCTTTGAACTCGGCCATACTATGGCTTCTATAAAGTTCAAAAATTCTGACACTCTGGTATATATACCGGGCAAGTGAGCGCCACAAAGAATCCCTGATGCCACAATACCAACAACTCTATAATTATTATAAGTTTTATTTATTACAATGTGTGCGGGACCGCCAGAATCACCATCACAGGCATCACTCTGATTGGAAAAGGCACAAAGATGAGTATTAACAATACCGCGATCTAGCTGAATATCATTTTCGCCCAGCTGTTTCATGTAGCTTGTCCTACACTGAGGCAAAGGTACATATAGCAAACTTGCAGCGTTTAAGTGCGATGAAGTCTCTGGAATGCATAAAAAATAATAATTCACTTAGTAGCACAGATGTAGATGTATATATGTGTTTGTATATTATATATTTATGTATACCGTGATTTTCCGTTAATCCCCAACCAGTAACAACCAGTTCAGTGTTCGCAAGCAGATCAGTTGGATCCGTTTGCAGACAAGTTGGATAAACGTTCATACTGTAGTTGACTTCTTCAACCAATTCAATTAAACCAATATCGTTATATAGTTTTTCAGAGGAATACACCGGGTGGTAATAGGTACGCTAAACATAATGAAAAACAAAAAAATCAAGAGAAATGAATTAAAATGGAACAAAATAAAGAAAAATTAAATGAAAATAAATTCAATTAAATTTAATGAGTTAAAAAAAAATTACAAATAAATAAATAATAAATAAAATAAGAAATAAAACCAAAAATTATGTAAAAAAAAGGATAATAAAATATATTAACATAAGAGAAATCAAATAAAAAAAGCAAAATAAAACAGAAGAAATTTAATTTAACTTAACTTAATAAAATGTAATTGAATAAAAAATTAAATATAATATAATGAAATAGAATTAAAATTAAATGAAATGAAATAAATTAAAAAAGGGAAATAAATTAAGTCAAAATTTATAATTGATTAGTTTCTCATTTCCATTTTTTAATTATTAATTATAATTATATTTTATTATTTCTTATTTCATTTCATTCATGTAGTTTTTATAATTTAACTCATTCATAAATTTTTTTATTTATTTATTTAAATTTAATTAAATAATAATAAATTTAATTTAATAATAATAACAAAGCATTAGTACAATAAGATTTCCATATCTTTTTTAGTACAACAGAGATAGTGTGAAGAATAAGTAAATACTACTCTACAGATATATTAACAAAAAATAATAATAATAATAATATAATGTATGTAACAAGTATTAAATGGTCAGCCTATATTTGAAACTTGGCCTTTAAAATGCATATTTAAGTGGTTCTTGAAATTGCTTCTGTTTAATTTCCTACTTAAATTAGCAGGAATAGAGTTCCATAATCGACTAGCATTGACAAAGAACAACCTTGATGATTGCTCTGATTTATGAAAAGGTATTATTACCTTACCTATTTTGGCGGACCGAGTAAACGATAACTAGGAGATTGAGACATAATGAGTTTCTGGCTTTATGATAGTCAGCAATCATACATTCCAATATCTGATCTTTCCAAGGCGAGTTGTGCTTATACAATACTTGGAAAGACCAAACACTTACCGTGTGACATTATTAAACATAACATCAATTTTACGATCAGAGAAACTGTTACAGTAAACACTGTATACGACTACAGAGTACTTGATAACCGGAAGAATAATTTGTGTAGGAAGTCGGCGTCTGGTAGCAGTGGGTGTATCGTGTAGATAGCTGACTGCCTAAGATTCCTCAGAATGAGTTAGACATTACTAACAATGAAGTTTACATGATTCGTGCATGTAAGATTAGAGTTAATAATGTAAGTTTTTAATCTTGCTGACTAATTTTAAGGCACAATTGTCTATGAATATTGGGGGCAAAAAATCCAGATTTGTCAGTTTTCTAGCACTGAATGGCAGCACACAGCACTTGTTTTTATTTAAAATTAGACCGCTGGCAGCCGTCCAGCTAGAGATATCAGCCAAGTCAGTATTGATCGAAAGGTGCAGATAATTATAACTGAATGTCATCAGCATTACCATGGAGGTTTGAAAATTTGCGCACACTGAAGATGTCATTAATAAATATGCTGATAAGCAGGGGACTAAGGATGGAGCTTTGAGGCACCTCTGAAGTAACTGGCTTGAGTTGCGATGTGTCTTTCCCAATTTTTATATAATTTAATAATTTTTTTGATTATTTTTTCTTAATTTCCCTTTTATTAATTTATTTTATTTCATTTTATTGTTTTCTAATGTTTTGTTTTTCTTTCATTCTATCATATTTCATTTTTCATTCTATTACATTTCATTGAATTAATTTTATCTTGCGATTTATTAGCTGTACCCTGTAACGCTTCATTGAATGCATGGGATATCTTTTTATCATTTGTTTTTACTTTTGACATTGGAAAACTTTCCGCAGAGAGAAGTACTCCGATGTTTTGAATAGGCCAGTTTCCGGTCACCTTCCCGGAGAGAAGTGACCACAGTCTTCTTGTTAATCTAAGCAAAAAGCCGCCTCTGTACCGAATTTCTAATAAATCCAGCCATAAATAAACCTTTTTTCGAATAGATCAGTCTTTGGTAAACTTTCCGGGGAGATGAGTGGTCAAGTAATTCGATCCATATATAAGTTTTTGTTTGAATAGGTCAGACCTTGTTCCACTTTCAGGAAGAAAGAAAAGTCTTCCTCTTAATTTAAATTTAAAACGAACCATAAATAAGATTTTTTCTACTTCCCAAAATTTTTTTTCGAAAAATTCAGCTATCATAGAAGCAATGTAATGAAATGTCAGGTTAACTTATGGAGAACACTCGCTACAAAAGTATGTTAGAGTTTTTTTTTTTGAATAGACCAGTCTCCGGTTTACTTCCCGAATTCTATTAAAAAAAAAACACAGAAATCATAGAAATAATCTGACGGATTTTCAAGTTATTTTCACGTCGGTTGTTAACTTTTGGAGATTTTTGGAAAGTACTGGATTTGTTAATGCGGAAAGAAGATTTACGGACATATAGTATAAGATAATAATAAATAAAAATTAAACAAAATCAATAAATATATTGGTGTATGCATTAATTCGTATGGTTTTCTAAGAGAGGTCTCTACTAGTATTATTTCGCGTCGTGTTCATCTGTGGCTATATTCACTTCAAAGGCACTCTCATTTCGCGTCGTTTTCAGTAGATGTCATTTGCTTTAGCAGGAACAACGATTTGTTTCATTTATTTGAAAATTTCGAAATTCTGTACCAGATAAAGTGTTTTTGCGAGGAGTTCTTTTTCATTACTTTAACATGAAGAAAAGTTCTACCGAAAGCCATCGTATTTTACTAGACATTTATGGTGACCATGCTTTAACCGAACGAACGTGCCAAAAGTGGTTTACACGGTTTAAAAGTGGAAATTTGGACTTGGACGATGGATAGCCAAAAAAATTTCAAGACGAAGAATTGGTGACATTGCTCGACGCAGATGCATGGCAGATGCAAGAAGAACTTGCAAAAGTATTAGGAGTTGATCAAGCAACCGTTTCCAGGCGATTAAAATCATTAGAATTCATCCAGAAGCTTGGAAATTGGGTACCTTATGAACTAAAGCCAAGAGACGTCTATCGTGTATCGGTTTGTCACTGGCGATGAAAAATGGATTCATTATGATAACCCAAAGCGCAAAAGATCGTATGTGAAGCCCGGCCAACCATCGACATCTGAATCTGAATTTTCATACATTCCAAAGTTACCGTCAGCTCTATTTGCAAGTTTCACGAAACTCGATTGCATACGACCGTAAACCGCGCAAACCAAACATACACTCAATAGAAGTGAAATTTTACAAGACAAAAACAATGTCAATTTACACTTACATTAATCATTATCTCTTGCCTGTTGTCCCATTCATTGGGGTCTTCAAAATCGGTGATACCCATTATAACTTTTATCGGTTTCACATCTCTTTTTAACAAGCAATGTGCGGCAGTGAGAATAAATCCTTTATGAATTAAAATACCACTACATTTATGTTTAGGCGAATCATAAATTATTTTAGCCATATGAGGATATTGACTTATTTTCACTTCATACCCGTTAAGTATATGTGGTATCAAAATAGGCATTAAATCCTCCTCGATCTTTTTACATGCTGTTAGATAGACATTGTTATTATTATTATTTTTTTTTTTGTTATATTTCGTTGAAAAGAATTTAATACTCACCGCGAGCAGCTGGACGTTCGACAGTGTTTCCGGAAGACGGGTTTCTACAAAAAAAAAAAAATATTAAAATGTAATAAAAATAAATTCTTACTGAAAATTAATACAAAAAATATGACTAACAATTGGGTTGATGCGTCAATTAGTGTGGTGGGTGTCAGGGCCTCCGTCATAGCTTCCATCTTCTCCAAGGCATTCCTGTAATATAGAGAGTATTATGAATGAAATTGAGCAATCTGCATTTCATTCTAAGATAAAATAAATTGACTTACGGGCAACAGATAAACTTTTCATAAGCCAAAAAATTGCAGTATCCCACATGAAGAGCAGTCAGACGCATTCTGTTCATTGATTCAAATATGTGTGGACAATTTTGCTCTGTAGTACATCTTCCTTTATAGTGGATTGTGGCACAGGGGTCATTTTCTAAGTGATAAATAAGGGCTTAAGAAGTATTTATTTATTAGGGCTAGTAAAAAATAATCTGTTATTTTTGATGTCTTTGGTATCTCGAGTACTATAAGTGTGCATTGAAGATGATATTGTGTACTAAAAAGCCCATATCAGCCACCTAAAAATGTAAATATCTTTTATGGTCCTGATACTGTAACCGTCAATCATGTGAAATTTTAGTTTCATCGATTTCGTTCCGGTAATTTTGATGTAAAAGGTGTTCCACGAGAAATTGTCGAAAATGTTGATAAAATAATGGAAAATATCGAGTCCGGCCATCAGCGAGCACAAAAACAGTTCTTAATGACTTGAAAAAGGCTGGATACACAAAGCGAATGATGACTAGTTTTTTTTTGTTTTCTTTTTTTTTACACATCAAATAAATTTATTTCTTGAATCTACTCAATTTAAGCCTAACAATAAGTTTTAGAATCTTAAAAACTTAAATTAGCTGCTTTAGTCCATTAATATTAGATGAGTGCATAAGTTCGTGCCCGATTTCAAGTGCAAACTAAAATTGAAATTTTTTGAAGAAAGCGCTTTTATTAATCAATTATGTATTCGCCATCATATTCGGCAATCCACTCCCAACGTTCAACCAATTTACGGATGCCTGATTCATAGAAATCGCGCGGTTTCTCGTTGAAAAAGGTGTAAAGGTGGTTGTTCATACACCAAGGTGCACCTGCGAGGTGTCGTAGCGCTTTTGAGTTTTAATTGCGCAGGCAGAGTCCCATAATTGTTCAGCCGTACATCCATATTGACTTTATGACAGAATTATATAGAAGAATTTTATGATCCAAGCATAAACCCGAGTTTTTATCAAGTAGCCACTTTAGGCCAGCGGTTTTAAGTTTAAGGTGCTGTATTTTAGCAGAAATATGTCTCTTCCAGGTATGTCGCCCATCTATGTGGATGGCGAAGTATTTAAATTCGCTTCCTTAAATGATCATTACGTTGTTAAGTTTCAGTATTGGCCCGTTTGACAGTCAACAACTTCCAACGAGTTTTAAGTGATTTTCTAGTAAATAAGACATACGGTATTGGTCGCAGAACGCTACCTTGACGAAGACCGGCCATAATTGCGCATTCTTCTGAGATAAATTCTTTTACCTTAACTTTTTTTTTGGCAGAGTCATTTTAAATTTGTATATTAGTCTTTTATGCCATATTTTATCAAATGCTTGAGCCACGTCAAGAAATTTTGCAGAGCAATATACTTTCAACTCAAATGCCTTCCTGATTACCTTGGTAGTGCGTTGGACTTGTTCTATAGGACCATGTTTTTCGACAAAACCAAAACCAAGAAAAGGAGATATCTTTGATAGCAGCACTGTTTTAAAAAGTTTAGAAAGAACGGATAACAAACTAATATGCCGATATGATGACAGCAGCGTTGCGGCTTTTCCGAGTTTGGCTGTCATGCTTATCTACGTCTTTTTCCACACATTTGAAAAATATCCAAGTCAAGGAATGGCATAAAAAAGTTGAGACAAGAAATTGAAAGCAGTATTTGGTAGCTTAGTTAGCATTTGTGGTGTTATCTCAGATAAGGTCGTCCTGACGTCGGAAATAGTCCTAGTGCTGTAGTGAGACGAAAATGGAACCGTAAAATGATTCATTCTTTGCTGCATTGAGTTTGAATACTGCGCTAAGGTTTTTGCAAAACATTTTGTCTCTTCTTCTTCAGAACGAGCCCAAGCAACTGTTCTCTCTCTGAGCAGTATCTTAATTTCTACTGGCAGCTTAGAATTCTTTTGCGCCTTCCACTGTGAATTTCATTGAGAAGAATGCGGCCTCGGAGTATTTGCTTTCTTCTCGCATTTTAAAGCTTTCCTCAGTTCTTTTTCAGCAGCCTTTAGTTTTACTTTACCTGATGGATATCGATTATTCTGCCATTCTCGGCGCAATCTACGCTTTTCAATTACTAGGCGCTTAATTAGGCTGTTTATATTTAGTGATGCTGCAGTGGCCCCTGTTGGGAGCCAAGAGTTGTATACATTAATATTGATCTCTATATCCAAATTTTGGAAAAGACCCGTTAAAAGACGATCGTGGTGGGTCCACCTCTACGGTGATTTGAAAGCCGCCTTCGACAGCGCGAATAAGAGCTGCCTTTACGGCGCTATGTCTGAATTTGGTATCTCCGCAAAACTTATATGGCAGTGTAAGCTGAAGCTAGACAAGACCAGAAGCGCTCTCAGAATTGGAAAGGACCTCTCCGAGACGTTTGGTACTAAACGAGGTTTAAGACAGGGTGACTCTTTGCTGCAAAGCTGAATAGAGAAGGTACAATCTCCTATAAGAGTGTAGAATTACTGGCGTACGCGGATAATATTGAGATTATTTTCCTCAACAACAGCGCCGTTAGTTCTGCTTTCTCCAGGCTTAATAAAGAAGCGAAGCGAATGGGTCTGGTCCTGTCATCAAACAAACAGTCATCGCATTCGCGACTTGGTTCCCAAGTCACTGTTGACAGTCATAACTTTGAAATCGTAGATAATTTCGTCTATCTCGGAGCCAGCATTAACATCAAGAATAACATCAGCCTTGAAATCCAACGCAGAATCACTCTTGCCAACAGGTGATACTTTGGACTGAGTAGGCAATTGAAAAGTAAAGTCCTCTCCCGACGAACGAAAACCAAACTCTAAAAATCCCATCATACAGCAGTATGGGTATGGTGCGGAAGCATGGACGATGTCAACAGCTGATGAGTCGGCTTTGGGAGATAAAAGTTTTGCGAACGATTTATGGTCCTTTCCGCATCGGCCATGTCGAACACCGCAGACTAAGGAACGATGAGTTGCACGAGTTATAAGGCGACATTGATTTAGTTCAGCGAATCAGGAAGCAGCGGCTATGCTGGCTAGGCCATGTGGTCCAGATGGATGCGTATACTCTAGCCTTTAAAGTTTTCGATACTGTACCTGCCGTTGGAAGCAGAGGAAGAGGAAGACCTCCACTCCGTTAGAAAGACCAGGTAGATAAGAACCTGGCTGTGTTTGGTATTTCCAATCGGCGCCGAACAGCAAAAAGGAGAAACGAATGGCGCAATGTTGTTAAATCGGCTAAAATCGCGTAAGCGGTGTCTACGCCAGTAAAAGAAAGTACGTAAGTAATTGTCGACCTTCTGGGTTAACAAGACGGAAAGCTCAGTATGTTTGGCACTGTAATCGCCACCTGCAATAAATCTATTATTGAATGCCGTGGTGGACTATAGATGGCAGAAATTATTAGTTTCTTTTCTCGATTTTGTAGGCAAACTGAAGTTGCTTGCCTATGAGGTTTTACGTAAGATTCTAGGAAGTGATATTTTAGTCTATTTCGAAATAGAATAGCTGTACCGCCATGTGCCTTACCAACCGGATTGTTTGTGCTATAGAGCTTTCAGCCAGCTATGTGTATATGTTAAGCTTGTTCGTTAAATGCATTTCTGCTAGTAGCTTAACGTCCACTTCCTGCTCTTGTAAAAACTTGTTAAGATCCGCCGTTTGCGTGTCATATACAGAATTTTGGTTCACTCATATCTCGCTTACAAAAACAAGCAACATCTGATGTTGGGTTTCGATTAAGTCCTGAATCATATTCTGCATGGTTGTCATGAATGGTGTCATGTACTACGTAAGGTTAAGTAATGATGCTGATGACTAAGTGATGAAAAGTGGTTGAAAGAGTTTCCTTTCGCCTTATGGTCTGGCAAAAAGTTATCAAGCAAAACTGTGAATATTTGGCATAAATCAGACAATTCTAAATATGGCAAATAAAACCATTAATTTCATGGGAGACTAATAGATTACTTTAACTAGGCTGCATTCAAGTGACCGTTAAAATTGCTTGCAAAATTTTTTTTCGAGCTTCGGCTTTATTATCAATTTAGTAATTTCTGTTTCTTAGAGCTTAACTTGTGGCTCCCATCAGATAAAATAAAAAAAAGTGCATATTCGAGCCGATTTGAGGATTTCATTTTTTTAATTTCATTAACTTATTAACCATCTTAAAAATATATAATTTAAAATAAATATATATCCCTACCTTTCAAAACACAAAGCGCAGGTATTCGTGAACTATAAACAACTAAAAGAGCAAACACGATGAAAATGCTTTTGCATTTTGTGATCATTTCGATGATTTCCAATTTTCTCACAAATAAACAAGATTTTTATTAGTTGTTGTATGGATATTTTTTCAATATCATATTATTTATTGGCAGAAATATTCACAAATTTTTTCAGTTATTCAACAGTAAACAAAGTCACACACGCAGTCAGCTCGGCATTCCAAGACTGATTGAGCTCAAGCTTCCTCTCTTTACATATATACAATTTGGCTGTGATAAGAACATACAAATTCATTTTTGAGTATATACGTGTATGAGTATTTATGCAACAGTGGAATTTCCAAGAAATTTTAGTGCTTAAATTTATACCCAGATGACGCATTTCCTAATTCGGACACAACGGCATAGAGCAGCTTCTTTTCATGCGAAAGCTGGTTTAAAATAGGATGTAGTAAGAAGTGGAGTGGGTGTGTCGGTCTTTTTTTTACGGGTTTTTTCGAGATATGACAAATGGTGAACAACTGGTCAAATGTAGATTTTGCGGGTCTGAAACCACACCAACAAGCTTCGTTCGTTGATAGTGAGCTTTAATATCTCACACCGTACAGTGGATAAAGCCTTACGCGCAGCCTTGAGGAGACTTTTTCCCTCAAAATAATTATACCCTGTCAGTTCTTTGCCGCCATATTTGAATAGCTCCCACCCCCTCGGCATCGAGTTCGCCATCTCCAATGTCTGATTTTCACTCCCATTCAGCATGCGCCTAGCTTCCTCATTCATCTCTCGTTATATCGATCGACCTCAACACTTGCGGGGAAAGCAGTATGATTGCTTTCATCAGCTGTTTGAACTTTCTGAAAACCAATAGTTTTGTTTGCACCTCCACGTGGGGTGCTTTTAATGACGTCACAGAAGTGATGAGTACACTTAGACAGCCGATGAAAAACTCAACGAAGAAGAGGCCCTGCGAGGATGAGCAGATAATGCGAAGGACTCCGCCTAAGAAAAAAGCCAATCAAGGAACAGGGAAAAAGAAAGATGTAGAAAATGAAAATAAATGGGCACAAGTGAGACATAAAGTGAAGAACGTTAAAGCAACTTTTGTTCCACTTCCGTGACCGGATGTAATAATCATTGCGCGCGCTGAAAACATGTCTTACAGAGATATTCTTAGGGCAGGCACAATGGAAGATGTCCTAAAAGAGCTCGAAAAAAACGTATAGCGGATCAATAAGACGGGAAAAGGCAAAGAAGAAAGTGCAGATGACGAACACAAGAGCATATGAGAAGGAGATATGCAATGTACTAGGCGACCTGATGTAGATAAGAGCCATAACCTACGAGATATCTATGGAGATCCACACTCTGGATGAATTAACAACTAAGGAGGATATAATATATAAACTGTTAAGCTAAATAGGTGAATATGCGATCAAAAATATCTGACAGGCTTATGTGGGTACGCAGACAGCAGTGATCAGCCTCGCGGCGACTTAACTCCGGCGGGATAAATCGATCGAGAAGAATGGCTGCGGGTCGATAATGGACATTACGTTCGCCTGCAGAATACTGGCTAACTGTCTGACAGACTGCTATTGTACTGAGTCAGGTCTTAAAAGCAACGTAGTGACAGGAGGCGTGCCGCTTTACAACACAAAATTCACTGAGGTACCTTTGAGTAATGATCGACGGGAGACTCAAATTTAAGGCGCACTTTGAAAAAGACTGCGGTCCTGGCGAGAATCATGACCAATATAGGTGGCCTAAACCGTAGTAGGACAATTCTACTGGCTAAAGTTAGCCAGTCAATAATGATGTATGCAACTCCTATATGGGGGAGAGCCCTACGTCAAAAAACATATGCCAACAAGGCAAATGCAGTTTTCAGGCTAAGCGCCATTAGAGTTACCTATGCGTTTACGATGGTGTCGTATATTTTCGCCATTATACCGACGAATATAGTGTCTTCGTAGCAGGAGTATATCAAAAGACATAATCGTAAATAGGCGTCTAACAGCCGGCGAGTGGCAAAAGAAATAGAACACGACAGAAAAAGGAAGGTGGACCCATAGGCTCATTAAGAACCTACCAGCCTGGATTGAGAGAGAATACGGAGAGACAGACAGACACAGTTCTTGTCAGGCCATGGCTGTTTGAATACCCCTACAGATATGGCCACGATGACGGGACAGACTGTTCCTCCTGCAGCAGTGCCGCAGAAAAGGCGGAACATATGTTTTTCCTGCTCGAGGTATGAAGTGGAGAGATCGACTATAGAGCAGATAATAAACGAAATGATGACGTCCGACAACATTGTAAGTCACTTACTGCAATCGAGATTGGTGTGGGCTAAAATGATGGAATGGACCAGCATCGGAGTAACGAAGGACCAGGTGAATAACATATCAGAAAGTATATGAAGAGGCTTTTTTTCCAGCTTGATCCTGCGAATTAATGTCTAATGGCGGCGCTACAGAGCCGAATACAAGCTACAGCTGACGGAGTCAAGGATTTTAGTTATGTAAGGGTATTGTTTCGCAAGTCCAGTATAGTTAGATAATACTGTCTGTGCGTGATTCCGAATGAGGTGTACCTTTAGTGGAGAAATGGCGGTATCTTCTGAAGATTTCCTGCTCCGAAAACCCAAAAAAATACCCTCAGACAGCAACAACGCTCATCGAGTTGAAATGCATTCGGTTGTCCCTTCCTTTTGTTTGTTAATGGGTGCTCTTTGATACACAGAGGTGTCGCATATTGTGCTTGTTGTTATTGTATAGCACGTACCCTTATAGTGATCCAAGTCGATATTAGGTCGTCGAAACGTACGCACGAATGTCTAGAACACTGGAGACATGCCAAGCTTCTATAAGTACACTCCAGGGGCTCGTAAAAGGCTTAGTCCTTTTCTTCCATCATGGCGTGGACAAAAACCAGCCATACGAAGTTTATCTTCTTTATATCACTAGTGGCGGTGATTTACGAGGATATCAACCAGCTGGATAGCTGAATTTTCCCACATAAGATAGCGAGCATTTCAGGTGGTTGCCCTCAAATAGTAGTCCCATCGAGAGAGTGATCCCCTCTTTCGATTCTGTGGTCCCTTTATCATGGGAGGAGGCTCTTAAGTAGCTCTAGTATAATATTAAACCGCATTAATGACAGTTGCATCATTAAAGATCTCCCTTCAATCGACTCGTTCCCAGGAAGATACTGTAGCTGTTTAACCATAATTAAAACTAGACGTCATTACACTTCGCAATTCTCATTTGAATAAAAGAACAAGAGGTTTTTTAGAAAATCTTATATTTAGCATTCTAATTCAAGTTAACTAATTTCCTTAAATTATTTTAAAATTTATATAAAAAAAAAACTTCTATATATATTATATATATGTAATATATTATTAGCACATTAGCCATCCGGCCACACTATGCCTTCAATGAAATCCAAATATTCAAACACTCTGGTGTACACACCAGGCAGATCAGAGCCACAAAGAAAGCCAAATGAAACTAAGCCGACCACTCTATAATTATTATATCTTTTATCTTTTACAAGGTGTATGGGACCACCGGAGTCGCCCAAGCAGGCATCGCTGTCAAGGGAAAAGGCACAAAGTTGAGTGTCCACAATGCCACGATTTAAGCGATGATCCATGTGTCCCTGATAGCTTGCATTGCACAACAGCACCGGTACATGCGTCAAATTGGCAGCCAATAAATGTGACGAAGAATCTAGAACAGATCGTAGAAGACTAGCAACAGTTCTCAAAAAATTATAATCCAAAATAACTTACTGCCAGTTTCTGTTTGTCCCCAACCGGTCACAATGAGATCAATGTCCAAAGGCAAATCCATTGGATCGGTGTGCAGACAAGTGGGGAAAACGTTCAGAGCGTATTTGACCTCACGCGCCAATTCAATTAGACCAATATCATTGTAGAGACGGAAAGAGGTATAATTCTCGTGTAGATAAGTTGTCTGCAAACACACAAAGTCGGTGCAAAATAAAATCAGAAACTATTAAAACAAATACCTACATATATACAGTGTATATTGTAGACTCACTTTAATATCGATCTCTTCGCGAGATTTCCACTCTTCGGTATCATTAAAATCAGTGACACCCATAATAACCTTCAAAGCGACCGCGCCTCTCACTTGCAGACAATGCGCAGCGGTGAGTACGAAGCGTCGATGAATTAATATACCACCGCATATGAGAGTAGGTGAGTCGTATATAATTTTAGCCATATGTGGGTAATCTTCTATGCGAACTTTCGTGCCGCGTAATATATGTGCTTCCGTGCTCGGCATAAGATCCTTTTCGATTTCTTTGCATGCTAAGAGACAAATATCAATGTTTTCAATCATAAAAGAAGAATGATATTTATAAGAGCATTTTTCTTACTCACCACGATCAGCTGGCCGATCGAAAGCACGAACGCTTGTGAAATTTCTAAACAAACAAAAAATAAGGAAAAATATCATACAATATTTGCATATGCTTTCCGTCGACAAACCTTTTAGGAGGTCCACCGCCCATGCCACTCATTGCTTCCTTCATCAGATCCTTAATTTTCTGCTTAGCTTGCTCTGGCGTGAGTCCCTTCAGAGAGTCACGTATCGATTTTGATGATATTGTCGTAAATTCTGTTGGGCCGGGACTTATAGTAGTTGCTCTAAATTCAACAATGTTTTTTCTATAAAACAAAAAGTAAAATAAAAGTGAGATAAAACGGGAAAGATCGAAAGGAAGAGAGCGGGTGCTGTAAAACTTACGGACAACAAATAATCTCCTCAAGCACATTAAAACCACAATGACCAACGTCACTGCTATTTCGTTCTATCGCGCTCATTAATTCGCGCAGGTCTGGACATTTTGAAATCGTAGTGCATACTCCCTTATAGTGTGGCGTGCTGCAAGGATCGTTTTCTAAAAGAACAAATAGTTTCAATATTTGATTGTAGGCTTAGTTGTATGTATGTATGTAAGTATGTATAATAAATATGTGCTCAGATTTTTAACAATCATTTTGTTATTTTGAACTATTTTAGGCTGAGATATAACTCCACCCTCGCCGATGTCGAATATACCGACTTCTTCTTCGAAAGTCTGTTTTAAGGGTCTAAAATAGGAGTAGTTTTTGGAATTAAGATTACATAAATTAATTTCTGACATTTACAAGTGACTTTCGGCGTGATTTATGCTATGAAGCTTTTAAAAGCATTTCATAGTTTTGAAGGATTTTTAAAAATATCAAGTCTTAAGTAGACTACGACAATGGTAGTTCATAGTAGGGATAGCACGAAGAGTGCCTGAGAGGTTTTCAATATCATTACGTCACAGTTTCAATTTAATTTACTTTGCTGACCACTCTTTGGGTCGATATTTTACTAAAACAGAACAGCGATGGTGTCTGCAGCACTCGGTCTCTTCGACAGCTGTTTTGGGCGTATATTAATATCTAACCTTCCTTTGCCTACTTGGGGCGAGTTTCATTTTCTTATTGCGCGGTTTCACCCACCCACTTAGAAGTATTCAAAGTAAGTTCAGACTGCTTAAGTGCATGCATAATTATGTCTAATAGACTTCTTAAAATACTTAAAGGCTTCGCAGATACCTCATCCTGCGAAATCATTCTTTTTACAGAGCTTGAAAGGAATTCTACTATTCCGATAGGGCATTCAGTCCCAAAAGCTTAGGAAATTAAACAACCGACATTTCATTGCACACGCTACTTTGCTCAAGTCTATGAAGTTTGCCACCTTAAGAAATTTCCTCTAAAATTTCGCTCGCTACCTCTTCTCTACAACTTCATCGAAAGTTACGTGTCAAGCGTCTCTGCGTGCCAGCTTGAGGGCCACAACTAGTGTGAAATTTCAAAAAAATTGATCTTTTTTCACATTTCGGTAGATTATACCTTTAAAAATAACATATTAGAATTTCAAATCGATATCTCAAATAGTTCTTGAGCTATAACAATTTAAAGAGCAGCCGCTCGGCAGAGTCACATTAGCTACGAGTGAAAACGATCATTTTATATTTAAACGCGTTTTTCTCGAAATAACATTTTCCGAATTTGCTGCAGTGATTACTCAAAAACAAATGATCCGATCACTATCGAATTTTTTTACATGTTCTATATAGTTCTTCGTACAATGGCCTATCGATTTTTGATCAGATCAAAAAATCGAATTTTGGCAGGCCAAAAACGATAAAATTTTGGGTAAAATTCGACAATTTTTTTTTAAATGCCGCCATATTGTCAATTTTTGATTTTTTTATCGTAGGTCATTGTACAGACAATATTATATAGTAGAGATTTTTTTTTTACATTTCCAGAAATCACCTTTTAAGGGCATCCTTCCCGGATATTGGGCAAAGATCAGGCAAAGTTTATACCTTTTTGTGGGAAAATGAAAAGGCGTAAAAATAGTCGAAATTCAAAATTTCTGCTACAAAATGTCGCTTTCCATCGGCCTCTGCGCGAAAAACATAGCCCAACAACTTCAAGCGTACAGCCTCTTGTAGTAGACTGAAATCGAAAACCGTTATCATTATTTGAAGATCGTGAAATTTTCTAAGTCCTGAATCTCAATTGAAACAATTTTAACTATGAATTTATTGCATAATGCTCATTCCAATTATAAAGTTAAATTTTTTAAAAGTTTTTTGAAAGTTTGCCGTGCGTGAGACAGGTGTATTCGAGAAGCTGCTATTTGAAAAATATTCATCGTATTTCAAAATCCCTTTAAACACATACTCTACAAAAACAAACGGCTTTCCTTTTTTGAGTAAAAAAATCGTTTTTTTTTGTTGGAAATCATGTCATGGTCCCCTTAATAAAAGATGTCGCATTAGAACAACGAAAAATGTGGATATTTCGTTTCTATTTAGCGAGAGCAACTCTGCTGACCTTATTTTATTTCATACTGGCCAACTCCACCTGTACAAAAACATTGCAACAGCTGATGCTCATCCATCTTTGGATATCAACTGAGAGCAGCTTGTTCAACCTCTTTCATGATGGCAACAAAGTAAGGTAGTACCCATCTAATTACCCGATATGCTGGTGTGTACGGACTCGTAGAGAAGACCTTCGGTGATCTACAATAATTCTGAACTTTCCAAAAAAAATAGCAACCCTATTCAATTGCTCAATATGAGGTCACGAGCTTAACTAATATGGCTATGTAAATTTATCCTGAGCCGCGCAAAAAGCGCCACATTCATAATGATTCCTTCAACCAAATGACATAAACGGCATCAACTACCTGGAATCTTTGTGTGTAATACCAAGACAAAATATATCTTGTAATCATTGAGAGTAATAGCTCTGAAGCTGTGAAGGTTTCCAAATTTCTATGAGCCAGCTTAACTGCTATCATAATGTCTACCTGCAAATCAAAGACAGACTCATTCTTGTCAAGGAATACTAAATTGTGCTGAGGAGCAAAATAAAATCCTCGCACGATAAACAAAGACCTACAAGTCTCTCATCATTCCCGTCTTGCTGCGATATCTCATCGGCAAGTATCGCAGACGATGGAACGATGTGCTGTACGGCATATACAGCAACATTGACATAAGACTCATCGTTGGAAAGATCAGGTGGAGAAAGCCTCTACCACGCTTTGTGTTTACAGCTTGCGTCTGATGCACATTTTTTTTTTTGTTCTGAGCATGTGTTTGGCTTTTGTACTTACCTTCTAATTCCTCATCACCGTGGATTTTTGAAAGGCAAGCCAGTAAAATGACTAAATGTATGACTAATCCTTTGTGCCTTGCAATCATTTTGTTTGTATATGAACTTCGTTGAGCTCAAAAAAAAATAATTATTTGACTTTTTTCAAATTTTTTGGAAATTATAATTTTAAGAAATTTATATTTTTTAAGGTTCTAGCGCGGAGAAGAAGATACACATATATAATATTGGTATTTTTGCAACAGTTAATCGACGTTCAACACACATACTATATCTACATATATATGTACGCAATTATGTTTTCATTACACTTTTACGCAGTCCACTTTGAACGGATTTCTATTTTTAGTTCATTTAAAGAATTGTTTGAAGTCTATTAAATTGTTTTAAACACATTTGTATAAGTATTTATTTTTATATATTATTTTTTATATAACAATTAATATAATTGTCACAAATATAATTTAGTATTATTCACCCTCTGCAATGTCCAGCACAAAATACCGAAAGCAGTCAACCTGCAGCTTTACGTTGTAACCACCGACTGAGCTGCAATTTCACCGCATTACATTGAACTCGATGCTTTTGTCAGTCGGCAGTGATAAGAAAACGCTCGCAGTTTCCCAGAAATCAGCAGGTTTTCGATTTATGCACAATTTCTAATGATGCAATGTGAGCAACCGAGAATTCGACGAATAAGAAATTCGGAAATTGATTAGACTTGTATTGTTGTTGTACACTCTTCTGTAATATTCAAATATACAAACATTTGTACATAAATGTGCAAATTCTAAATATAATTGATAACAAATTTAGATAATTTGGCGCAATAATATTGATTTATTGAGAATTCTCGGTATGCACTCCCGATTAAGGTTCTCAGAACTACTCTTCTACTCTATGTAGACTCTCATACATATTGTACTTTGTAATTAACACCGATGGTTGTTGTTATTGCGGTAGTTGTAGCAGCTATCCAGCCACGCTAAGAAGCAGACGAGATTATTCTAATGGCAGGTCCAGAACGGATTCGGACCAGAGGGATAAGGAGGTTAGAGGAATTGTTTTTCAAGGGCATGCAAAGAAGTGTTTAGAATCATGCGGGATCTCATTGCGTGCAGAACATATATACGTTGGGTATGTCAGCGTCGAGACTAGATTAATAGAAATTAATTCGACTACAGAATTTTATTCGTGTCAGCATTACTCGGTTCGCTTAAGGTAGCTCGAACTTTTCATCTACAATAATTTTGGCTTGCATCCCGAAGACTTCAAGATGATGTTGATGACAGACTCTCGGTGTTGGTTCTTGTACGTGCTACTGATGGGAGTCTACGCAATCTAGTACTTCCTTACAGATTTGGCTTGGTGGAGGTTCAGCATCAATGAAATGTCTGTTGGGGTACTCTCAGCGGTAGAACACCAGCAAATATTGCTTTCACAGCATAACATTATGTTCGTTAACACATAGCCTAGATGTATCGCTGCTGTACAAGTGCTGCTCCGGTGACATTAGAAATTTTCCTGTCACGCCGTTGCGACATGTAATAGTTTCTTCATCTGCATCTCACTAGTCCACGGCGTCCAAAATAGAGCATACGACCAGCCGGTCAATTGCCTAGAATATTGCGAACAAAGTTTCTTTATCATTTCCCGAGATGATGTGGGCTAACGATTAGAGGATTTGGTTGCGACTCTGCACTCATGTGGCAATAGTAGTCGTATGCCGAAAGAAAAGTTGCAGGCTGTCGAATGTGACTGCCAGCAACTTTGGTTTGTTAATTGTCGGTATTTCTACAGTATGAGATCAATGGAAAGCCCTTTGGTGAAGGAAGTGTGTTTCGATATGTAAAAACTAAATTAAATTTTACCGAGTTGAAGAAGTTTGGTCTCAAAACTCTACCGTTGCCTGTCGACCACTCAGGTAGCGCATAGTGCACCTCCTCAAACTCGGCGGTAATGAGGAACTTGCAATTGTCCGATAATAGCACTAAATGGTTGATAGTGCCAAAGGCTTTTGAGAGATCCATTACTACCCGAATATTCGCGCGCAGGATCGGTTTCGGTTACGATCATGTTTATTGGCGTTAGGTGCGGTTGTGTTACTCTGTTATTTTTAGTAACCATGAGATAACACCGATAGACAACAAAAGCGCTCACCAGAACTACAATATTTTCCGATGCCAACTCATTTCTTCATTCCTGAGGACATCTGGTTCCTCTCAGCTTTACAATCAACGCTGGTTCTGTGTAAATTGTGAAAATCTAAGCCAGATTCACGAGCGCTGCAAACCACAACCATTCCGAAGTTACCAAAATATTCCGTAAGAATAATGGGCGTAAGAAGTGAGCATTTCACTTTGTACCTTCCGAAAACGGCAACTAATAGAGTGAGAGAAAAGTTGTGCAAGAAGCAACCATAATGATTTTGGATCAATAAGCCTGATATCATTTGTGCTTATTATATTATAGAAGTTTATATTAGTGTTACTGGATCTCAAGAGCATGAAAAACCAGCACGTTTACGTGAAAGACAGGTCTAGACATGATGGTATCGCAATTTGAAAGATCTAGCTCACTAAAGGAGTATAGTTTGCTCAGCGCCGTAAGGTCAGAGCTCGCTTTTACTCTTCACTATGGCACTACGAACTTATTAACTCCAGAGTCTCCAGCAATAAATGCGTACTCGCGCTCTCTATACTTTCAGACGTGAGATTGACTGGGCTAGTGGCAGGTAAAGTATATTTTTCTGCACCGTGTAGTGATCAACCACTTCCAAATTTAATAGAAGGCAGATGACAGCACTGTTATGTATTAGGGAAGGTGCTTTGACGAACCCCCAACTGAGACTATGTGTGTCCTTGAATTTACGTTACGTTGTACGCAAAAGATGTGTCATTGGAAACTGCCAAGCCACGGTCATTTAATATTAATACCTACCAAAGAGAAAAAGAGGAGAAAATTTTCAGAAACCAATAGGCTATCTTAGAAGATATAAAGGATAGATGTATCTATATATATAGGGCATCCTCCATTGCAGGAGCTGAAACCTTAAAACATTTTCTTTGGGAGGGCGAGCCTTAAAGACTTGAGAAAAATTGAGCATTGGCTTGATTAGCGTCCCCAGTTGTGTTATTACTGGTCTCGTTCAAAGGCCTAAGTGACCTTATACCAAGGAACCACTTCAATTTAATATGAATGGCGCTCAGAATGAAACCGAGGTTGTTTCTGAAAAATTCCGTTAGGAAGTAGAATTCAAGCCGACTTTTACATTGCGAACCATAATGATCAAACCTCCCCAAAACAAATAAATTAGAAATCCAGCAACCGAGTCTAGTCTTCATCCAACCTCTATAGTATTTTACTCTTTATTCATTCTTAAAACATTCACGTCGTCCGATTATTTTTAAATAAATATATAATATATACATTTATATATCAGCAGCTAATCCAATAAACCCTCAATGATCACCACATAACGCAGCGTTTCTGTATTGCTGGCCACCACTTGTAGAGTAATACTTCGTTCCCCAATGCCACCGGAAGTTGTAAAGGCTTGAGATGTGAAATCCTGAGTGCCAACCAAATATAAGCTAACGCTGGTAACTACGGCGTTAGCGCTGTCTGCTGATTGGTCAGCGGTCTGTGGGTTTGGATATTGAATATTTACGATAATTTCCTTCTGATCAATATCAGCCGTAACGGTATCTTGGTAATGATAAATCGGTATTGCACCTAAGAAGAAAATTTGAACAATTGCAAATTGAATTAAAATTAAATATAATATTTTATGGAAATACTGTCAGTAAATCCGACCTTGAACTGTGCCGCCCAATGTAAACCGCTCAACGGAAGTACCCTCCGGAGTATTTAGCGGTTCTCTCTCCAAAGCAGCTACCGTCGCCGCCACAAAAACAACTAAGAGTATGATGAAACTGTTCTTCGCCATCGAAAATATGTTAACTGTAAAAGAGCTTCAATATGCTTGCAAAACAGAGTTTTACTAACTTGGAATTCTTCTCGACAACCTTTTATATACCGTTGCAGACATTTATGATTTCTTGCTGCGATTGATCTTGTTAAGAAATATCTAACATAATTTAATTATAGATAAAAAACGTATTGAGATAACAAGTAGAATAAGAAGAAGAAGGAGTGAAAGATAAAACAGAGAACGCTCAAACACGAGGGTTGTACAATAAGAACGTATTTTGAAGTAAAATTGTGTAAATGGTTTCTGGGTCCATCGACCTTAACTTGTCCTATGTAAAACTGAAAATCCCCCAACCAAATACCAAGAGGGCTGTGGAACTCCTTGTACCAGTCCCTAAAGTCTGAAATCAGTCCAAGTAGAGGCTGCTATTCTACTATTGATAAAAAAGTCTGTTAAGCTGCAGGAAGGTTGGTGCTTCTGGGGAAATTCGAATTGAAATGCAGACTATGTGAAATACAGGCACAGTTGTTACGGAAAATTCCTGATCACCATCGACAAAGTAATGGAAAGGTCTTTCAGCATCATAAGTCATTGGGAGACATCAGCCAACTTGGAGGTAAAAGCTGGCAAATCGATGATGCCATACTGTTCACAAAATGCTATAAAATCCCCGCGCGAAAGCCCACGAAGCGCGACGGATGGAACTATCAACATCAAAATATCACACCAAGGAGCTGGAAATAAATTTTTAGATAAATTCTCTGGTGTAACCTTCGGGCTTAGCTCAATATACAGGGGCATGGAGGACAAAATATACGGCATATTATAATAATAACAATTGGCGGTTTGTAAACGCAGGAGTAGTTCTCGGCCGAGCTCTTCTTACAATTTTTGGTTTGCGTCTTGCTGTGCTTTCGAAAAAATAGATGAGCCTACAATTAATTCTATGTCGTCTCCGAACGGCCGATGGATTTATATGATGAGCTTTTATTTCATATCAGAAACATGCTCGGAGGACTTATCGGGTCTCTGTCAGACACAATTCGTAAAGATCCCGAATTTAAACCGATATAAACTCGGCTATGAGGCAAAGATTCTAATATTGCAAAGAATCTTAATGTTAATGTCTCTAAGGTTGAAAAAATAAAGCAAGTAATACCTTCCCATAAAACTATGACGGCCCTTTGGAAGAATCGCAAAACCATGATTCTTTTCATTTGTAAGATCACTACAAATCAGAAAGACGTGATATCCATACAGTTATGGATTATATTTCGCAGCTTGTGAATCAAATTAAAGCGGTTGATGTGTTTATATAATATATATATACATAGTTGGTACTTTCGGCCGAGCTCCTCCTCCAATTTGTGGTTTTGCGTCTTGATGTTTTTCCAACAAATGGAGGGACCTACAGTTTATACTAAACCGCCTCAGAACGGCTGATGGTTATTATATGAGGAGCATTATTTCATGTCTGTAATACACTCGGAGGGGTCTACATTATCTGCAGAGGGACGACCACAACTAGAAAATTTAGCTTAACTTTTTATTTAAATTAATTTGCTATAACCTTTTGGATGTTAGTACGACACCAGGATTTGAGCCCGAGCCTTCCGCATAGCAGTACGCAATACTAACCACTAGGCTAACGCGGCGGCGGCAAGAAAAATGTACTAATTTCACGGAGAGTTGACGCCTACGGTCAGTTCCACAGATTAAACAAAATAATTCACTGTTGTTTCAATGATTTTTTTCGGAGAAAAAGAAATCATTACAAAGGCAATTGGCGGTTACCTTTGTTTGGAATAAGTCTTTCTTCATTAGCTCTCATTGTCATTCACTATTATAGAGTTTTGTGGGAACTTGCGTAATTGGGGTATTAAGGCAAACTTTAGACAATTTTAATTTGCGGTACGGTAAAATTCTCTTCTAAGAAATTTGAAATGAAATTTACGCAACCTTGTCGAAAACCTTAAAGCAAAGATCTACAGAGATTGTCTAAATCAATTACATGATCATTGACATGATCTACTCCCTCCTTCAACGCGAGTATAAGGAATAAGGTGTAATTTACACATAGCTTTACAGTACCTAAACCGAGACTCTTCTTTTTTATTGCTTTTTCCTCTTATTTTTTCTCTAACACTTACGAAATTGCCCTAACAGCAGCAGGAAAACACCCCCAAATTCTGTGTGATCTCCTTTAAAAGGCACTATACGCTTGAGGAAGCTGGTAACAGGACAGCAGGCCGGATGTCAACTCGCCACTCGTTTTTAAACCACTCTCATTCTCTCAAAAAAAAAAAAACACGATTGAAAGGCCCCGAAAGGCTGTAACCACACTTTATACTAACAAAGTGGCCATTGGGAAGATATGGGATCGAGAACCGAACACTGTTCGTTCCTGCATTTAAAACTCCCTCCCACCCTGCATGGCACACTTGAGGCGAACTGCTGCTACAATTAGACTGTACACAACTCAGCCTTCGAGAAATTGTTGCTTCGGACTTTACCAAGTCTCATCTCCTTCCTGTGGAATAGCGGTACAATAATTTGCCAACGGATACTAAAATCCAACAGTTACCGTGACAGTCTGGTCTTTATACCGGAATGACCCCAATTTTTATCCGGCCAAAGACTTTCATTCCAACAACCAAGTATTATCTCTCACACAAATTCCGGGAAAAGCTGAGCTATAACACTTTCAACTTCTACTTTGTTAATCTCTTTTCCACAATAATGGAACAGGTGGATTTAATGCGCCTTTAAGGTAAGAGAATGGAATGATTGATATATAAATATTTTAAGTCGCAGCGGCAGAGCCTAAGCGTACTGGTTCTGTGATTAGCTGCCGCATTAACTCAACTCAATCCATCAATTAAGTGCCTTGGAGGTGATTAGATAAGCCCATCAAACCCCTATGTCTGTTGTTGCAGACGGCTTTTGTCGGCTACATGTACGCGACACAGATTTGTTGTCGGCTCTGCTTGATGAAAATCAAATATTTTTGATGTTTAATTTGACGACCGTTAATTTGATTGTCTCCATAAACAAGCTCATTTGTCTTGTGATGTTTAATGGTGAAGTATGGAAAATGCATGAATTAAATAAAAATCAGACTTTTGATTATGCATAATATGTATCGGGACAAGTAAAAATTTCGTTCGGTGTTTTTTTTACTGGTTTTTCAAAATATGGTAATTTTAATAAAATAAAATAAATAATAAATAAAATTAAATATGCGCCATTTTATTCGTAAATTATACCTCTCTCGCAGAAGTTTGTGTCCTCTTTTGATCAAAGATGGCCTTTTCTGGATGAGTGCTGCCTTCAAACGATCGCAGTTGGCAGTAGTGGGCCATAGGGGAGCTGCACGTAGTAGATGATTCCTTGCCAACCCTAACAAATACACAGCAAAACCTTCCTGGCCGTCAATCCAGTCTTCGCCACCACCTGGGCCGCTTCCCCAAGCTTTGACCACGACCGTTTGCGCTCAATGCTATCGTAAGATCGTAAGATCGTAAGATCGTAAGATCGTAAGATCGCCAGTCACAATCCGCTTCAGAAACGGGTCGATTTTGTTGCGATTCAGCAGCGATTCGCAGATGGAAATTCGGTGCATCATGTTTTTTTTGCGTTACTTCGTGTGGCATCCAAACATCTTTAGTTCCTCAGCAATTAAAAAACTGCTCACGTGACGGTCTGTTTCCACTGTTTCCATGATTTTATCGCAATTTCCGACGACAGGTCTCCCGACGCGTGGTGCATCTTTGACATCGAAATTACCGGAACTGAACCTAGCAAATCACTTTTGGGCTACACGTTTGCTTACAGTATCGGGCCTATAAACTAAATTAATTTTTGCAGCCGCTTAGAACTCTGTTTGTAGAATCATTTGCAAGGTAGCATAGTGTTATCAATCCCCGTTATACACCCGCCCACTTTGCTTTGTCAACAAGAGGGTGTATTGATCATTTCAAACAATTTGTCATCTCAGTCGCTTAACTGCATTGCAATGAAATAGTCGTCATTTGTAGCGTCTAGTATTTTCCTGAATGTTCGCAAACTATTTCGATACTGAACGCGAGTGTTTTAGTGTTTTTGAAATATTTTTTATTGCGTTAAATATTTACAATACCTCAAGTTTATACGAAAAAATTATGAAAATAAGTTGATGAGCTGGAATTATAAACAACTGAAACGACAATTGAGAACCACTTAATCATTGATGATTTTGAGCTGAACAAAAACTACAACAACGACAACAACAAAAACACTAGAAGTGAACATATAACTTTGATCTGCAACGCTCTCCTGTTCAAGTCATTAACAAAATCTTACTGAGTGAACGATTGATGCTTGAAAGATTGCTGACATTCTGGTAGTGTATCTCACAGAGCGATCGGAGCGTGTGTATTGAGACAATTTTTCCAGTTGTTTTTGGAGCGAAGAGTGTATAATTTTCTTGTTGGTAGAGAGAGAGTGCAAAAAAACATCTCTCTATCTACTATCTTTGTTTATGTTGATATCGCGCTCGCGACGCCAACAAACATGTTTACATCGCTCAGAATTCGTTTGTCGTTGAGTTTGTGGATTTTCGCGCTTATTTTTATTTATACCTCTACGTATATAGCTCACGCTTTACCGGCAACAGCTATTGGTGGAAGTGATAAAATTGGTAAGAAAAATGTTGATAAAGATGTGTGATCCCACTAATACGTGTTGTCATGATGTGACATCACATCATGAGTTACGCCAAATATGTTGATCTCATTACAAGGAATCGTTTTTGGTCGCGAAGTACGTCACAACTTAGTGGTTTCGAGTGATGCGATTTCATGCTGGAAAATTGATTGATTTGACGTCATACGATATTTCATCACGTGTCATGATGTGATGTGATGAAAAATCATAAGATGAAGTAACTTTGTCATTGATTTATATATTTAGTATTGATACTTGATACCAGATTATTTGAGGGGCAAATTTGAAGAACTAAGTTGTCACTGATTTTTTTAAATTACTTTGAAGTCCTATGTAACTTAGTGATTATAATTATATATAATGCGATTGATGAAAATGCCATGACGGTTTTAGTCTGATAATCACAACGAAATTTTTGAATGCCGGCATTAACCGTTAATAATAACTTTTGTAAGCTTTAAAAGAAGCAAAATAACATTTTTATTTTCATATAAGCAAAAAGGCCTTTTGATCAATAACTTATAGGTTAGGTAAGGTTGAACTGGCTGACTCATTAGTTTAGCAGACGCACTACTTGCGAAGAAATCGCACTGCTACACTGCTTTTGTGTCTCTAGTGTGAAGAACTTTGAGGTAGTCGTTCTGACCTCTTAACCTTTCTCGACTAAAGATGCATCAAAATGCCGCAATGTACCAGTTTGGAATCTGACCTCTTTATAGATAGTACAAACTTTTTTAAGTCTAGCACCGTACCCATCAGCTCGTTCTCGAAGTTTATTCGCCTGATGAAGTAGTATTACTTCTTGCTTTCGCTTCACTTCCCACAGTGGAACTATATAAAAGATTCATTACCATGTCCTGCTCTCATAATACACTCTCGTTTACGAGTTCGTTAGCAATCTCGTTACCTTCATTGCCCACATGACCTGTGTAAACATTTCGGTTTTCACAAAGTACTTGAATCGCCTTTTTACATGTTCAACACCATTCCTTGGTAGTTAGCACTGGGTTTCAGCAGTAAAGTGGCCTCTCCTAGTTATGGCTTGATCTAAACTTGAATTTTGTAGATTAGCTTATCTTTCTCTAGGCGTTTGCAATTCACACAACCACCTTGGTCTTCTGATGTTCCTTTCAGAAAATTTACTTCAATTTAGACCTTCCGATTTTGTTTGTTATACCTAGACAACTAGACAACTAGAATTCCCTTGTAGTATTTAAGTGTTATATCTAAAACGTTCTTTGACGTTAGTCCAACATGCGTAGGTTCGCTTCCTCTATTTATAGTTTTTAGATTAATCTGTAATAGTAGGCAAAAGAGAGACTCACCCCTGTCATTTATGTCGACACTACCCCATAAGGTTCGATAGGCATTAAGTCCGCGCATGCGATTTTCGATTCTCCTTTGCGCATGCAGTGCACTATCAGCCTCTTCATATCAGTTGAAGGAACTTCGCTATTGTGGTTCTTGTAGCCTGAGCCTAGGAGGATGCACCCACTCTCCAACACTCAATTATCACTACCGCCATGTCCTCAGTGGTGAAATTAGGTTGTTATTACTGCTCTCACCCTTCCTGCTGACTCCAAATTGAATGCATCGAAGCTTGCTGTGTTAAGTTCAGAAACCTACCCTCTACCTGCAAGCCATTTGTCCTTGATCAATCCTACGCCGAACGTTTCCTCTTCTAGTGTAAGTAAAAGTTTGCTCGAGACCACCTTGTTGTGCTCCAAATTTATTATCATTTTTTAGGCTGTCCATCACCTATTTTCACCGTCGACGCCATTATGGCTGACCCATCTATCGGAGCACCCTCCGCTAATTTCAGTTCAGTAAGAACCAAACCAAGGTCCTTCTCAACTTCCCCTGCTTCCAGCATGTTTACGTTGCCATCTTTCGCACTCCTCTTTCTTAGAAGGAGGCAAACTCTGTACATACCATACAACACCTTGCCAGGCTTTGGGTAGGGCAAGTCTTCCGCCTCTTTGTTGATCTGGAGGATATAGTTCTGACCCTCCTTCATAGGCTTAGATACGTGAAATACCTTCCGTCTTTCAGTGTCCATAAGTCCATAAGGATTGCTGATAGCAAATAGCCTTTAAACTATCTTCTCCTGCTCCTCCTATTTCGAAATTTTATTTATATTCATTTATGTTCAGCAGCCAAGAGCCAAGGGCCAAGATAAGGCCGCCGTTACTCTATACGCCGGTCCGCAGTCAGGAAGGCTCCATTCAAATATAGTCAATATTACACCCTTGCTACAAATCCCAATGGACGATTTGCACGGCTCGCATAACACACTGCATTATGCAGCTTTAATTGAATATTGAGTAGAGTGACGCAGGCATAGCTGGTGATTCAGCTAAGCCCCGCACCAAGTCCAGAAGTCTACTCCCGCGGAGGTTCCTAACTTACAACAAGTGAAGCTTTATTGAAATAGGTGCCCTGTGTTTGCAAAATATTTATCGAAGAAAACCTATTTCAATAAGAGCATATTAATAAGGTCTAGAAAAAACTTGTTATTTTGGAAATAATTTTGATAAGTGTTGCCACCTTTTTAAGAACTTTAATTCATTAAAACTGATCACATAAATATACAGTATGTCAATTAATTGTTTGCAAAATGAAAAAAATCATAAAAGTCTCTTTCCAAATTTTATTTTCCTCTTTTTTTATTAATTGGTATTGTTAATCTAATCAATTAATTCTTTGCAAAATGTCCACACAATTCAAAATAAAAGGTAGGTAACTTAACGGTACCACACATTGCTCTATTATTAAGGCTTTCGACAGCTCAGATCTGGTTGGTTTAGCGCATGCCTGGCAAGCGAACTAATGAAAATCTTATTCAATCAGTATATTTTGACTACCACAAAGAGAAATCGGTTAAGGAATTAGCGGAAATGTTTTCCAGCAAGCTTAGAATGATTTATAATTATATTAAGCGCACAGAAAAAGAAAAAAAGGTTGGAGTTAAAACACTCTGAAGGTAGACCACCGAAACTTTCTAGACGCGATCATTCAAAAATTTCAAAGCAGAGCAGTTATATTCCCTGAGAAAATTGGCGTTAGATATTGAAAAGAATTGCCATAAAACAGTAAGTCAGGAGACAATCCGAGAAGTCTTAAAAATACACAAGTACTCCCCGCAAAAAGCTAGAAAGAAACCATTGTTGTCGGTAGGTAGGTGTCTAAAGGGCTGCGGAATACAGGGGTGACGTTATTTCTTGCGACGAGACAAAACGAGTATCATTACTATCATGATGGACCTGGTAAAGTTTGCAAAAAAAAACCCAACACAGCTTTCCGACCGAGAAATTTAATTCTAACAGTAAAATTTGGTAAGCTTTCTGTAATGGTTTGGGACTGCATTTCGCCAAAAGGTATTGGTGAGCTCCGAATTTTCAATGACGTGTTGACGAAGGAGTTTTACTTGGACATTCTAAAGAACGTCAAGGAGTGCGCTAAAATCTGGATGTGTTGACCATGAACACCCTAATAAATTAAGGATAACGATCCCAAACATAAACCATTGCTGTGCAGGACGTGGCTCTTATATAATTGCAGTAATTTGATTGACACTTTGCCCAGAGCCCTGACTTAAGCTCCATAGAAAATTTATGGCCTTTTTTAATCAAACGAGTTGTCAAACTAGACCCAACCAATAAAAACGCTCTTATTAAGCTCAACCAGGAAGAGTGGAACAAAATAGCTAAAAATTATGACTTAAGCAACCTTATTCAGTCCATACCCCGTCGTCTTCGAGCTGTTATAGATGGAAGTGGCCATCATACCAAATATTGGTACCAACACGCTATATTTTCTCAGTTTTAATTACATTTGCAGTAATTGTTAATATAATATTTGTTATCTTTTAAATTTAGATATCTCTTTTACTTTTATATCTTGAACTCTGGAATTTGTGTGCATTATTTATGTTAAGAAAATTTAAAAAAAAAAATGAAGTTAAAGAAAATTGTTTTAGTTAATAAAAATCATGTTGAAAAATGAATTTGTTTGATTTTTTGCATTTTGCAAACAATTATTTGACATACTGTAATATGGGTACCCGCATTCAAATGATAATAATTTTGAGAAGAGCTGCCACCTGAATAAACTTTTTGTGAAAAATACTTTTAAAAGTGGTTGACAGCTATTCGAAGTATTTAATTCAATTTATAATACATAAAGAACAGGGCAAAGAAGACTTACATATTGTTACGATTTTGCTGAATTNGTTGAACGTTGGGAGTGGATTGCCGAACATGATGGCGAATACATAGTTGATTAATAAAAAAAGCGCTTTCTTCAAAAAAATTCAATTTTAGTTTGCACTTGAAATCGGGCACGAACTTATGCACTCATCTAATACAATCCCTTGTATAAACTTTCACAATTTACTTTACTTAAATGTAATCTCCAACGCGTTTACTTTACGACTCTGTACTGATGTTATCGCCAACGAGTTCACTTTGTAACTTACTTACTTGGCAGCTGAGTGTCGCCCTTTTATAGCAGTTGGCTGCTCGTAGACGAAAGTGTATAATAATCGAGTTGTTCGATATCGAAGGTTCTCGTTTTATCGCTCTAGAATTATCGGCTTCTCTCTTTCATCTGACATTCGCCTCGCATTTTCGCCACAATATGTACATTCGAAGTCATTTAGGGAATACTTACATATTTTTTACTTAATAAACTAATAATATTAAATAAATTATAATAATACTCTTTATCTTATATTCTTAAAGGCAGGTATTTTTTTAGTCAGTCTTCAACTGTTAAAAAGTTTAATCGAATAAAAATGATAATTGAGCCGCTCAGTGCACACATCGATTAACTCCATAAAGCGAAAAGTTGAGAAGCGCGATGATGTAGTGAATATTGTTTTTAAAAATTCCTCTGATAATATATATTCAAATATATAATGTAGAATGCATAATAGCAGATATAGCTTATCTAACGGTATATAAAATCAATAGGAAAGAATAGCCAGTTTTTTATGTGACTGGTGGAGTTAATCGATTTGGCAACTGAAAAAAGCAATAAAGTTAAATTTAGTCTTTATATTTTTAAATTTTTTATTACAGAAAAGTTAGTTATAATACGTTTCTATCACAGCTTTTCCATAAAAATTAATGTTGGCAGTTCGGTTATAATATAATTTTTGTAATTAATTCAAAGCAGCTTTATGTTAGCGGCATTATTCTTTGAAATAATTCAGCAATATTATAAATAATGTCTTCTTCATGAGCTGTTCGATTTGTTGACAAATTCTTATAGTAATCGTGTTTAACAGGAGGAATGAATTTTAGCAGTTCCATCATGTCTCGCCATTTTTTCTTTATCACAGTTCTACCTTTAGGATATAATAAGGGCCGATCTATATTTTTCAAAAATGTTTTTGATTTTTTTTCGCACTTGACTCAATAATGGCAAGGCTTACCAAAAATTTCATGTCAATTGATTCAGCTTTGATTTCAGTGCTTTGAACAAATTTCAGAAAACTTCATAATATTCAGCACCTCCTTCGATGCCGTCTTTATCTCGTCAATCGTAGCGTAACGTCATCCTTTCATGGGCCTCTCCAGTTTAGGGAACAAGAAAAAGTCACAGAAGGCCAGATCTGGGGAATACGGTGGCTGCGGCATCATCAGTGTGTTGTTTTTGGCCAAAAAGTTGCGCACAAGCAACGATGTGTGAGCAGGGACGTTATAGTGATGCAAAAGCCAATTTTTGTTGTTCCACAAATCCGGGCGTTTCTGGCGGATTGCTTCGCGCAAATTACGCATAACTTGCAGGTAATATTCCTTATTGACCGTTCTACCCTGTGGCAAGAACTCATGATGCACCACGCCCCTGCAATCGAAGAAAACTGTCAGCAAAACTTTCACATTCGACCGATCTTGGCGCGCTTATTTCGGTCTTGGTTCGTGCGGCAACTGAGATGATTGAGTTTTGGTTTCCACGTCATAACTCGTCATGGGTCGTCGCGGACAGAGTCCATCATCTCATTAGCAATGTTCATGTGATGCTCTTTTTGGTCGCCATTGAGCAATTTTGGTACGAATTTACCGGCGCCCAAATTATTGATAAAAAATCGAATGGCACGAGCCAATCGACATGTTTAGATCCTCAGCAACTTGTCTAATGGTGATTCAACGATTGGCTAATACCATTTTCTCCACTTCATTAATTTTTTCGTCTGTTGTTGAAGTGCTCGGGATGTCCTTCACGCTCTTCGTCGTTCACATCTTCTCGGCCTTCTGAGAACATTTTGTACCACCGATAAACTTTGCTTCGGTCCAAGGTAGCTTCTCCGTATGCCACAGTCAACATTTGGAATGCATCCGCGCACTTAATTTCGTTTTTCACACAAACTTTGATACAGGTTCTTTGATCCATATTTTTGAATAGGTAAAAATCGAAGACCATCTCAAACACGTGCAAGCAAAGCAGCTGTCAACAATTAAGTGAACAATTAAAATTGCCGAGCTTGTCAGCATAAGTGACAGACATGTGACAGACATAAAATCGAAATTCGATTATACAGAACCCGCGAAAATTCAAAATTCGAGATACTTTTTGAACACACCTCGTATAGTGTTACTGAAACGATTTACATTAGAGTATGGAGGTAATCGAAGTGGCTCTGAAGTAAATCACTTATTATTCAATGGCCAAAAAAAATTGCCATTTAACGGTGCTAATCTTTATTATTCAGGAAAGTTATTATATATATAAAAAGTTATGACTATATATATTATACCAAGGGCTCTGACACTTAAAAAAAGTGAAGTTAAACGATGTGTGCACAGAGCGGCTCGATTGTTATAATTAAAAAATAATCAAATAAAAAATTAGTATTATTATTGGCGAATTTTTATTCTCAAAAAAAAAATGCATAATAATAATTAATTAATCAGTTTTGCTATCAAACAAATTAGATTAAAAAACCAGGTGATTGAGAGTAAATTTTGGATAAGAGTTGCCAACATGGAAATTTTATTACAATATTACAATATTATTCCCTAATGAATTAATGCTTAGCCCTTTCTCCGTCCGCATAGGCAATGCATGTGATGTTAAGGAAGGAGTCGTCGGTAAATGTGCAATAGAACGAAACTGTCCAGATCTTCGGTTGCAAATGCAAAATCTTGGGCTGACAAAAGTCGATGTGAAAAGTTGTGGTTTCACAACCTACGAAGAGATCATCTGTTGTCCCTTACCAAATTTTACCAGCGCTTTGGGAATTTTCAATACCAGAAACGAATATTTAGATAGTGATATAAATGTGAATGGGACCAAGGCGACACGTGGCAACTTCGATGGTGGGCAGGAACGGAAAGCTAAAAGAGGTGGAGTATATTTGTGTATTTTTTTTAATTTCCTTTTAATTTTTTATACTTAATTTTGTTGCGTTTAGCTTGTAGTCTTCTCGACAAATACGCTGAGCCCTTTACAGTGCCGCACATACTTGGCGGCTCACCGGTTTCGCCAGGCGAATATCCACATATGGCTGCTATCGGCTATGCGACAATTAATCTACAGGGTTCTCCTTATGAGTTTCGTTGCGGTGGCGCCCTAATCGACAGACGGTTCGTACTTACCGCAGCACATTGTATTAATCGACCCGACAGTCGACCGATTGTAGTGCGTTTGGGTGTTACAGATTTCAATAGCGCCGACCAGATGAAAAATGTCGTTGATGTGCCAATTGCGGTAGTAACCATTTAAATGTGTATTTGTACAGAGTTTGGCTTGTTATTTTCTATACTCCCTCACAGAATCTCTATCCCCACAAGAATTACCGTTCGCTGGAGAAGTATGATGATATTGCCATAATAGAGCTGCAACGTGACGTTGAGTACTCTTCTCTAGTATTTCCCATTTGTCTGCATACGGATTCGGTTGATCCGCCGTCGAACGCGGTGCTCAACGTCACAGGGTGGGGAGCAACTAGCGTAGAAAGTTGGTTACCAAATTTCGAATGCATAATAATTGAAGTCTCTTGAATTTAATTTAATACATTTCCATTTCGTTTCAAACACAGCTCGTAAGAAATCCGATGTACTACTAACGGCTAGCGTAAAAATTGTTCCATTGAAAAATTGTAGTGACACTTATCAACGCAACAGTTTCCTGCCTACTCAGGGCTTACTGCCCACACAACTGTGTGCCCGAGATCCGAATGTCGTTGGCGATGCCTGTTGGGGTGATTCTGGCGGACCACTTAATCTCATCGTAGACGAACGTTTGCGGAAAATGCAGGTTATTGGCATAGTCTCGGCTGGCGACGGCTGTGCTGGTCCTACCCCAAGCTTGTATACGCGGGTATCGGAGTATTTGGACTTCATTGAGGAAATCGTGTGGAAGGATTTATGAAATTACGTATTTTTCAAAGAATAAGTTTTTTTATTTTCAAATTAAATGACATAACGTAAAATTATATAATATAATAGCATTACTTACTTTAGTATAAGTGAAAATTTCAATTGTTTCTTGGCCAATTATGAACCCCAGCAGGTATTGTAGTGCTCAATTAAGGGTGTTGTAGCTTATGAACGGCCAGTCCATTTCCGTATATGTTACGAGCAACACTTCTGTATCTTCTCAGTAGTTGCTGCTGGCCTACCGGTACTCTTTCGTCCAGGTTTTGAAGTGGATCGCCGTGATTTTCGCTTGAAAGAGCGGGAAAGGTCAGACTGATACCTTTTGAACAAATGTTATCAACAACCCGGCCAAACGCCAATATCGAGCAGTTATCGGCATATGAGATCGATAATACACCCTATGGTTAATGAGAGGACATCGCCACATGTTATTCCTCGATACGGCTGAAGAGCTTTCTATTTCATGTCACAAATGCACTCCGGAGATTTGTCATACCTGCTTACCCACTGCTAACTGCGACTGATCGAACAAGAGCTCACATTACAGGCGTCTGGGGCTAACTAGGCGAATTGGCATCGCATTTAATAAGTATCTGCCTATAAAACACCGCAAAATAAAAAGAAGCACAATGTGAGGATATGCATCGGTGTATCCGGAAATAGGGAAAGTTCCAAACTTTGTCACCGCGTCTCTAACTTCCCCTCTGTGAAGGCACGACTACAACCCACCTGGTGCTTAACTTTAACCCAATTTGACAGCTGCTCAACCCTCTACTTAAATATTATCATCGGAAGCTTCAAAACAAAGGAGAGACGCGATGCATATATGACCCCCCCCCCCCACCGACTCAAACAACGGTCAAACACTGATCAACTTTGCTGCCGCGCGATGGTCGACAGCCCCAGCCTCCAGCATCGGAAGACAAGAGCTTGGGGAGATCGAGGTTTTACGGAGCCGAAATTATGTTCGAAAATGCTGCCAGCAGGCCAACCTTCTGATCCAAGGTGTCGAGTCCTGTACATTAAACGCAGTGCGAACGGAGATTATGGAGGCAGCATTTTCCTAACTTGCTTGTACATGATGACCTCACCAATCCCGCACATAGAGAAAGTAACCCACCACTGGTAAATTCTTTTTTTAATTGAGAAGTTATCGTCCAAAATGGTTCCGACATAAATGAGGGTCCGACAAAGTATGTACATGTAGTCTCGTAGTAGGGATGCGCGGCGACTAGGATGCCAAGTTGTAGCATGGAGTTTAAGTAAAGAATCATTATTTCCAATAGGTGTTACTAGGAATTGATTAAGCAACCTCCCTCCTTCATCGACGAAACGAACGCTTTATAAGAAGCATGGACTATGAAAAATATTTTGCAAAATCATACTTCTTCTTACGCGATTATAGCCGAATCAATTACAGCGCGCTTTTCAGCTCTTCTTCTCGCTTGGCGGCAGTTGGAAATACCAAGTACAGCCAGGTCGCTCATCACCTGATCCTCCCAACGGATTGGAGGTCTTCGTCTTCCTCTGCTTCCACCAGCCGGTACTTCCGACATGACCTAGCCAGCGTAGCTGCTGTCTCTTCATTCGCTAATACCTATGTCAATATGATCATATAGCTAGTACTGCTCATCGTTTTATCGTCTGTGGTATTCGCTGTTGCCAATGCGCAAAGAACCATAAATCGCTCGCAAAACTTTCCTCTCGAAGACTCCTAGAGCTGACTCAACAGATATTGATATCGTCCATGCTTCTGCGCCATATAGTAAGACGAGTCTAAGGCCGGAAGTCGTGAGCTGCTTGTATCGGTTCTGGCCACTCCAAGGTAAATGGCAGTCAAAAACTATTCTCACTTGCGTGAACTTCTGCACATAGCCCCATCCCCATTGGGATCGACTATAGTATACGGCTGAACCACGATTTGTAAGAGTTTTACGTCAGCATTGACATTGTCCAGTCCGTGGCTCGGAAGCATTGTATATATAGACTAAGAAGACCCACCAAAGAAGGTATTCGAAACGATGACGAAAGGGGACAGCTACTACTCCGATGCAAGCAAATACTATGTTGTTGAGAACTCAGTAATTATCATAATGCATCGTTATCAATAGTGTTGTTGTTGTTGTTGTAACCGCAAATTATTCTCCGAAAACCAATATTGCGTGAGTAACAGTCCTTGACCGTATAAAAATCCGAGTCGCGGGAACTATTGAATTTTAGTCGCCTCTTATGACGGGCATGCCTTACCGCGGGTAAATTATTAAGCCCCTAACCCGCAGGGGTTCGTTATCAATAGTCTTTGTTAACTGTTTGATTTCAGAGCTATATCAATTTCTATTAAAGTATTTAAAAAGTAATTAAATAAAATACATACAAATATATAGTACTTATAATTTCGAGTAATGTATACCTATCGCAATCTAACAATGCACCCAACCAGGCATAAAAGTACTATTCGACAAGTTTTAATAGTGCAATTGACTTAAGACAATTATCTACTTTTATTGTTTAGACAAACTTGAAAACACACTTCATTTACACGTATGTACTTACTATGTAATAGAGAGAGAGTGTATACAAAGTTGTTTACAGTACTTAAAACGTACTACTCGAAAGTACTTAACTACCCATATTTATATACTCGTATACAAACATATTTATTTGTTCCAAACAAGTCTTTGCGTGGCCGTACGACGCCATAAAGGAGATTATCAACCAAATGATAAAGAAATATATTAAGTAGCCAATTCGAATGGTAGCAGCCAGCAAGCGGAGGCAGCCACATATATTATATATTATTGAATCTTTTTGCGTAGATACTTTCCGAAAATACTGTTAGCGCCAATAAAGACCCGCGACTGAGCACAATATAAACAAAATAATAACATATTTTCCATTCGTGATAAGAAAGTAATTATAAATTTCCGAAAGATAAAAATCAATTTGAAAAGCCGTCGCAAAGGTTGTTGTCCAGAATCTATTACCGTGGCACCCTTTCTTCGAGTTGAGTTTAATTTTTTTTTTGTGTTAATTATAAATTCCACTTGTATTCTTTGGTATACTCGTACTTGTATGTACGTCATATTTTTTGCTGTCATCGATAGTAAAATCATTAAGTGATATTGTAAATAAAGAAACAAAATGACTTTTTCTGTGCTTAAGTACACTAAGATTGGCGTAGAAGTTACTTTTATTTGTTGCCAAAAGTTTGATTGAATCAAGTTTGATAAAGCGAAATAAGGTTGCTTCAACGCAATCAAAGGGATTATGGAAAGAAGCTTAGAAATCATCCTTATGTTATTTAACATCTTAATGTTATTTAAAAAAATATGTTATTTAAAAGAAAACATATATAATATATTGTTATGGCCAAGAATTTAGCTTTATTATAAAGACAAGGCTTTGCCGTTAAGTTTTAAATATGATTTCGGCAAGTGACCGCTGCAACTGAATGTTCGAATTTTCGACCACTTTTTGCAGCAATTAATGTTGTATGTCAGCAATAACGCGCCGAATACTTTCTGCTAAAGGCGTGAATAGTCTCGGCGGTGTCAAATCAATCACGATCTTGGAGGCCACGCCACAAGCTCATAACACGAGATAAAGCACTCACCAAAAACATTGATTGTTTCCTTGTCTGTATTGCTTTCTGTGTCGTCTTGTTGGAACCAAAGGCCGTCCAAATCAACATTCTCCAGTTCATTAACCATAGCTCTACAGTGTACCACATATACCCTAACATATAGGCCAAAAATATGTACCAAATAATGACTTTTTGAGGATAAACCGACGTCTCAACAAAAAGAGTTTCATCGCTGGAAAAGAGCACAAACCAAACCAATATTTTGGTAATAAATTTTAACGATTTGGAAACCTTCTCCGAAATAAATCTGCTCAGTATAAAATGGCAAACGAAACTGAGTATAAATCTAGTAACAGCTGTCCAAAAGGTCAACTTCTAAAATAGTTTTACTTCATTGAACCCGCAACCCTAAAGCCCTTATTTGTCGCTTTATAACCGCACAACTCGTTTACAACCAAGTTTCTCCTTAAAGTTTATCCAACAAAACGAAAGAAACTACAAATTATGCTAATCCCTCTCCGAACGGCTGATCAATTCTTAAAAAAAAAAGCTTTCTATATCATGTCAGGAATACACTCGAAGGGCTCCTCTAACACCGCTTCGAAACTTCAAAAACTACTCCCATCGCAAATGAATCTAGTTTATCATTTGGGGCCGGTGGTTAGCTGTGCGTATTAAGATTCGGTTCTAGTAATGGTCCGTCCAACATCTATAATTAGAGAAAAAAAAATGTCTAATTGCGATCGCCCTTGACAGGATAGGTCAAGCCGAATAAAGCTCCTCATAAACAGCAGCTGTTCGGAAACGGCTTAGAATAAACTGTAGGTCTCTACAATTGTGGGGAAAACATCAAGACTCCTACGAATAATTGGCAGTTCCAAGACGCTAATTTTTTTAATAACATCAGTGGTGATCACTCCCTGAACTCGACTTTTTTAATAGCTCAGTGTAGCCTCGTGATGGCTGAATATTAAAAAAAAAAGTTTGCCAACACTTAAAGAATTTCGAGTTAATAATGGATAATATAAACATATATATATGTTCTAACCTATAGATATATAGAGAGGGCCGAAAGAGAAAAATATACCTATAAAGCGTTGCCACCCTTGTAAAATCTTTTTTTCTGAAATTGTTAAGCTAAACTTATTAATTATTATTATGCGTATTCAACCAAGAGCGCTTCAGAATACTTACAGTAGAAATTATTTTTTTCAAGCTTTGCCACATATTTCTGTTTTTCATTTTTTTTCATAAAAAATAAATATTATTAGATATTGCAATTGAATTTTAATTGTTTTCAAGCGTTTAAAAATATTAAAAAAATAAAATATTGTTTAATTGATAAAAAAAATACATTTTTAAATTAATATGAAAACTAAAGTTTTATATATTTGTATTTGAAATAATTGTAATATTTTCTGAATAAAAGATATATTCTCTAGTTAAAAAAAATTTTGAAATTTTAATTTTGCCAACTGTATGAAAATTGCAAATTGCTAAAAGAAAATCACAAATATACAAAAGCTTTCAAATAAATAAAAATTTGTACAAAAAATTTATATTAAAAAATCAGGCTTAGAATAGTAAAAAATGTAAGGGAAATAAATCTCAGATTATTTATTTAAAAAATTAAACATTTTCAACACCGTCTAAGAAATTTTCTCTTCTCCCGCCTACAGTTTAATGCCGGCACTTTAATTATATTCTCATATTTTTGTTTTATTTATTTTTTTAGGTCTTTTAAGACCAATCCGAAGTTGAAATTGATTCGTGCCAATAAAGGCGGAGGCTAATGCTGATAATGAGCAGTTATTATTTTCTACATAATTTGCTTTTTAAAAATAAAATTAAATTTTAGAAAAAAAAACTTTTATTAAAGTTTTTTTCTTAAACCGGCCGTAAAGCCGAGTGGTTAGCATTACGTACAGCCACTCTGAACGCCGAAGAGACTCAAGGCAAGCCCACCGAGTGTGTTTCCAATATGAAATAAATGCTTCTCTCAAAACTCCATCGGCCGTTCGGAGGCGGCTTAGAATAAACTGTAAATCCTTCGTTCGAAAAACATCAAAACTCAAACCACAAATTGCAGGAGTAGTTCGGCTGAAAAACCTTTCAGCGATTACATAGCGCCAAATATATATTTATATATATATATTTATGTATATATTTAGAAATATATATTTTTTTCCATAAAATACTATTTTTTTTATTTTATAAAAGCTTCCACCACGTTCAACGCGGCTTTTTTCTCCTTTATTTTTTGTTTTCGAATTTATCAACTTCATTTAAAATCACAGTTTATAATTAAATTAAAAATCTCTTGTTCTCCAGCGAAATAAATTTTTGCTCAACAAAAATTATTATTATTTTTTTTTTTTTTGCGTATTATTTCCAATTTATATAGAGAGATAATTAATAACCATAAATGAACATCTCAAACTCGAGATAATTGGTCTTATTGCTGGCAATAAGTATCTCACAATATGATTTGTTTATGCCACCATCCACGAAGAATGTGTCGGCATCCTCTGTAGAGACAGCTGCATAGATTTCCACCTGTGTTATTATATTGGAATCGGTGCCTTTTGCTGGGTAACGTATTAGCGCTTCAACATCTTCACCTTTGGTGAATTGTGTTGAGTCCTCGAAGTTGAGTATCAAGCGATCACCTGGAAAGGGAAAATAAATGAGTAATGAATTATATATTTTTTGTAATATTGAGAATGTGTTGGTAAGATAAAACAGCAAAAGAGAAAGCACTATTTGGTTCCTATGCGCTAGTATCGACCTAATCTTCTCAAAACCCATTGAGGATTTAGTGGAGAACATTATGATCAAACGAGTCTTGTCTGTAGTCACAATAGTTAGTATTAAATAATCTCAAATCACAGAAAATTGGCAGCTCTTAAGATGAAGTTTGCGCCACTCATTGCAAACACGTTTTAGGTGCATAGGAAGTGTTGCGGTAGCGTACGCGAACCCCATCGCCTAAAATTCTAAGTGAATCTTCTTCAATATATTTTAAACATAGTAGAAAAATTATGAAAGGTTAGCAGATTGAACATCAACTAAGTTCAATTGGACTCAACAACCGCACGTTAATTTTTTTTTCCAGACTGGTGAGAAATCGAAGCGCAGGGATCTGGCGAAATAACTCCTGACATGGCAATTGAATAGTAAAGTGTTCTCTCCGCGAACAAAGACCAAACTCTAAAACTCCCATAAGAATCTGGTGAATAGACGAACCGTTGTTAGGAGTTCTCGAGCGTAGGATTTTGCGTATCCAGTAAGTTGTACGACACATATAGCAATATTGGCATAGTTCAGCGACTAAAGAGATAGCGGTTCTTCTGCCTACATCACTCCAGCTAGAAAAGTTTTCCGGAAAAGTTGGATTACACAACTTCTAAATTCTGTTTTGGCAAATGGGAAATTTAAACCCTTTTAACAGACGCCTCAAAACTCACTGACAGATTTGTATGCGAGACCCACTTCCCGACACTCCTATTCAATTCGAACATAAAGCGACTTTCATGTCGAACTTACCGCAATCACTACAATCACCTTTGTACCCGGACATATATGTATTTATTTATGTGTATTTCGGGGAATAGCTCGGTGAACGAGCCTTCGAGAGAAGGAACCATCAGTATTTATTTTTTCCATATCTAAAACTGGCCTTGACTAAAAAAAGCCCAAAAGCAATATATAGAATGCAAACAAATTAAACAAGGCAATGCAGATCTTGCCAGCGCTAAACGCTAAAAGAACAAGTAATTTCCAGCACTAAGAGACTATTTAGATTTTATATAATATCTACCAAATAGTTTGCGCATTCATCCAGCAGAGTCGATAATTCGAGCCACAATGGATTGTTTTCGCCTCACGTTTACGCTAATAGATTAAGCGCAACCGGAGAGACATCGAAGACCCTATTGCTACTGCAGATCAGACATTATGTTATAAACAAGATGGAAGTCTATAGAGACATGATTAATGACTTTTTCGTGACTGAATTGGAGGCTGTATATGTGGACAACCTTTGTTTCCAACAAGACGGCGCTGCAATCAATGCAACCAACGAAACAATTAATTCATTGAAGAAAACTTTTGGTCGTTAGCCTGTGGCGTGACCTCAAAGATCGTGGCCGATTTGACACCGCTGAACTATACAGCCTTGACCAAAAGTATTAGGCACCCCAATAAAATACAAATATTCGCACTTTGATAGCCACAAAGTTATCACGTCTTTTTTTAAATATCTTACATAGATGTTTAACTGTTGATTAAACGAACGAAAATATTTAGTATTAAAAATCATAGCACTCTGGGTAAGCTAAACCTAAAAATTTTCATTTTTAAGAAATTCATAAAATATTTTCGCCTTTAAAATTTGATAGTGTAAATCACATTTAGTGAAAAGTTACCAATCTTATAACAGTTCATATTTACCGAAATGCCTAAAAAAAAGTGAAATTTGTTACAATGATAGGGTTAGAATTCAAGTTCTAAGTGAAGAAGGTAAGCCTCAGGCTGAGATTGCCAATTCGGTTGGATGTTCGCTGCGCGCGGTTCGATGTGCTATCAGACAATTTGTGGAGATTGAATCCCACAATAATTAATCAAAAAGTGGAAGAAAGCGTAACGAGTAAACGAGAAGACCGAATACTTATATACGCGTCTCTCAAGGTTCGCAAAAAATCTTCTTCTGCCCTTGCTGATGCCCTGTCGGATGAATTTAGGAAACCAGTTAGTGCTCGAAAAGCTAGAAGAAGACTTCTGGAAGCAGTTTTTAAAGGATGTAAAGACCGAAAGAAGCCGTGGTTCTCAGAAGAGAATACGAAAAATCGCTTAAAATGGGCTCGCCGATACCAACATTTCACGGAAGAAGATTGATCGAATGTTCTGTGGTCTGATTAATCAAACTTCGAGATAAGCTTGGTTAAGATCGTCTTAAAGTATTAACATTACCTTAGAGCAATTTGGAAGACATAATACAAATTTTATGGAAACATTATTTTTCTTTACTACAGATATTTTGGACGTTGGTGTGACGTTCGTGAGGCGACGGGTTGGGGAAGAATATCGTCCAGATTGCTTGGTATCCACTGTTAAGCATGGAGGAGGCAGCGTTGGGATCTGGGACTGCAAGGCTGCGAGGGTCGCATTGACAGTCAAAAGTACATAAATGTATTTGAAGCTGTTCTTCTGTCTTCGCATTTTCAGCGATACTAATTTAGAGGGGGTTCAATTTCAGTAAGACAATGCTCCCTGTTTGTTGGTTTGAAGATAAAAATATTGTTTTGTTAGATTGGACTGTACAGACTCCAGATCTGAATCCTATTGAGCACATGTCGGCTATTTTAAAACGCAAGATTAAGGAACACAGTATAACATCAAATAACTGCCTTAAATAATGCCTTAATTGACGAGTGGTACGCTACTATAAGGGCGGACGAATGGGCAAAGCCTGTACGCAGCATGCCCTAAGAGAATCGCTGCCATTATTAAATCGAAGGGAGGACCTACTAAATATTAATGTTATTATCACTAATTTATTATACTGTTTCACTTCATTACTTCACTTGTTAGAACAAAAAAATCAGTAATTAGTGGGGTGCCTAATACTTTTGGCCAAGGCTGTATTGTGTGCGGTAATGTGGGTTCGCTCATCGACGATTCACGGAAGGAAAAATTCGGCGCGTTATTGCTACTTCCTGCAAAAAGTGGTCAAAATCAGCAAAGTCGAATGGAATTTATTCGAGCCGAACTCTTTATAACAAATTCTGGGCCATGTGAGCTTTATTTCTGCTTGAAACCCAGATGCTGAAAATGAAACACCCATTCAAAAATATTATTGCTCGAAGTTGAATAATGAAACCTCACAAAGCCTCAAATATTCTCACTCACCTGAAATCCTTTTGCCCGAACTGAATACATATTGTCCACCGACATAATGATTTTTACTGAAAATCGTTAAGGCGGCATTTGGATATTGTACCACATAGCGCGTTTCACTGGTAACCGTTACAATTTCGGAATATTGCAAATCAACAGCAACGATGCATTTCACAAGAATCAAAGCGATAATGCACTTTTGTGCAGCTCCAAGTAACATTTTTGTATATGACTGCATTTTGTTTATAGTTTTGAGTTTAAACACTATCACTGCATGTACAACTGCTTAATTTTATTTTTATATAATTTTTATTTTTTATTTTATTTTTTTTTACAATAGAGAAATTATTTGATTTAGCTCATCTACACGGCGAACACGTTTGTTGTCGACTAAATGTTTTCCTCAACAATCAAAATCTAATATATTCCAAATGAGTTTTTATAGCAAAAGCTTTGCGTAGATATGGCTAATCGGAGAGTACGCTTGCATGAAAATTTTGCAAAAGAAACCGATACGTTGGTATGAATTATTGCTCAATACACTTTCACATCTAACCCAATCGCCACATTTGTATACAATTCTCTTATCAATTTCCACTCTCCAATCATTGAGGCTATCTGCACGAAGGTGTGTTGTAGCCAGCGTATATTTGGGATTTCCAGGTGTAAGTGCGCCAGTTGAAAGTTTTCTGTGTACTCAGCGCGAAAAAAGTATTATGATTCTCAACATTCAACATTCAATTTTCTAAATTTTACACTAAGCGTGTAAGTGAGTACAGACGTGTGCGGAATTTTAGTGAATTTTTATCTATGGGAGAGTTACTGATAAGATTGGATTTAATTTGAGACTGCTGTTCCATTGAAGAAAACGTCATGCATTTATTTCGAATTTAAAAAAAAGAAATTTTGCGAGTCTAACTCCTTTAGCAGTGTTTTTTTTTTCTTTTTGGTGGGTGGCATATTCGACAATGTTTATTTTTATATATTTGGATCACTTTTATAGGGTTCATAAAATAATAAACTCAATTTATTTTATACAATATTAATTAATAGGTATTTATTAATAGGAGGTGGCAAATATAAAGGGTTTTCCAATGAGGGATGCTATTTTTAATAGTCTGCTATTCCGGTAAATGTCAGTTTTTGATATTTGACAAGTAAAAACTACCCCAGTAATAAAAATGGAAGGACATATGCTGAATGAATATTGAAATGATTAAAATTCACCATAAAAATTTCATCGGAAAATTATCTTTCCTGTTCAGGACCATTTCTCCATCAAGATCAATAAGCGAAACTGTCGTAACTGGGAACCGGAAAATAGTCTTCATCTTCATCCTAAACATGTAACTGTTTGGTGCGGTTTGTTGTCCGGCGGGGTCATTGAACCTCACTTTTTCAAAAATGATGCACAACATTTACTTTCGACAAGACGATGCTACCTGCCACACAAACAACAAAACCATTGATCTTTTAACCGTTTCCAGACAACTTTTAAATATCGATGTCTGCAGATTTTATTTGTGATGAAATCAATTGTACCTACCGTATATTAAAATTAATTTCTGTTGTTTTTTAAATGCCCTGCACAGGCTTTAGAGTACTGGGACTAAATTGTCCCAGTAGTCCTTCTTCTGGTCGGGACTACAAAGTTTGGCAGAGGTCCTATCCAAATATTTAGTGGTGCTTCAGCTATCTGACACTGACCATACTGCCGCGATTATGGTAGCCCTGCAACCTTGAAATTCATTATCTCTGTTCCCGGCATCCTTCTCCACTCCATTGATGTATTTACCATCGCGCCAGCTTGTTTAGTTCGCCTGCTGTGTCTTGTTGAGTAAACGAGTGTTTGTGGTGCTCGTCACGACAATGAAAAAATGAAATCAAAATTTTGCGCCAAATCGGGCGAAACAGCTTCGGAAACGTACGATAAAATTGTAAAAGTGCGTGGTGATAGTGCTCTTAATCGTGGCCAGTTGTTTCGATGGCATAAGGGGCTTAAAAAAGCTCGCATGAGCAAGTCTAAGGTGGAAACGATGATTATTAAATTTTTTGATAGCCGTGGAATCGTCCACAAAGAATATCTTCCACCGGGTCAAATCGTAAACAAGTCTACTATCGCCAAGTACGCGAAAGATTGCGAAAACGAGTCAACAGGGTGCGCCTAGACATCGCTCGCTGGATCCTTCATCACGACAACGCGCCGTGCCACACCGTCCTCGGCGTGTTCCCGTATTTGGCCTCTAAAGATAGCGCCACGTTGCAATAACGTCCTTATTCACCCGATATGTCACCCTGTCAACTGTCATTAATGCAATTACATAAGCAAAGTGAACGTGTTGAGATCTGTTTGAACCAAACATCCCATCAGTCTCGAAACGGTTAAGGGAAAAGTTTCTTTGAATATCAAAATAAAACCTCTTATTGGAAAACCCTTTATATGAGGTAGTATGGTAACAGTTTAATAAAAGCTTCTATAATCTCGACTCGGTTCTAAATTTTTAAAAAGTGATTTGCCCGGATGTACCTTAAAAATCTAAACTAGCGTTATTTTGGTCAAACCAATGTCAAAGCTGTCGGCAGCTGCGTTAGCAGTATGTACTATCGGACGTTAAGTCACAGCTTCATACCTTGGTTCCTCACAAACATCCATCAGCCGCTTGCTGGCGACTTATTATAAACTCAAAGTTCCCCATTCGCTAGGATGCCTGATAATTGAATGTAATCTAATTATCAATCTCTTCAACCTTAAGACTTCCTTAACAAGGGGTCGTTGTAACACATGTTTTTCGTCTTAAAAACTAGAATAAATCTTTAGATCATCTCTTATCTTTCTTAGTCGTACATAATTGCTTCTTCTTCTTCTTTTTCTCTAGCGAAAACTTTCAAAGCTGGATTTAGCCACTGTCTCTTTATGCGCTAAACTATTTCAATGTCATCGTATAACACGTACAGTTCTTCGTTCGATAGAATGCGAAGACTCTCAAAGACTCCGAAAGCCGACTCATCGGACTACGACATACTCGGACATATTCAACACTTCTGGAGCATATAGCAGGAAGGCAATGTTGACCGATGTTTCATTGGAGTACCTTGGTGGCCGGAAAGTCCGACCGTTTTGCATTACGTACTAACACTCGGTAGGCCAAGGTTCGAGTCCTGGTTTAATCAACCTGCAAAATTATAAAAAATGAACTTTTCTAACGGCAGGGAAAGTCACCCTCCGAGTGTATTTCTGACTATCCGTCGTCCGAACGTCCCTCCATTTGTTGGTAAAACATCAAGACGTGCAACCACAAATTGGAAGGAAATTTCGGGCAAAAACCGCTTTAATATATATATGTAACCACAGGGTTTTGTCTTCTCCCTTTAGCTCGTCTTGAAACGGATGTTGGTTGGCCAGCTGGAGAAGCGAAGTTCGTGAGCTGCTTGTACCATATGTAAAAGAATCGTTCCTCGCCACAACCAGGTAAATTAATTAGTTTTTTAAGACGAGGTGCAAGAAGGTGCAAGGGATAATGGTCTTAAAGTTCAATTGACACAGTTCAGGTCTTCCAGCATTGGTTGAAACTAATTTGTAGTCTTCAAATTCCACACCTATATTTAGATCCGATTTTTTAACTTCTGCAAAAGATAAAATACACTCAGGCTTTTCCTTATCAAACAAATGTGCTTAGACTAATTTCCTGTACACCAAACCCAAAAGTAGCGATTCGTCATCTGTCAGCAATTTTTAGGCACACAAGACAAAATTCAAGGAGCCATAAAATTTTATCTCAGCACTCGAGTTAACGCCTAGAAATTTTTCATATTAATAAAAAATGTATACTTTTTTTTTGCCAATCTGCAGGCGTCATCTTATGACCGAACAGTTTCGAGTGTTTCAACGCACCTTTCAAAATTCGAGTGCATCCCATATCGTTCAATTGGTTTAATTAAGTATTGGCTATACATACACATGAATAAGTAATTTAAATATATAATTGGCATGAAGTTATATTTATTTTTAATTTAATTTCTAATCTATTCGATTGCATTTCACTGTTATCGTATGTGATGTGTTAAGCCATAAACACGATTTGTGGAAAAAAAGGAATAATAAACAGTGAAGTTTTCGTCTTTTTTTTGAATGCAAAGTGGAAGCCAACATGTTGGAGTATATAATCAACAACGGTTTATTAGTGGCACACCTATTGTAGTAGCAAAAAGAGATAGGAATATAATTTCGCCTTTTTTACAAATTTACAATCAAATCCAATTATTAGTGAAACGTCCATCAACTGACACAAGGAAGTTTCGATGTCGAAAAGCACTTGCACGCTACGCTCTGAGAGCCCTCTTCAGCAAATCGGTATAAGGGTTATGTGGGACGACATTTCAAACTACCTACGTAAAGCTACAATAGAAACAGACGCCTACCTCGCAACGTTGCCATCGACCCCATTCGGTTATAGATACCAAGATATAAAGAGGAAAGGGAGGCACAAGTGCAATAAAAAGAAAGAGGCCGATCTGCCGTCTACGAAACAGTTCGAATAGCAATTACCCGCTTGAAAAACAACAAAACGGTGATGGTCACCTATTCAAATACGGTGACGAAGTACCGACGAGGTGCTTAACTCAGCTGCCTTGCAGAATAAACTCCTTAATGTCGCATCGTCCCATCAACTAACTAATTGTACCTTAACAGGGTAGACCTGGCCAGATATTCACTATGCGACAAAACTACGCTGCTGTGTCTGAATTTGATTAAGCCACATCAAAAGCTCCATCAGGATCCGTATGAATCGCTGCGAGCCGTTCAATACCAAACCAGGTTTCTTATAAGGTGATTACTTACTTATCGTGTGACTTATTTAATCTATTGCTGGATACAATAATATGAGCTGCAGAGCTGAATAGAGAAGGTACAATTTTCTGCAAGAGTGTATAGATGCTGGCGTGTGCGATGACATTATGGGCCTCAACAATCGCGCCGTAAGTTCTGCTTTCTCCAGACTTGATAAAGAAGCGAAGCGCATGGGTTTGGCCGTTAATGAAAGCAAGACGAAATATATCGTGTCCTCAAACAAAAAGTCATCGCACTTGCAACTCGGCTCTCACGTCACTGTTGATGGTCATAACTTCGAGGTTGTAGATAATTTCGTCTATCTCGGGACCAGCATTAACACCAATAATAACGTCAGCCTTGAAATCCAACGCAGAATCACACTTGCCAACAGGTGTTACTTTGGACTGAAATGTAAAGCTCTCTTCTGACAAACGAAAACCAAACTCTAACAGTCCCTTATTGTTCCCGTCCTGCTATATGGTGCGGAAGCATAGGCAATTACAACATCTTTACGCATTTGGCAAGGAAGAATACCGCCATCTATGGCATCATTAGATACGATGGCTAAGTCACGCCATCCGTTTGGATAAG